TTAAATATAAATTTAATAGTAAATATCTATTAAATTAATTTTTAAAAGTACTTTATATTTAATAGTTAGTTTAAAATTTTAAAATAAATAGTAAAGGGTAATAATTCTTAATTATTATTTTATTAAAGGTTTAATAGTTAATATAGAGTTAAAAGTATTATTCTTTTAAAAATAAATAAGATTAGAACTTTTATTAAACTTTTATTAAAGGTAATTTATCTAGTTTTTAGACTTTTTTTTAATTATTTCTTTAAAATTTTTAATTTTTTTAATAATAGTGGATAAAAAGATAGAAAAGGTAGTAATATTTTTTTTTTAATTTAATTATATAGTTTACTTTTCTTTAAGGGGGGAGTTTTTTTACTCTAACTTTTATAAAAAACTCTTCTAAGCTTTTTAATTATAGGTATAATTAAGAGAAATTAAGGAGTAATTTTTCTCTTTTATTTATTCCTTTTAGCTTTTATTATTTTTTTTTATTATTTAAATTAAAAGAGTTATTAATTAAAAGGATAGTATAATAGTAGGTGTTTTATTTTTAATTCCTTATAAAGGATCTTATAGTTTATTAAATAATATATAAATTGTTTTATTAAAGTTATTAATCTTTTAAATAACTTTTTAACTTTATTTAAAAATATTATAAATTTAGAGTTTTTAATAATAAAATAGATTTAAAATATTTTTAATTAATAATAAAATATTTTAAATTTCTTTTTTAGTTTTTAAAATAGTTTTTAATTAAAAAAGAACTTAAAAGACTTTATAAATAAGTATTAAAATGTAATTAATCCCTTAATAAATATTGGATTTTTAATTTTTAAATTAAATTTTTTATAAAAAATGTTAATTAGGTTTATTTAGGTTTGAGTATTAAGGTTAATTTTAATGTATTTTTAACTCTATATTATAGTTACTTTTTTAAAATTATAAAGGTATTATAGATTTTATTATTTTCTTTTTTTTAATTTTAATTATTAATTTAATTTTTTATTTTAGATTTTATTTTAGTAAGTAGTTAAAATAATTCTTAACTTTCTACCTTAATTTTACTTTTAATAGTTCCTTAATTAATAGTTATTATAACTTTAAACTTAATTTATAAATATTATAGTTTTTATTAATATTAAATAGTTTAAAATATAATAATAGGTATTATTATAATAGTAGTAAATAGTTAGCTTTTTATTATTATTAAAAGGATTAAGTTTTAGGGTAGTTTTAAAGTTACTTTTTTAAGTATTTTAATTAGGTTAAGTGTATAAACCCCTATTTTAGGATTTTTAACTTTAATTTTTTATATATAATAAACTTTAAGTTCCTTTAGAAGTTATAGTATTGCTTTAAGGGGCTCCCTTTTATCCTTTTTTATTAGGGGTTTTATTATTTTTTTTATATTTTATTTTTAGTTTTTTATATTTTTTTTTTAATTTATTTAAATATATTAATTTAAATTATTTAAATAATTTTAATTATTTTATTTTTAATATTTAATAAATTTAGGGTATATTTAGTTTAAATTTTTAGGGAGATTTAATTTTATAATTTAAAGAAAAGAATTTAACTTTAAAATTATTATTTTTAACTTTTATTTTAACTTTAAGGTTTTAAGGTATTAATAAAAGAATTAAAGGTTTTAATTTTTTTATAAATAGAATTAATTATTTAAATAACTTTAAAAATATTTTAAGGTTTTTTAAAGTTATTATTAAAGGTTTTAAACTTATTTTACTTATAATAGTTAAATATAAATTTATTTTCTTTTTTAAATTTTATATAAATATTTTAGTGGTTTTAATACTTTTATTAATATAGTTAAGTATATAAATTACTTTTATTTTATTATTATAAAGGGATTATAATTAAAAGATATAGGTTTTTAAGGTTTATTATTTAGTTATTATATTATTATAAAGTATAAATTATAAATAATAAAGTAATATTAGTTAGTTTTAAATTTTTAATTTAATTTTTAAGGTAATTTTAGCTATTTTAAAAGTGTTTATTTTTATTAAAGGATTTAATTTTATTTTTATTTTTAAATAAAAGTGTTATTTATTAAAGGGTATTTAAACTCCTTTTATTATTATTTAAACTTATTTAAAATTTTTCCTTTTAATTATTTATTTTTAGTAGTATTATAAGTAGTATAAAAAAAAGAATTAAAATTATAATAGGCTATAATATTAAATATAATAGTATAAGTTAAAAGAGGTTTAAAAATTTATTAGATTTAAATTTAATATAAGATTAATTTTTATTTTTTTTTAAAAAGAGGTAAGTAGGCTTTACTTACCTTTTAATAAATTTTAGGAAGGGGTATAGCTAGGTGTTAAAGTACTTTTAGAGTGCTTCCCTATAGCTTTTATTTAGCTATTATAAATATATAAATAAATAATTAAATTTATTAAAAGGTATATTATAAAAGGAAGATAATATATAAAATTTATAATAATAAGTTTATTTTATTATTTATTTTATTAAAATATATAATATTAACTTATATATTTTTATAAAGTTTATTATAATATAAAAACTTTTAAGTTTATTAAATAATTATAAAAGTATTTTTATTATATTATTAATTATTTTAATTAACTTTTAATAAATATAAATAAATTTTTATATTAATAAATATATTAAATAATATAATAATTAATAAAGTAAGTATATTTAATATATTATAATTATTATTTAAAAATTATATATATAATTTTTAAAAGTAAAGGTATTAAGTATAGTATTAATAACTTTATTTAATAAATTAAAAGGACTATTTAATATATTAATCTTTTATTATTAATAAAATTTATAAGTTAATAAATTTCTTTATAAAAGTAATTATTTAATAAGTTATTTATAGTTAATAAGGTTAGTAATAAAATTAATAATAAATATTTTTTTATATATTTATTTTATTTAATATTTAATAATTTAATAAAACTTTATAATTTATTTTTTATTAAATTATAATAGTTTTATAAAAGTTTTTAATAACTTTTATAAAGATTTTAATTAGAATAATTAACTAATTATATTAAAATTATTTATTTTTAATAAAATTTTATTAGAAATAAGGAATTTAAATTTAATAAAATTATTTTAAAAATATTAATTAGTTTAATATAAATTATTATACTTTAAGTAATAAAAATCTTTATAGAAAGTAATAAATAGGTATATTAAGGACCTTTAATTTAGGTATATTATTTATAAATTCCTTATATAGATAGTTTATAGGGATTACCTTATACTTAGATATAATTAACCTATTTAAGGAGTAGGCTGATGGGAAGGGGTAGAAGGGGGGACCTATTGGGGATATAGAAGGGACTAAGAATATCGGCTCGAAGTCTTGGCACGGGCAATGGATGGGTTCGTGAGACAGTTGCAATTCGGGGTCAATCAGTCCGACTTTGCCGGGCGCAATGTCATGCTGGCCCCAAACCCGAACTCATCCGCTGTATCAGGCGGGCTCCCGCTACCACGCGTTGTTCTCATCGATTACAACATTGCCACTGTGGATATTGCGCCCTTCGAGCAAAGACAGTCGCGTCTTGCTAAGAGCCCCATCCAAGCATTCTGGGACTTCTATTTTTGGGAGGAATTTGCAGGTTGGGCCCCTGATGACTGGAAGGATGTTAAATGCCAGAGAAGATGGCTTATACAGAGGTTCAACGGGGATTATTCCAGGCAGTCGTATTTGCCCCTGCCTGAGTACTTGGACCTCGAAATACGCGAATCTTATGGATCTGAGCCTCCTCGAAACGCCGCCTCTTCCGGCTCGACAACTTCTTCGGAGTCATTGCGATTGCAACCCACGCCGCCGCAGCTCAAATTTGGGACGGAGCCGGGGACCTTTCGTACATTTGACCCTGCTTTTCTCGGAGCACCAGAGGATGCAATGAATGAATTTTTGGCACACCAGGAGGCCAAAAAGAAGAAGCCATTGGGGCAAAGCCCAGCGGCACCAACCAGGCAGCATGATGTTGCCGCGAAGAAGAAGTAATGTTAGATCATAATGATTCATGCAGGGCTGTGGGCTAAAAACATAGGGATACTGTGTCTTGGTCTTGATATACTCAATCCCTTCCTCTTTGTCTTTCTGTCTGATGTAATAAGCTTATCATCGCACGAGATATGTCGTATAATTGGTTTGCCCTTATATCAATTTGCCATTGGTTGAAACATGACGCTAGGTATGAGTTTGTAATTACGGCCCAACCCGTGCGAGCAGAGTGTCTATATAATATACATGGCCGGGGCTACACTCCATGCCCTTCAGACATCTTTTAGCTGTGTGATGCTGGACTTGGAAGACTCTCTCATTAAGTGTTTGTAGTAGATTTACATAGTAGAAGATACTCTAACAACCCGAGATTGGTTCGAAGACTATGTGGCTGTGAAATGATCTAAAAGTTAACTAAATTGGTTCGTTCTAAGCCGCCGCGTCCATGCGATAATAGCAGCTAAATCCTATTCAGATTAGTATGATATAGTTAGGGTAATATTAAGAGGAAACTTTGCCCTAATTTTAATTATAAAAGCTAGGGTTCAACACTTTCTAGGCCCTATATTATTTCAAGTCGGATATTCATACAACCCCCTTTTAATGCTTGTACAGCTAATCTGACCAACCCTAACCCTAATCTGGTCCTCTGATTGGCTGGAGCCTTGATTAGTTAGATTGGGTGTACGAGCATCCAAAAGGGTATGTATGAATATCCGACTTCTTCTAGATACCCTGCATCTACCACGTGGCGTGGACAGTACCTATGCGAGACCCCACTCCTAGAATAGATTCCGGCCCGGCTACAATGAGAGGTTTGTGGATCGGGGCTCCTCTGGGCGCTCAGAAGGGAGATGGGTTGAGAAAATGGTTCAAATGCACGTTAGAGCTAGAGTTAGTTAAGAACCGAAGTTGCTGATGTAATTATTTATTGCAAAACTGCCTAGGTGCAGATACTGTAGCTGAAGGATTGGACAACTCTTTCTGGTGTGGGGAACAACCCCTCGCCGTGGGGACATCTGGAGAAGCTCATAATCACACAAGGTCCTACGGCACCATGAGCCCCCGTTGACAATGTATCATACGCAGACCAACCAGTCGGTGTATCAAGCTCTGGACGCCGCCAATTCCGAGATTCGAGTGATCATACTCCACAAAGGCCCTCGGGATCAGCAACTGTCATGCAACCTGAGGACGGTCTCACTCGATGACCAACCCGAATTCCATGCTCTTTCGTACGTTTGGGGAGATGACACGGACATCGGCCGCATCAGCATCGATGGCCAAGCATCTCCAGTTGCAGCTTGTCTAGCCACAGTATTGGAACACCTCCGCGCTCACCACTACGATTCCCTACGACTCCACTCGACGCCGTTGTGGATCGATGCCATCTGCATCAACCAGGCCGACCCTGAGGAACGAGCACGGCAGGTCGCCTTGATGAGCAGGATCTACCGCCAGGCCTCCCGCGTGCTGCTCTGGATAGGCGAGGGGGACGAGTTCTCCGACTACGCGTTCGACCGGATCGGCGACGGGGGGTTCCGGGCGTCGTGCGAGGAGCTGCAGGCCGGCTCGAGGGCGCCGGGGGTGGACGAGGTCAGGGCCATGGTGGTCATCGAGGAGAACCTCGAGAACAGGGAGTACTGGACGCGGACGTGGATCCTGCAGGAGGTGGTGCTGGCGACGCGCGACCCGGTCATGCTCTGCGGCTCGAGGCGCGTGCTCTGGTCGTGGTACGCCGAGTGCAGGTGGGCCCTGCCCTGGGACAAGTCGGCGTACCCGAGCCTGGCGCCCGTCTGGGACGCCGTCGAGAGCGAGGTCCCCTTCTACCCGGACGACGCGCGCTCCACCGGCTCCGACGTCCACGCGCGCATGCGCCACCACTACTGGGAGGCCGGCTCCATCTCGCTCGGCGACGCCCTCACCGCCAGCGTCCAGCTGCGCGCCACCGACCCGCGCGATCGTGTCTACGGCGTGCTGGGCCTGATCCCCCACCGCGAGCTGCTCCTGGTGGACATCGACTACAGGAAGACGCCTGAGCAGGTCTTCAGGGACACCATGGCTGGTCTGTGGGCCCCCGGCGCAGACGGGCTGATCAGTACTGTTATCCCACGCCTTATCCCCTTCGGCCGGGAGGACGCCGGATCCGAAGTGCCGTCGTGGGCGCCCGAGCTGACGAGGCACGAGACAACGGAGCGGTACAGCACCTCCAATCTCATGGTCCAGACTCGGCCGTGGCGGCCTCAGAGACGACCAGAAATCCACGTCGAGGGCCACATCCTGACCATAAATGCCATCCTGTTCGACAAGGTCGCCGAGGTTGTCGAGTTGGACTTCAACCACGGATGGTCTGAGACCCTGTACCGCGGAAAGGGGCCACTGGAGGTGGACATCGAGCCGCTGCAGGACTTGGAAGCCATGGCGCAGAGGGTAACCAGCCTTGCGATCCCTCCTTCAAGCCGTCTCGCCCCCTTTTCAGCCCTCCGAGGTAAGATGCCCATCTGGAGCGCGCTGACCTCCGGGTTGGAGAATGAACCCTGGTCCCGGGGCGAATACGGGAGCGCGCACCATGGATGGCTGTCTGGAGGGGGCAGGGACAAATCAGAACTGTGGGGGATTCTCATGGACCGCCAGAGCATCCCCGAGGCTTGGAAGGCGTCTTGCTCCCCTGAGCTGAGGGACAATCTGCCAGCGCTGGAGGCGGCGGTCTTGGCACCGCTTCTCCATGCTATAAGGCGGAAGGTTTACAGGAAAAAGGTGTTCTTCTCTGAATGTGGATTTTTGGGTGTAGGTACTAAAGACATAGAGTCTGGTGATGTTATCACTTTTATTGTGGGGATGACGTGTATGTATATGTTACGGCCGTTCCGTGACGGGTATCGCATTGTGGGCTTTGCGAACGTGTCGGGACTGATGGACTGGGACGACTTGGACAGTGCGATGGCGGCCAGTTCCTTGTGTGAGGAGGCGCTGAAGATATACTGAGAAGGTGCTTCACTTCTGGACTGGGTGTTGACATGGGGCACATGGATGCGCGTTTTGATGCACAGAAGCATGGACACCTTCTCCGTTGATCAGGAACGGTACTTGGTAAGTATAGATATGAGACTGGATATTCGCATCCGTAAAAACGGAGGGTACACCCATACTGAGAACTTAGAGATTAAAGTACCTAGGTACTTAGGTTAGTACTAAACTAGTTATGTTATAAGCTTATCCTATAGTATATTATCTTATAGGATATTATTTTATAGGATATTATCTTATAGGATATTATTCTAAAGAAGGTTATTTTAAAGGAGGTTATTTTAAAGGAGGTTATCTTAAGAGGTTGTCCTAGGAGGTTGTCCATAAGAGGATATCCTAAGAGGATGTCCTATAAGAGGTTGTCCTATAGGAGGTTGTCCTATAGGAGGTTGTCCTATAGGAGGTTGTCCTATAGGAGTTTATGCCTTCGGTCTTGTGTGTACCCTCTATTTTTGCGGGTGCGAATATCCGATCTCATAGATATTGCCTAATCATTATTACTCATAATTCTACTCAGTGCCTACTTTGGCCGAGAGGAGGCTCACTCTTCCTTGGTTGGACTTGGTTGGATCAGGCGGTTGAACAATGCAGTCCATGCAAACTCTTCATGTACAAGGGTTTACTATGGATGCTAAGCATCACTTACTTTCCTCGGCATCAAAGAACAAATCATCTTCATCGTCAGAGGAACCAATCCCGCCGTCGTCAGAGACCTCCACCGATGCCAGGAACTCCTCGAACGCTGTCTGGTGCGCCTTGTCAGTTGCAGGTCTTCTCCTGAAGATCTCCCGTGGTGTGAGCCCAGCCTTGTTCCTCCCCACGATATCGAGCCCCTTCATCCCAACTGCACTAAATATCCGCATCGTCTCTGCGTCCCCGAGCTCCGCCACCAGGTGCAGTATGTTTTCCCCCGGCAGCTCCGGGAGGAGATAGTCTGCCCCCTTGTCGAGGAGGAACCTCAGGCACGCATGCTGGTTGTTCAGCAGCCCGGCGACGAGCGACGTGTGGCCGACACCGTTGTCCGCCTCGATGTCGGCACCGTTGTCCACCAGGAACTTGAGCACGTCGAAGCTGCCCCACCACGCCGCCAGCGCCGACGCCGGCGTGTCGTTGACGCCCGGCTTCAGCGCCCTGGCGTTGACGTCCGTGCCGGCGGCGACCAGGCGCCTGGCTATCTGGACGCAGTTGGTCCGGCACGTCCAGTGCAGGGGCTGCCACCCGATCACGGGGTCGCGGTAGTTGAGGTCCGCCCCGTAGCTGGCCAGGGCCTCGAAGCGAGATGATCAGTTTTTGCACAGCTGGGAAGGGAAGGATACCCGTACACGTTGTGAGTCAAAAGACAGTTATACAATGCCACCCGCGCATCCCGCAGGCGGTCCTGGAAGCCTGCTGCCCGACCGCTCCTGGACAAGATCCTCGAGCGCTGCCGCCCGTCTCGAGCAGCAAGCAACTCTGCTACCAGGCCATCGACCGCTTGCAGGACCCGAAATACCTCGACCAGAGGCCGCTCGAGATCGTCGAGGAGCTCGGCGCTCTTCTTGTTCGCATCGTGCGCCGCTGTCTTCGCCGCCGCGTGGGTGCTGTCGAGTACAACGACCAGGTCCGATACCTCGTTGTGCAGGGCGCACAGGAGAGGGGGCGTATCACGCCATGACTCGATGACGGCATTTGATTTGGCAGAGAGGGTTATGCCATATTCAAGTGTGCTCGTGAAGCCCGCCGTGGCCGCTCGGGGATCCATGCTTGCATGTTGAACCCTCTGACCTGTCCGAGGCAGAAAGTGTCATTGTGGTTGTCCCTTGGTTGGAGCTTCGAGAACAGTCACTCCCCGAGTCCACGACGAAGTGGGGCCCCAAAGCCTCTTGAATAGCCCGCCGGGCAGATCATCTACGCGTCAGGGGGGCTTTGGGCTGGAGGGCGGAGTCTACCCACCGGAAGGTACGGTTGTTGGTAGTCAGTTATTCAACCTATCTCTTAACCTTACCTGTATGCATGGCCCCCAATGCTACTCACATCTGACGCAATGTCGTCTCATTGGCGGCAAGATCAGGGCCTGGGAGGAGCTAGCCCCGCGTGCAGTTTAGCCTGTAGATGGTATATTAAACGACATCGCCACTGGACCCTTGGAACTCCATTTGTTTGATCCTTCCCGCGGAGTGGCGACACGGGCGCAATGTCGACTTAGCGCGTGGGAAAAGAGACGAAGGATCTAGCTCGTTATCAATGATTCTCGGGCTGGAAACCCACCCCGCCCTGGGGGTCAGGCACGTCTCTTTGAACCGCCCAACCGTTAAATAACAGTGGATGTTCAACATTCTGACTGCTTTATTATAGTGGCCGCTACTATTATTACGCTTGGTTGCAAATCACATTGGGGTCTTCCTAGGATGGGGAGCGGCGGCTTTACTTCACCACAACTACCTTCTCCTCCTTTCACTGAAATTCCGGCGTAAAACAAGGAATTCAAACAAAAACTTAAGTCTATGTACTGCTTAGTACATAACTTGTTTGACTTCAAGTGGTTTAATTGTTGACCCGTATTTTTACATGCCGAAGACGTACGGTCCGTTCACACAGTGGTCAACGATCAAACCCCAAGCATTTTTCTTTTTTTAAAAAAAAACATACAATGCAAATAACAGTATAAGAGAACTCTGCGGACAACTGGCCTCAGCCTCGTGCCGCAATCGAAATCCTAAAACACTGACCGGAGGCCACCTTTCTGCACAACACACATGGTCCGGATAGATACTGCCCTCAATAGATCTGAACCTCGCCAGTATACAAAACAACCTTGCCCCCAAGTTTCTCCTTGGTCGCCCCGGTCATAATGGTGAACATGCCATCTGTGGACTCATCGACCGTGGTAGGCGCCTCCTCCATACCAAATGTCTTGGCAGCGCTGTTGCCCCCTTCCGTCTGGACGAAGCCGGGGTCCAGGACATAGGCATTAAGCCACTCGTCCTCGGCGCTGATACGGAGAGCGTACCAAGGCAGTGTGGACTTGGCTGCCCCATACGCCGCATTCGGCACGGCCGGTTGGCGTCTGAGGGCAGACGCTCTGTTAGCCCTTTTCATCCCCAACAGTGTTTATTAGGGGAATGCTGTCGACGTACCCAAGAGAGCCAGCACTCGACCCCATGATTGCAAACTGGGCCTGACCAGCAGACTCCTTCAGTAGGTCATGGGTGGCCTGGTACAGCGACACCACGCTGTAAACATTGAGCTCCATGTGGTCGTGGATCTCGCTCCGCTTGACCTCCACGACCGAGGGGAACACAAAGCCACCGCCAGCGTTGGCAAGGACAATGTCAAGGTGTTTGATGTCGTGCTTCTCCTTTAGCTCCTTGACGACGTCGACGGCGGCCTGCTCGGACTTGGCATCATACGGGGTCGCCGTTACGATCAGCTTGCTGCCCTCGCCCTTGGGCAGGTCGCCCAAGGCCTTGACGGTCTTGTGCTGCGGGTTGCGCACTGGCGTGATGACGACCTGACTCGTCTGGTTAACAAGAGCCGAATGTGTCGATCACCATCCTTATGGTACAAACCTGGTTTGGACGTGCTAAAAAGCGCTTGACGAGCCCGAGCCCGAGACCACGGTTTCCTCCAGTGATAAGAATGACAGTGTGTGCCATTCTCTTCTTGAGCGATATTATGTGAAGCCAAAGTGTGTTGGGTAAATACAAGTACTATCAGAGACCACTGAATAGTTGAATTTGGGCTGGTTTTCGTGGTGATGAGGGAGTGCCGGCGGTAGTCTGAGCCCACTATAATTGTACAATGGGTGAGCTTTGTACTTATATGAGTTTTTTAAATATGCTGGCTGCACACAACGCCTTACCAATATCTGCATTACAAATCTGCTGTTATAAATCCTGCTCACAAGGTGGAATAGATTCTATACGACCAACGAGACACGGCACCCGTCTGAATGCAATGAAATGATGACCTTGCCGTGCTGTTACCAAGTCGAGTCTGAACGACGATTACACTGCCTAGTAAGCGCGGCAATTACCAGTTGCTTCTTAGCAGTGCTTTGTACTACATAGAGGTAATGATAAAGTTGATTACTGCGGGACTCATGCATGATTACCCTGCATATTACCAATTACCGTGCACGAAGGATTTACAAGGCTTAATAATATTGTGCAGCCACCAGGCAGCCCGGCCGCGGATGATCAGGGTCAGGGTCGGGATAGCTTCACTAAGCACTTGTGACGGGAAAGAAGTGATTCCTTTCACCTTGACCGTTTATTTACACCGTGATCTGGATCTACCTGCCGCTTGGTGCTGGTGGACTCTTGCAGTCAAGAGGGTGATGTCTGGTTTCATGGATTCATAACAATTGAGGATTGCCTTGACAGTCAGCCTGCAAAGGGAATGTCTGGCCATTTAAGAGTCCTGGAAGCCTTCCCGGGTACTGTCAAAGAAGCTACTTACTAGGTAGGTACCTAGATATCCCCGCGAGGGATATACACTGATTTTGAGACTAAGGGTGCCTAGAACTTAGAAAATCACAGTTCCGAGGCACTGTCCGTTTGGTGTCAGCGATCGAACTTCACAATGTATTTTCCCCTCAAATCAATTGATGGCAAAGCAAAGATAATACGATTCATTTATTGTTTTTTTTCGACTGGCTGAGACGGATCCAGGGCAGGAAGACATCCTTCACCGAGATACGCAGTCCGTGGAGCCCTTCAACTGATCGTTCAGGGCCATCAGTCTGTCCGACTTCAGAATACCAAGCACGTGGCTCCTGAAGCATCTCCCAGAGCATCTGCCAAGCAAGTGCAGCTACACATCCTTAATATCACCCCAAAGACGGACCGACGAATTTTGTTTTCTCAAACTCCCTGTTGGGAAATCCGACCTAGTAGAGTCGGAACCGTCCATCCGATAACCACGTACAGATTCAACGCCGTCCCAGCCGCCCTGTCATACCCCGTGGGACACCCGTGTTCCAGTCAGCCGAACCCAAGATCAGAGATTTATACGGAATCATTGCATTTAAAATAAGTAACCATATTACCTGAGATATGAATGACTGTATGGATATGCTAACCAGTGATGCGGTGCAGGACAAGCCCTAAAAGACCGTGATCATGGCCTGACCATGGGGATCACCACACGGCCATCAAGACCAGGGTCTAGGGCACATGACACCCCGTGGGACCGTGATCTAGCATCCCTCGAGACCGCGAAAGAGCAGCCCCTTAGATTTGTTCATCATGCTCTCCAGCGTCTCAAGACAAGGGACAGACAGGCCACCCACGCCGCCACCAACACGTCCATTGACGCCTCCGCCAGCTTCCGCCAGGGGGACCGTCCGGGTAGGCGGCCAGCACGGCCGGACGCAAGCAAGTGTCTGGGTATGGCTACGACTTCTTGGCCCTCGAGTAGGGATCCGCGCCAAAGCCCAACAGGACAGCCACGCCAGCCTCAAACCCTATATCCACGGCGGCGTGCAGGGGCGTGCGGCCGGCGTCATCATAGACCTCAACCTGGGAGGGGCCGCCGCCGGCCGAGGCGTGCATCAGGGGCGTCAGCCCGTCGCTGTCTCTCGAGTTCGGGTCCATGTGTTGCTGCAGCACTGCGGCGGGGGGGAGAAGACATGCGACCTGTCAGTGTTTGGGCCGCAGATAATGAAGACCCTCGCCTCGCATCTCGGCGTCAAGTCCGCCGTGTACACATGTGGCTAGGAGCCAGAGAGAGCACATGTGGTTACTTCCCGGGGCTGATGTGGGAACAGGGTTTATCCGCCGCGCCCCCTCTCGAGCTTTACTAGACTCTGGCAGACATGTACTACTTACAGCATCGTACTATCATGGTGTTTCCTCGCATTGCCGCGATGTGCAGCGCGTTCAGCCACCCTCTGCCGTTCGCCCGGCACTGGAAGAGGAGCTCGCTCTTGGTCCCAGCCGTGGGCTCGGCAGCAGGGCCCTTTGTCCCCGCCAGCTCGATGTTCCGGGCACCTGTGCTGTCGGAGGTGCTGGACGGTGTCCTACTTTCTTCCGTGGTTCTTCTACCCTGAGTGCTGTACCCGGGTCTGGATCTCGCACTGGGAGGCACAGGGGTCCCTAAGGACATCGCCGGTGCGTTTCCTGCCAGCGTGTCGAGGCGACAGAAGTCATCCTCGAATAAGGAGAAGTCGACCTGGAATGCGGCATCCAAGTCGCCCATGTCGGGAAACGGGTCGTGCCCGGAATAGTTCGGGTTAAGGTGTGGGAGAGTCGTCGAAGAGAGCGCAGCGTCCAAGTTCACAGCCACATTTCCCCGTGGCAATACGACATTCTCGGCCCGGCCGTGTGACTCGGTCTCGCCCGACATGGCCCGTCTTCCTATATTCGACAACTTCAGTTCGTGTCATACCAGTTGATCTGCAAGCCAGAAGACGACAGTCGCTTCAAATGTGGGAATGAAGGGCAACACTCTGGGGCATCTGGCCTGGTATGCTGCTCGGGGAATTTCGTAGAGATAGTGGGCTGGCATAAGAAGGAAACACCGGACTGACTTTGACGAAAGCGCCGCTGTGCCAGACGATTTTGCAGGCGTCGTCGCTCGATGCCCTGTGCCTCTTGCTCATGGGTCGCCATTGTACTGTAAGACTGCTCCAACAAAATGTGGATCAAGCGGCAAGATGGACTTGACAACACCACGGTCAGAAGGGTTGTTGAAGACTTGAGCGGGAATGGCACATCCCGACCTCGGGAGTAGTGGCTTGCATGGTTCTTTACCAGTAGTTTTCAGTGTCCTCTTCTTTCTGACCTGACAAAAAGTTATCCCGGGAAGGGCTTTCAAAATACGCGATAGATTATCAATGATTGAGAACATTGATCGTCAGTTGCCTAGACGGAATACACTATCAGGACTAGGGTTCGCTTAGATTTAAGGTGATAGGGACCTCGGCGTGGACCGTAAGATCCGGTGGATGGGGTGAAATTTCCAAGGGCGTAGGAAGATCCAGCGGAAAATCTGCACAAAGCATCCTGTCTTTTGAAGCTGCTGGTCCACCAGTCAGCCAACGTGGATACCACACCCACGCCTTTCCTGACCGGGCACAGCCGCAGCGGCTGGTCTGAAGGAATCCCGGCGCACGCCCGCTCAATCTTTAGCCCACGATGAGTAAGATCCGAAAATTCCCTTTGTAAAAGGTGCCTCGATTGTGCAGTGTTACATAACCAACGATCCATCTGTACTATTAGTGGCATTGTATTTTTCAAGAGAACGGATATTCACACAGGAAAAAACGGCTGGTACACAGGTACGTTTCTGCTTCTAGTCTGCAGCCAATCAGAGGGCTACATTCAACCCCCCCCCTAACTATACACACCACCCACACAAAGTGCTTTTTACACCCCCCCACACAGACCTATAGACCTACTAATTCTCCTTTACTTACACACTCCCTCCCTATATAAGGGCTTATAGGACTACTATTATCAACTAACTGCTATAGGTTGACTTAACTGTAGAGGACCTCGTCCGCAACGAGAAGGAGACCTAGGAGGAGATTGTAATGCTTAGGGACTCGCCAGAGCGCCCTAAGCGACGAGGAGGAAAGAAGTAGTAAACCACCAGACTAGAAGCGACGATAGGATTAGAAGTGTAGTTAATAAGTGTAAATTTCGGTTTTATATGGTGAGTAGGTGATGTAAATTAAGGTTGGCGCACTGGGGGGCATTTGTACCTGTGTACCAGCCGTTTTTTCCTGTGCGAATATCCGTTCTCTTTTTCAAACGCTAGGTCTTGAGCATTTACTGTATGAAGGCGCCATGTATGTCTTTGAAAGCATATGGAGTAGAAGCGAAATCAGGTAATATCAAAATCACTTAGGTATTGAGGACTATATATGTAAGGCGTAACTACATAGAGTTTAGAAACAAAAACCACTGTACCTACCCAAGGCACCCGAGGGCCTCAACCCCCCAATGTCCCCCACTACTCCGGATATCCATCACCAGCAGAGACGAGCTTACGATACTGTCGTCTAGTCCTCCTGCCTACCTGTACATAGACTTGCCATTGCGACAGGGAGGGGTAAGTGCTCACTCTATTAAGACCATCGCTCTATCAACACTACCATCATAATCAATCATTCATTCAATCTATTCAACCCTACATACCTACCTAGGTACCCAGGCACATACCCAGACATAAAAACCATCTAACCATAAAACATACTCCATGCCATCCCAAACCCAAGAGCCACAAAGAAAGTCCAGCTCAGCACTTGAGCCCCTTCCTCTCTCTCTCATTCTTGTCCTGAGCCGCACAGCGTGTCCGTGTCCATGCCCGTGTCTGTTTTCTCTTCTCACTCGCACCCCAGTAGCCAGCCAACAATGCATATGCAGTAGACGAAATACACAAAAGAGGAGGAAACAAAATAAACCAGGAAAAGGAACCAAACCGAAAACGAAAAACAAAAAGAACAGTCCAAGTCTCATTAAAAATCATCAACCATCCATCATCAAGCCATAACAGAAACAGCCTCCTCCCCAGCCCTCTCCTTCTTCTTGCGGAACAGCGTCTTAAGCATGCTGTTCTTCCGGCTCCCCAGCGTCGGGGCATGCGAAGAAGAACTTGAACCCCCGTTCAGCACCGACTCGAGCGAGTCCTCCCTCTGCCGGCTGCCGTCCTCGATGGCCTTGGTCGCGCTCGTGCGCACGGTGGTGGCCTTGGAGCGGGACGTCTTCCGACTCCGCTCGCTCCCGGCCTCGCTGGGCGCCGCCTCCGTGGGGGCCTTGCTCGCCCGGCTGCTTTTGCGCTCGGGCACCTCGACCCCGTCATAACCATCCTCGGACGACCTCCGGTGGCTCCGGTGGCTCCGGTGCGACTTGGACGAGCGGTGCGTGCGCACCGTGCGGATGGACCGGCCGTCGTCGCGGACGGACTGCGCCGCGTCGGGCGTGATGAGCTCGAGGTCCGCGGACTCGGCGATGCTCCGCGCCAGCTCGTCGTCGTCGGCCTCCGAGGGCACGATCCCGCGGCGCCACGACTCGATGGTGCTCAGCTCCTCCTCCAGGACGAGGGCGTCGTCCTCGCTCGGGCCGTACCGCGAGCCGGCCTCGGAGCCGGGGCCACGGGCTGCGTAAGGCTGGTCGTAGTGCTGGAACTGCTGATCGTACTGCTGGTACTGGTGGTCTTGCATCTCGAAAGCCTGGGCGCTCGCGTCGCGCTCGGCAGCGATGGCCTTGGCCTCCTTGATGCGCTTGACGATCTTCCAGCCGCCGAAGCACACCACGGTCACGCCCACGGTGACACCCACGGCGACGAGGAACTGGGGGCTGGCCAGGAGGGCAAAGATGGCCGGGGAGCCGCCCTTGACGACGCTCAGGAAGCCAGGCCCCAGGGTCTTGAGCAGGGTGCTCAGCTCGGCGAGCATGAGGGCAACGGCGGCAGCGGCCTCGGGCTTGCGCTGCAGATGATCAATAATGCTGGTAGCCGTGTGCTGGACGGCCTCGGCCTCGTCGAGGATAGTATCGATGCGGGCCATGAGGGTGCGGGCCTCCTGCTCCCTTTTCAGTTCTGCATCGGCGGCGGCGCGCTCCTCCTCGGCTTTCGTGACGGGCCCCAGGTCGGTGCGGGAGGCCAGGTCGGGCGGAATGTTTCCGTAGGCGAGGTTCATGTCGATCTCCTTCTTCTTCTTCTTCTTGTCGTTGGGTGGCGGGGTGGGCCTGACGGTAGACAGGTCGGACTCGGAGACGGCGTGGTGCTGCATAACACCACCGCCGTAGCTGCTCTGGCGGCGGGGCACGAGGGCGGGCTCCATGGTGCTCATGGTCGACGGGGGCGCAGTCGGGGCGCGGGCGAGGGTCGGCCTGCTCATCATCATGCTGTCGCGCGGGGCAGTCTCGGCGTAGGGCGAGCGGTAGACGGCGGTGATCTGGCTGGGCGCGGTGGACGACACCTCGCTGTGGGTGCGCAGGTTGCTCGCCGTCAGGGGCGGGCGTGTGCTCCTGACCTCATCGTCGTCGTCGCCGCCGCGGGTGGTGGTCCTCTTGGAGCGGTGCGACCTGTGGGACCTGTGGCTGGTGGCGTGGCTCCTCCTGGAGCTGCTGGCGATGGACCTCCCATCCGACCTGGCATCGTCGATGGACCGCCTGCGGTCTCGGTCGTCTATGCGCTCAGGCTCGTGGGTGTAGTAGCTGCCCTCGTCGTACTCGAGGAAGTGCCTGCGGACCGGCAGGTCGTAGACATGGCCGCCCTCGCCGGCGTAGGTGTACTGGGACGGGGCGGGGCCGGCATAGGTCTGGGCCTTCTTGATGCCGGGCCTCAGCTCGGCGGCAGCGGCGCGTTCGGCCTTGATGGAGGCCTTCTTGTCCTGATAGGCTGCCTTGGCCTCCTTGAAGATGTTGACAATGTGCTTTCCCTGTATTGCGGGGACGAGAAGGCGGCTGTCAGTATTGTGGCACACTGCATAGTCGATCTTTCAACTTTAACCGCGAAGTGGATGTGCACTTGGGCATGTGCCAGACGACGATAGGAGGGGAGGGGCTCTCTCCCGTTGTTTGTGGGTTTGACGGCGGGGTTGGACGACGGCGGGAGAGCGGGAGAGGTCCGTTTGACTCGCCCTCTCCCTGCCCTCTCCCTGCCCTTTCCATCTCGACCAGCCCAGCTAGCTCCCCGGGTCGGTCGTACAGCGTGATAAGGAGAAACCAGTGTGGGTGCGGGTGTGGGTGGGACAAGGGAGGACAGGAACTCACATTGCCAATGATCTTGCCCGACTTGTTGATGATGGTGACCGTCTCCGTGAGCTGCATCTTGACAGGCAGGGCAGTGCGGTGAACTGAGTGATTGAGTGACTGAATGATTGACTGTCCAGAGCCAATGAATTGCCGAGCCAGAAAGGAGGAAAAGAAAGGCCTCGATCCCAAAGAGCAGGTATAAATCCAGCTGTCCCGGTAAGCAGTCAGTCTCTGGTGCTCCCAGCCTCCCGATTGAGGTCGCAGTCCCGTCCAGTCCTGTTTGTCCTGTCCTGTCCTGGCCGTCTGGTCTTTCCTGGCCTGCCCGTCTTGTCTGTTTCGGGTGTCGCGAGGGAAGTCGCCAGCCCGAAGAGGCGGTCTGCGAGGTTGGCCCCCCTTTTTCTGCACAGTCCCCAGAGTAAGTACGCACTACCGTATGCAGTAGTGGCGAGCCCACCCACTTGCAGGCGCCGTCACTGGATATCGACTGCAGCGGAAGTGCAGATTTCTGAAACAGGTGCCCACAGTCAGTCTGCAGTTGGATGGAGGAAGCACTTGAGCTTGAGATGCACGGGTGCAGAGGTGCAGGAGGGGCAGGAGGGGAGTTGGGGAGTTGACAAAGCCACAAGCTCGGGGAGGGAGGCGGCGAGGAAGGAGCGACTAAGAGGCCTATTAGGGCAGCAGCCACTAACTAACTGGCAGGCAAACACGACACCCGTTACCCGTTTCCTGTCTTGCCTTCCCACTTTCCCATGCATTCCTTTCCTTTTTCGCATGTGTCAGTGGTGCAAGACTCAAGCCACTGCATAAGGCTGCCATGTTCTAGGCTTCACTAGGTCCCGGATCGGCTTCCGGGAGGATGGCAAGAGCGGCCCAAGGATGACCCAAGGACTGCCCAAGGACTGCCCAACACACAGCTACAGCAGTCCTCCTACGTACTGCCCTGAGTCCCTGACAGCAAGGCTTCCGAACAACCGCCCAGAGGCTGGCCCCGGCGCCAATCGAGCAGGACAGAGGATGGAGGGCCCCACTTGCTCGGCAAAAAACCACGCAGTACGTGGTCCAGCCGCCCCAACCGCCCGGCAGTCCAGCTGGTCGGGCCCACCCCACCCCGACCACGACCTATCACTCTTTTCAGGGCGGGGGGCCTTGCAGACGGACCTTCCACAGCGAACAACTCGGATTCTCCCCCCGGGGGAGATGCAGAATACTTCCTGCAGCCTGCATGCACGCCCACACAGGTGTATCTCCCCACGCCTGCTGCAGCCATCCCGTGACCTTGGGTGCTCACTGCACTTGCACTGCTGAAGGTCCCAGAAGGCCGGAAACATCGGCACGGCAGGCACCGTTGCGTTGTGCTGTGTTGGATATTTCTGCCCGATGCATGCATTGGATCCTCCATAATGGAACCAGTTGGTGCTGTGGTGCTGCCGTAATCAGGTTTGGGCCCAGCGTAGCACCACCAACTGTCTGTCTGACAGGCACCACCACCAACATCGGCAACTTGGCCACCTCCCAGGCCACAGCAACGGCCACAACCACACCCACACCCTCGAGCGGGAGGAAGTCGATGGGCTGGCTATACCATCCCAGGATATAACCACCAAACTTCATGCGCCGCCATCAACAAGCCGTTGGTAAACCCCGTGATTGGCCCCGGGCAAGTCACAGCTTCAATCACAATCACCCCATTCCCCCCTCGGTTTGGTTTGTTTTGGGAGGCAGCCCGACTTGCCCGAGTAGTGGGTGGCAAACAGCTACAGTACAGACACAATCAATGCATGAGTGAACCTACCAACGAACCAGTGGGCAGCTAACTGCAGTGGCATGGCCAAAAAGCATGTTTTGGCTTTCCGCCTGACAGCTCTGGGCGGCCCGCCTACCTGGCTCACAGGCGCTTTGAAAAGAAAACGCCGCGGAGTCCGAGTAACACCAGAGCCCTTCATGTTATCAGGATCATGATTACTACACAATCACATCATATGTGCTTGATTTTAATTATATCAGCGTCTTCAAATAGGTATATGATCTCTATAATATTAAAATATCTATAAGAATCTGTGGTTGTGGTGATGAAGCAGGTGGAAAGGTTGGGTGATGCTGATTCTGGTACTTGACTAGCGGCGGTTGAAACGCAAACCGCCTGGCTCAGCAAGCTTCATCATCATCCCAGCTGTAACGCTGTCACGCCGCGTCGCCGTTTTGTTGCACTATCAACGGTGGGGGTAACAAGCAGATAATAAGCAAGGCGCTGCCGAAAGGAGAAAAGCTGCTGCAGCCCCAGGCGAAGGCCCGACCTGACCTGGGCTGGCTGACCACTCCGACGCGACCAACACACATACATATCTGGGCACACGCAGGCCTGAGGCCTGATACGAACTACACACATGGCATACACATCATGCATACATACATACATACATACACATCATACATACTCAAGTATGGACCTAGCAATCTGCCGAATGACCTCATCAACTCATGATTAACTAAGTACCTGCGCTCGGAATGAGCCCAAGCTACACCAGATATGTATGTCTACATCCATCCTTCGTAAACATGCATCCAAGTATGCATTACGGACCCGCCCCCGGCGTCCAGATACAGGGGACAAAAATGCGCGCTGCCATCACGCCGCATGCCCACAAATTACACCACCCAAATTGCGCCGTGGAACGCCTACCCCTTGGTATAGGATATATGCCCAAAGTGTGAAAATGCAAGCAAGCAAGCAAGCAAGCAAAAAAAATGCTCCTGACACCACCAAACGGCCCGCCTAGACAACATACACCGGCAGCCGGCTCCCGTAGAGCTCGCTCTTGCTGATTTGAACGTCCTTCTTGTGGAAATCATGCAACAACAGCCAGCAAAGCATCCGGAACACGAGCGTGCACCAAACGTTGCCGGTAAGTTGCTCGTGCAGCGTCGTCGACATCCGCTTGAGCCGCGCCATGCCGTCCCCGTGGTGCGGCGTCACCAGCAGCTGCGGCGCCGGCGTGGAGGACCGGCTCTGCACGTCCGCCGCCGCCGCCGCCGTCTTCTCCGACTCGACGCTCTCGCGCGGCGCCCCCGCCCCCGCCCCCGCCGTCGCGTCGTCGTCGTCGTTGTTGTCCGCCGCCACCATCGCCCCCAGGTCCACCCGCGACTGCGACGGCGAGTGCACGTACCGCGTGCTCTTCTTCTTGCGCAGCACCTCGTGGCAGTTGCGCGTCACCGCCTGGCTCACCGTCGTGAAGTAGATGTCCATGAACTTCTGCTGCTTCTCCTCCGGGCCCGCCGAGTTGAGCTCGTCAAACGTCTGGCTGTCCTGCTCCAGCGTCGACTCGTCGCTGGCCCCGTCGCCCGCCGGCGCCTTGGCGTTGAGCAGCCGCATCACCTCCTGCACGTGCTCGCGGATCACCAGCGAGACGAGGTCCGACCCCTCGTCCTTCAGGTACTTGTCGCACTTGGCGATGGCGTCGTCCAGCGCCCGCAGCAGCGCCAGCGGGAAGAAGGTGTCGTCACGCCACACCTTCTGGCTGTGCAGGTGCTTCGCCACCTGGTGGACCCACTTCTGCAGCTGCACCAGGTGGTCCGTCTGCGGGGCGATGTCGTCGTCGTTGACGGCGCGGTTGAACTCGAGGATCAGCTTGGGCAGCGAGAAGTTCTTCTTGTTCCAGCTGTACGTCGTCGGGTTTGGCAGGTAGCGGTAGTAGGTGTTCTCAATGTAGAAGGGCTTGGCCACCATGCCGAGAACCTCAAAGACGACTGAAAAAAGTGGTGGTTAGCAAACACTAGACGCGTTGATATGTCCCGTCCATAGATGGGCAGAGGGGAAAGAACTTACTGGGGAAGAGATGAGCGTGCTTCTTTTGCGGGTCACGGAAGTAGTTGGTCGTCTTGGAGTTGCAGCCAAAGTGTGTGAGGGACTCGACCAGCTCCGTGGTGCTGCCGAACTGGAGCACCCACGAGTTCTTGGGGTCGTCGTTGTCGTACTGTGACTTGCCGTTCTTGTCAACCTCGCGGAAGAGGGTTGACACGTTGCCAAAGGCCAGCAGCTTCATCTCGTCGGTGGGGATGATGCGGTTCTGCTCGAACTTGTTGCTGCCGTACATCTGGAAGTTGAAGGCGATGCCGAGATCCTGGACCTCGTGGCCGGTGAGCAGGTAGCCGTTGCCCTCGGCCAGATACTTGTGGTTGGACCGGTCAAACTCCCTCCAGTGCAGGCCCAGCATGGCGGCGATCTCGACAATGTGGCAGATGGTCGTGGTGGCGTAAGGCTTCTTGACCGCGTCGGGCATGGTGTCCCAGCTCCTCAGCTTGGGCTGCAGGGCGACGACGGCGGAGTGCGACTCCCAGCCGGCGACGGACTCGGGGAGCTCGGTCTTGGGCCCGGCCCGGACGACGTCCTGCTTGAGCGTCTCGGCCTGCCACTCCTGGCTCTTGTGCTCCATCTGCTGGATGGCCTGCAGCAAGATGGCCCAGGTGGCGCGCTCGTTGTCGGCGGTGTGCACGCGTGTGTGGATCTTGGCCTGGCGGTTCAGCTTCTCAACCTCCTTCTGCTGGGCATTCTGTCTGTCCTGCTCCGTCCTGGCAAGGGGCAGGGATCTGGTTTCCTGCTCGCTCTGCTCCGTCCCCTTGAGGAACTTGACCTCCTCAGTGGGCACCGGGCCCCTGGTGTTGCTTGGCGGACAGACAAAGAGGACGGGAGCCTCGAAGCGGACCTCGAATCGGAGTTCTGAGTAACGGAAGATCCTCCTCCTTGTCACGGCCCAAGGGCCCATCACGCGCTCATTGCAGCTGGAGTATCCGATGGCCGAGGCATAGTATTGCTGGAGAAGCTGCAGAATGGCCCCGATCAGGGCGACGACTGATATGATCAGGGCGACGATGGAAACGATGTACTCGCCGTCCTCCATTTTGTCGTAGAACTAATGAAACGCAAGAGATGCAAAGGCCGGGTATCACTGGTATAAAATGTGGCCAAACAGAGGACAGGGCTAGCGACAGGTCAGACCGAGCTAGAAAAAAATGTGCTGGGAAGCAGATTAGGCTGGCGAGGACTGGTCAGCAGAACAAGCAGCATCCTTCGGGTCGAGCAGGGCGGCATGATGTATCTTTTCTACCTGCACGGGAGCAGAGCCGTGTCAGCACAAATGGAGAAGGCAACAAAAAAAGACAGACAAGAGCCGCAATACAGAAAAAGGATAGGCTGATCGGGCCCGTACAGTACGGCTAAGACGGCGCGGGCCATTGGACTGGAAAAGCAGTCAGCCGCCGTTGGTGGACAAGGCTGAGGGTCGAGCTATTTCAGCTGGATGGGGCTCCTGTGGCCGTTCTGCAGCATGACTGGGCCAGCAGGGGTGGGACAAGCCACGCATTCCACATTGCTTGCACCTCCTTCCACATTTCCACACGTCGACGCCCCGGGCCCGATGCGCCGGCTGACGGGCGCATAGGGGATCTGATCCTCTTGTCCCATCCAAGGGGGGGCCACACTGGAAGGATGCGCGGTAGGGGCTCGAATGGTTCGGATGGAAAAGAGCGGTCACAGGTTTGTTCGGTGCCCCTGCAGCCAACGGGACGGGTCCTGGGGGCGTCGGGTGCTTGTGATGGAGCCGGCAGTCCACTCCCACGGGCCGGTTGGTGATGGTGTTGGCGTAAGAGTTTTGGTGTGGAAACATTTGGAGATCTGGGTGGTGTGTGTGCCTGGGCTAGGTGCCTGGGTTGGGTACCTGGGTTAGGTACGTACGTACCCTGGCTGTGTGCAGTGTAACAGGCTGGCAGCAGCTGCACCTGTTGGTGACTCTTCCTACACTTCACTTGAATCTGCCTGCCCCTATTGTCGCCCCTTCTGTGCCCGACACCGCCCCCTCGAAGCCTCGACTGACCCAGCATCTCGGTTCGACTGTTCCATTTACCGCCTCGGCCCCAATCGAAGCTTTTCTCCCTCGACCGCCCTGGCTCCCAGCCCAGATTAAGTTTGGCGGAGGATTTCGACGGCCCACTAGGACCCCACCAGCCTGGGAGTCTGGGACCCTGTGCAACTGCCTGCAGTGGAGCTATGGGGCTACGACCCGCTAGGCTGGCCCAACCAAGGCGGGCTAAGCTCTCGTCGAAGGAGGATCATCCTAGGAACGTGGCTGCCTTGCCGTCCCGTGGCTAAACTTTCAGCTCGACGACAAACAAACAAACACACATATCTTATTTCCCATGTTGTGCTGGCTGCCAGCTTGCATCACGCAGGTTGCTCTGCAGCTCTGCATCTGCACTGTGGCCAAAGATAGCCCACGACAAGGCCAAGGCGAGGGCGGGGCCGCCCTGTCCGTGAGACCCGATCCCACTGCAGCTGTGAGCTCGATTCTGTGTCGATGAAGAATTATATCTACCAGAACGTCCTCTAGTGATTAATGACATCTTCCCCCCGCTGGTGGCTCTCCGTCCGCAAATCGCTAACAATGGCTGTCTCGTCATGCCATGACCCTCTTCCTCTAAGAACCCTCAACCACTCGCTGTCTCGTCGCTTCTGACCAACTAACAATGCCTCCAAAATCAGAAAGAAAAGTTGGAGCAATCAAGCATGACGGGTCTAGAGCAACGATGGACAAGGTAGACCGGCTCAAACTTGTCCCGAAAGGTTGCTGCCACCGTCTGCCCCCACTCACGCTGGGTCCTCACGTCGTTAAATGGCCGCGCCATGAGGGCCTTTTCACAGATGTCCGTGAAAAAGGTCGCGAATCGCCGCATTCTCCTGCAGTACCCGTCCAGGTCATCAGGCATGCGACGGCCAGAAGCCCATAATATCCGCGTGTCCCTGTCGTGCGTGCCCCACTAATCAGGCAGGCGACGGCCAGCAGCCCAGATCTCGCACGACTGAGGCCACTCACCCTGAGCGTACCACTGCTCAGAACCTTCTAGGAACTCTGCGACACGGCGATGACGCAGTGCCATCTTGGCCCTGAACAGCTTTTGGAGAGACACTGTGTCGGCCGGGAGCAGACACATTGACTCTTCGCCAAACAGCCCGAAGAGCCCGGTGGCGGCTGCCTCCTTGTCTGTTATCTCCTCGAAGCTGACTGCCCCCACCACCAATTCAACTCGGTTGGCCCTGGCGAGATCATGGTAGAGGGTGGGCGATGCCCTCAAGTCAGTGAGGATAGTTGCGAAGATGGCCACCTTGATCTTGTTTTTGGTGGCCATGGCGAATAAACGATCCTCCTTGAGCTCTAGAATGCCGTCTATAGTCCGGAAGACTGCATTAGCCGGCCATCTGGCCGGATTGATGTACTGTGTATTGATCAGCACGGTGTCGGTGTCCTTGTTTACCCAGACCGGCGACTCCACGATTCGTCCCGACGTCATGCCCGCACAGACATACACAAAGGCAAGGTTGGAGCACACAGATCCGTACTCCTTTCTGTTGGCAATGTCGTAAACCTCCTTGTTTACTCTGGAAATAAAATGACTCTTCTTTCCCAAGGTCCTAGGGTAGACAGTCCTGCAGTGGCGGCCGTGCATAGAGTAGAGTCCATATTCGTGCGCCTCGGTGCTTGAGAGTGTGCGATGGTCGCCGTGCACCCTTTCATTAATGTTTCCTCGGACGGTTTCGCAGGCGAGATGGATCCGGCTGGGGATGCATGCAAGCCAGACCTTTTCGCGAATCTCGGGGGCCATCTCGGCGAATAGGTAGAACGTGCCCTCGGGGCCAATCGGTACCTTGGATTCGGCCCTGTGAGGGTGTATCAGCGAGGTAATGAGGAACCAGTGACGGCAGACGAACCAGCGCTCAGCATTCCTCAAAGATAATGCAAAGTCGTCCATTGGGTCTTCTTCGGAGTCATGCGTCGCGATGGGGGCCATTGTTACCCTATGGCAGATTGGCTTGGTGGCCGGTATTAGGCGTGCTTCTCGGTGCTAATCAACAGTTTCTTTGGGATAAATCGTAAATTGCTTCAATCAGACGAATGATAAGACTTTTGAAGTGGAATAATGGAAGTGGGGTTGAAGCTGGATGGTTGAAGTTGGATGGTTGAAGTTGGATGGTTGAAGTGGTGGTTTGTCTTGCGCCGCGACCCTTGACCTTTCCGTGGACGAGCTTGCGCCCTAGACTGAACTATGATCCAACCTTGGAAGGTAGGACGCATATTCAGCTGCAGTTCAAGCGAGAAGCACTTGCTTCAAATAAACAGGTACCACGCACCCAGAACACCGCCCTTGCCAGGAAGGTGCTATCCGATGGGACGCCATCGGTCTGGTGGTAGACTTGTGGCATGGTGGGTTAAGAGCTCGGGAGGCCAGGGGTGCGACTTGATGGCTGTTGGCGGTGAATTCATGGCCAAGGGGATGTATTGATCACTCAATAAGGCAGGAACTCGCTTTAAGACTGGTATGTGACCGTACTTAACTCATTTGGGTTCTGGAAGATGGCCACTCGGTAGCCACATGCCCAGGTGTGCAATGCGTGCACGGAATTATCGAGGCTGGGAGGCCACAGCCCCTTCGCCACTGGAGCATCCTCCCCGACAGTAGTCCGCAGTACCCAGATAAAGTTTAAAATCTAGCTAGAGATTTCAAGAAAATCTGAGACCTGTCCAAATTAAAACGTCCAGCAAAATGACGAGAGGTTTCATGATTTCCCTTGGGCCATATAAGTCGTTGACAGGCGGGAGTCTGTACCTAGGTAATTCGATTCAACCTAGACATCATTCAGGTAGCCGGTGTGCAAACAAATAATCGTCACCAACACTTTCGTGCTTGCCTGACTACCTAGGCTGGGTTGGTATTCCATGGGGTGTCATGGTCCAGAAAGTTACCGTATGCTCTGGCTTCCTATTCGCCCTCGGGGGTCTGATATGCCGCCTGGGCACTGGATTGTCATCGATCAGACTCGGACGGTATCCCTTGCGCTCAGATATGCGTGGAAGGAGATTTCGCCTTTGATGGGTTCCTTCCTCTCCACAGGAATATCAAGCAATTGCGAGTGTTATGGTCATGCAGCCTTGACTTGAAAAGAGTTGGGCAGCATAACTACAGGGAAACAATAGAGTATTAAGAACCTATCTGATATCGATGACGGAAGGGCCCTTTATGTCCATGGCCACAGATAGATACCAAAATCTAAAACACCACAACCACCACAAACAGAACTACGATAGAAGCCCACCCCAAGAAATACATCACAACCCCCATCCCCGTCATAACCCAGTCAGACTCATTTGATAAATGCGACACTGGCAAATCAATCAAGAAGCTGTTGTCGGCCATGTACTGCGTCAGCCGCCGGAGAGTCCGGATGTTATCCCCGCCGCTGTCAGAGTCCGCATCGTCTCCCCTTCGCCTTCGTCTGCTGCGACGACGACGACTCCTCGCCCGACTGTTGCCTCTGACTCTGCCTCTGTCATCTACATAGTCCTCATCCGAGGAATGATCCGAGGAGGAAGACGATGAGCTATTCTGTGCGCTGCCTGGCTGAACTGGCTGTGGATTGGCGCCGTCGTTAGCGTCGTCGTTCGGGTTGTTGTTGTCTGGTGGTAGATTCGGGCTGCACTTGTTATTAGCCTCCTGTTGCGTACCCCATGCGTCGTCATAGAAGTCAGCAGATGGGGAAGCGTGCAGGGAAACTTACTCGATGGGTCGAAACCCTCTGCATATGGCGCATGTACGAGTCGTGAGTGAACTTAACCTGCCCCCTCTTGTCGCATTGCGCCTTCTAAAGTAATATAGGGGACGCCGTATCCCGCAATTCGTGCATTGAAGAGTCAATCCAGCCGAACCACCCCCGCTCATCTTGTAGCAATTCTTTGCTTGGTCAAGATCTATGTATACAAGATCAGATCACGGCCGTGGGTTGGCTCGTCATGGTCGGGTGCCGGTGGATTAGGGATCGAAAGAGGAACACGGCTTCAGATTATGGGAGACCTCTATGGTTGAGGCTTGCAATGAGTGAGGAATTTACTCGACCCCTTGCAAGTAGTTGTATATATATAGCTAAGTAGGGAGTAGAAATATATCAGAATAACCGCAATGACTAAAAACTGCGTCGCCTTTGTGAAGACCTTTGTGCTTTATATGCCACCTCAGGAGCATGTTTCCGGACAATGCTGGCATTCCGTTTGCAGTCTGAGCCCACAATTACAAGGCCAAAACTTTGGAAGATTGCATCTGAAAGACGGAGAATAGTTATAAATGTATTTCGATATATGAAGCGGCGGTTCGGAGACGAACCTGAACATCGAGATACCTTTGAATGTCTTACTGGACCCACGGCATCTACATCATTCCAAGGCTCTGTCTCAGCTCACGCCACTCCCGCTCCTGCGGCACTCAAACCCATGGATAGCTTATTCTACGCAATCGGCGTCATCCTCTCAGGTTCTTTCGTCATCCACTTCGCATCACAGTTTGGCTACTCAATATGGCTCATCTACTTTATCGTGGGGGAAATGAGGCCCTACATCGGCCTAAATGAGCCATGGAATCCGACCACAGCTCGCGCCCAGGTTAGGGCAGAGGACTGGATGCCCGGCGGGGCGACGAGCGAGGATGCAGCATTGCCAGGCTCAATGGCCATGTATTACATGGCCTGGAACGTGGCCTGGAAGGCGAACCCAACCGCAATGACCATAATCGCCTGCGTCTATATGGTGATAAACCTCGTCCTGATCGTATGGTGCGCATACATCTTCGCGCTGGTCGTGCGCCTGGACCGCCGGGACCGCGGCGGCGCCGTCCGCATCATCCTAAGCATGATCTGCAACAGGCTCGCCACGCCCGCCTTCGCCTCGTCCATCATGATGTCCGCCTACCTCTGCTGGGGCTCCTGGGTCTGGTTCAGCCTGTGCGCGCCCGGGGTCCCGATGCGGAGCCTCAACCTGGCCAACGCCCTCATGCTTACGGCGCCGAACGCGCTCTTCGCCGTCCTGTGGGTCATTGGTAACGGCTGCGAGGTGAGCGCCATCCATATATGCATGGATCAGTTTCGCGGGTTCCAAGTCTCCGTGATGCTTTTGAAGTGCTATATAAAAAAGAGAACCTCACTTAGCGTGTGGCTAACACATATTACCAGATTACCGACCACGTAAGGGGAGGCCCTGCTAGCCGTCAAGCTGGATTCAGGCCGGTGCCTGATATAGACCAGGATGGAGTCGGGGCTGCACCTGCGGCAGCTCGACCTGGGTTAGCTAGAGTAGGAGGCGGTCTTTTCGATGTGGGTGGTATTGGCGGCGGCGGCGGCGGCGGTGGCCGGGCCCGCGTATTGTTTGCAGATATCAGAGACGCTTTACGGCAAGACATTCAGATTGTGCTACAACAACTGGCGAGAATCATGGCTACACTCTTAGCAATCCGGCGTTAAGATGAAGGCCTGCTGTTCAGGGTCCGGGATTCTCTGAATTACGCACAACGCTGCACGTGTGGGCAGTTTAAATCCAAACGCGGTTGCTATGGTCATATTACAGCGCAATGATATCGCTTTTAATACCGATACCAGTGCACCCGCTTCTATCGAGCTCTAGCGAACTCAGCCTGTGGACTACCCGGCCTGGCGCCGTGGCTGCGTTTTCATGCATCAGATCTTGGCCATGAAGTGGATCAGACATACTAGGATATGCACGACCTGAGATTCATGGTCCGAATGAGAAGGGAACATATAGAAGTAATGCGATGGGGAACCACTTGAATTGACGTGTATGTCTAGGAGTCAGCTGGCGCTCTACTTCTGTGTAAGACGACCTCGAGAGTCAGTCCAGTTGAGATGGTAAATTATGTGTCATGACCGACAAGCTCGCGACAACGACGCATTGTATCAAACACTTAACTGCATGTATTGCCGGTAAAAATGGACCGAAATCTGACCCAAATCAATTACTAGAGATTTTGTTCAAATGTTGAAAGAAGCCGTAGGCGTACAAGTCGAGAGATCTGTATATGTTCCGGTTCAGGCAACCGTGCATGTCCGGATGATGGCTCATAATGATCCCATAATGTCTCATGCAGACCAAAATTTTGATCGAATGCACCCTGGGGCAGCCTTATCGAGAGTAGATGCCACAAGCGCCACAAAATGATGACATGTTAAATATACTTTCTGACTAGGGGCGCTGTACTTTGTTAATCGTGCTACGTTGTCATTCGCACAGCCGACCTGGAACATATTGGAGTAAATTTAGTCGACCGGAAACTGGAGTACCCAGCGAGGCATTGTAAGACAACCCTGCTGGGAAGGTCTTTCTGTGATATGGAGTATTCCAGAAAGTGGTACCGAGAGTACTGGAAAACCAGGTAGCCATTGTTCCTATAGATTCCCCAGGAATCCCCAGTTTGATTTCCTTAGGAAAGGGTTTAGCTTCATTTGAGTGAAGTGCTCATTTTGAACAGCCTGTTACCGCTTTTCTCGGTTACTGAAACCCTATTACGTCCCCAAAGAAGACCTTGGATACAGCGAGCTATTCTCAATCTTTTGAAAATTATCACCTCTTTCAATCAATAAAGAATGAAGCATACCTAGGTACTTGGCCCCTGGTTCGTTCCCGCCGAACCCTCGCCTCATTCACAAATAGTTCCGCCCAGCATTACCCCCAGTCCGAGATCTAATGCGGTGGTTGTGACACTGCATGCACGCGTGTAGCCCCGCCTTACTTAACAACGAGTTTTCACATGTGAATTTATAAGCGAGTGGGTTCTATACGAGCCTTGTGACCCACAAATACTGTCTAGTCGCCTGGGCAGCTTATCGGTGCTGCGAAACCTTAACAGATACACGGTGCCCTTATGCGGGCCCTGAGATATGTTTGAGGCGGCGGACCTGATCTTACGTGACTTACCAACGCAGTAAGCACATGGGGGCAAGTAGACAGTACATTTTCCTAGTCCGTAGCCTTGTCTCACGTTTGAATAGCAGGCAGAAAACGGGCGCTAGAGCACTTGAGGCAAATCCCTGAAGTCTCACTCAGCGCCCAGGGCAACTTTCAGCGAGCGGCTGACAGCCAACCTTTAGCCATTGTACCAGAGTTGTGTGTACTGCCACCATCTGCACAAAATCTTGGACGTTCTATCATAGTGATGAGAACTTGAGGTTCAACTCTATACTCCCACACGGAGGACAGAAGCCTGAGTCGTGTACCTTCAGTGACCCTGTAGAGATAAATAAATTTGCTCAAGAGCCTAACGGCGCAGCTTCGACTTGATAGATTGGACATACTATCTGGATCTCCTCCTTTCACAATACGCTAAGTACGTGCATGTTGGGAGGGCTGCGGGACTAGTGTGGTGAACTACTGCTCGATCCCGGGAGAAAATCTCGGACCGCCTAATAAGGGGGCTTTAAACGTCTTGGCTCCACCGGATGACGGTAGAGATGCCCCCTAAAATGCCGATCAATTGTGTTCCAGCCGGGCATGCAGCAAGCCTAACCCAGCTGTCCATTCACAAGCAAACGCCCGTCAGCCAAAAGGGCGGGTGAGTATTAATCATCGCCCAAATTCCCAACACCCAAGCCGCCCTGATTGTTAAGCCCTTCAATCTTATCTAATGTCCACGGTACCTCCGGTAAGGCCGGAAGCGGTTGAGTCTGACGTGGGAAATGAGGCTTCAGTATCAGAAGCTCGTGGAGGCGGTAGCACATTCCTGGACGGGCTAGTTTGGGGTTGGTCCGCACCGGCTCTCGAATTTGTAATGTGGGATATGCAGAAAGAAAATGGCTGATGACGTGCGATTCGCTGACCGTCTCAACTACCCAAGCAGCTACCCTAGCTCGACCAGATATGTAAAGCCCTGACCTCTGTGCAGTGAACAGCCGTCAACTGATTGTCCTGTCCCCTTGCTTCCTTTCTCTTTCTTTCCAGAGACCTAACTGCCTCAACAAGGCCTGCCACGCCGTGTTCAGCAGGTGAATCGCACCCGACGCGGCGAAGATCTTGGTACAAGGGCATACCAGCCTGGCAAATTTGCACCGTGCCACGACTTTAGCAGCTTCTGTACACAGCAACCATCCACGATGTGGGGCACAACCGTGGACGAGGCCAAGCTGTCCAAGACAGATAGCCGGCAGCTGAACCAGTGGCACAATGAAGTCCAGCCAAACACATCTGGAGGACCTGCGCTTCATGGAAACGCTCCAGGTGAATCTAGGTCAAGCTCCGACGAACCAGTAGAGGGGACATGGGGAGAGCACGATGTGATGGTGCCTACCGAGGAGCGGGCGATGCACGACTTTGATCTTCTCAGGAGAGAACTCACCGGCTTGTCCAAGACACGATCCAAGGCGAGCCAAGCGACGAGAGGCACCAAGAGACCGGGTTCCAGACCACGTCGACCTTCAACCGCAAGAGATGAAGTCGAATCACGAGCCGAGGAGCCCGAAAAAGCTGAGGACCCTGAAAAGGCCGAGAACGAGCTTGAAGAAGACTTTGAACTGGAGACCTTTATGCGGGAAGGCCACTTCGAGAAGCGCAAGGATGGAAGATCCGCCAAAAAGGTCGGGGTCGTCTTCAAAAACCTCACCGTGAAGGGAGTGGGAGCTTCGGCCACTTTCGTCAAGACCCTGCCACAAGCCGTTCTCGGCACCTTTGGGCCCGACTTGTATCGCCTCATATCCCGATTCATCCCCGCCCTACAGGTCAAGTCAGGGGAGACACGGACCCTGATCAACAATTTCACTGGAGTGGTGCGGGATGGCGAGATGATGCTCGTGCTTGGAAGGCCAGGATCTGGATGCTCGACGTTCCTCAAAGCCGTTGCGAACAATCGGGACTCGTACGCGTCCGTGACAGGAGAGGTGTCGTATGGTGGCATCCCAGCGGAAGTTCAGAAATCGCATTTCAGGGGAGAGGTCAATTACAATATGGAGGATGACGTTCATTTCGCCAATCTGAATGTGTGGCAGACATTCGTCTTTGCCTTGTACACGAAGACCAAGAAGAAGGCGAGAGACGAAATACCAATTATTGCAGAGGCACTGATGAAGATCTTTGGTATCAGCCACACGAAGCACACCCTTGTGGGAGATGCATTCGTCAGGGGTGTTTCCGGAGGAGAAAGGAAGCGTGTGTCGATCGCGGAAACACTGGCATCGAAATCAACGGTGGTGTGCTGGGACAATTCAACCCGCGGATTGGATGCATCGACCGCGCTGGATTATGCAAAGTCCTTGAGAATCATGACGGATATAAGCAACCGCACGACGCTGGTGACACTGTACCAAGCCGGTGAAGGCATCTTCGAGCTGATGGACAAGGTCCTGGTCATCGACGCAGGACGCTGCATCTACCAAGGCCCAGCAAACGAGGCCCGGCAGTATTTCACCGACCTTGGCTTCAAAGCCCCAGACCGTCAGACGACTGCTGACTTCTTGACCGCCATCTCTGACCCGAATGAACGCCAGTTCCGCGAGGGATGCGAGGCCAGCACACCAAAGACACCGGAAGAGCTTGAGAAGGCCTTCAGGGAGTCGCGTTTCCACAAGATGGTGGAAGAAGACATAAAGTCATACGAGGCCTATCTTGAGGAGACTGACCACACCGATGCACGCGAGTTTGAACAGGCGGTCAGAGAGGACAAATCAAGGACCGTCAAGAAAGAGTCGAACTACACGGTCAGCTTTGTGCAACAAGTTATTGCCTGCACAAAGCGCGAATTCTGGCTCCTTCTTGGGGACACAACTACGCTCTACACGAAGCTGTCCACTATCATTAGCAATGGGCTTATTGTCGGCTCTCTATTTTACGGACAGCCCCTCACCACAGAGGGTGCCTTCTCACGCGGCGGCTCCCTGTTCTTCTCAATCTTGTTCTTGGGCTGGCTGCAACTCAGCGAGTTGATGAAGGCTGTCAGCGGACGAGCGGTAGTCGCCCGCCACAAGGACTATGCCTTCTACAGCCCTTCAGCTGTAAGCGTTGCCAGGATTGTTGCCGACTTCCCAGTTGTCTTCATACAGGTGGTCATATTTACACTTATCATGTACTTCATGACTGGTCTGGATGTCGTTGCTTCCAAGTACTGGATCTACCTGCTGTTCGTCTACACAACAACTCTCTGTATCACTTCCCTATACCGAATGTTTGCCAGTCTCTCTCCCAGCATAGATGACGCAGTTCGATTTTCCGGCATTGCACTCAACCTCCTTATCATCTATACTGGCTACGTTATCCCTCGTACTCAGCTACTGTCGGATTACATCTGGTTCGGCTGGCTCTACTGGGTCAACCCGATCGCCTACAGTTTTGAAGCCGTCATGGCCAATGAATTCTCCGACCGCACCATGGAGTGTGGACCAACTCAACTCGTTCCTCAGGGCCCAGGGATCGATCCCGAGTTCCAGGGCTGCAGCATCAGCGGCGCTCAGGTCAACTCCAATTCTGTTAGCGGCGCATCGTATCTGCAAACGACGTACAACTACACCCGTGCCGACCTCTGGCGCAACTTTGGCGTCATCATTGCATTTGCCGTCCTGTATATCCTTGTCACCATCGTGGCCACAGAGATATTCTCTTTCACCTCTGGTGGCGGCGGTGCATTGGTTTTCAAGAAGACCAAGACAGCACAGCGTGCTTTGCAGAAGCGGCAAGACGCCACGGCAACAGTCGATGTGGAGAAGGGGCCAGCTTCAGGGCCCACGGAGGAGTCCCGCGGCAGCGGTAGCACCACTGTCACCGAAGAGGACGAGGCGCTCGCGTCTATTTCCAAAAGCGAGAGCATCTTCACATGGCAGGACGTCGAGTACACGGTGCCATATCAAGGTGGTGAACGCAAGCTTTTGAACAAGGTCAGCGGCTACGCTAAACCAGGTCTTTTGATTGCATTGGTTGGAGCCTCAGGCGCCAGCAAGACCACACTGCTGAACACGCTTGCCCAGCGGCAGCGTATGGGCGTCGTCTCTGGAGACATGTTGGTTGACGGGAGTGCCTTGGGTCTCGAGTTCCAACGCGGCACGGGCTTCTGCGAGCAGATGGACCTGCATGATGAGACTGCCACGATCCGGGAAGCACTCGAGTTCTCCGCCGTACTGCGCCAGGACAGGAACATTCCTCGCCAGGAAAAAATCGCCTACGTGGACAAGATCATCGACATGCTTGAACTTGGGGAGATCCAAGATGCCATCGTCAGCAGTCTTGGCGTCGAGCAGAAGAAGCGACTTACCATCGGCGTTGAGCTCGCCGCAAAGCCACAGCTGCTGCTCTTCCTTGACGAGCCAACCTCCGGCCTCGACAGCCAAAGCGCATGGAGTATTGTTCGCTTCTTGAAGAAACTGTCACAGGCCGGTCAAGCGATCCTGTGCACCATCCATCAGCCATCATCCCAGCTCATTCAGCAGTTTGACATGATTCTGGCCCTGAACCCAGGTGGAAACACGTTCTACTTCGGACCAGTAGGCGAGAACGGCAGTGCAGTCACCAAATACTTTGCCGACCGCGGCGTCCAGTGCCCTCCCCACAAGAACGTGGCCGAGTTCATCCTTGAGACTGCAGCCAAGAAACCGAAGAGGGCGGACGGCACGCGCATCGACTGGAACGAGGAGTGGCGCACAAGCCGGGAGGCACAGAACGTGCTCTCTGAGATTAACAGCCTCAAGCTTACCAGGAGCAAGTCGGCCGGTGCACACAAGAAGAAGGACGACGAGACCGAATTCGCCGCGCCGGTCTGGACGCAGACAACTATGCTTACCAAACGCCTGTTCACGCAGTACTGGCGAGACCCATCGTATCTGTACGGGAAGCTCTTCGTGGCGGTCATCGTTGGGATTTTCAACGGCTTCACCTTCTACCAGCTGGGGAACACCGTCCAGGACATGCAGAACCGTATGTTCTCGGTCTTCCTGATCATCACCATTCCTCCGACGGTGGTGAATACCGTCGTCCCGAAGTTCTTTCAGAATATGGCGCTCTGGCAGGCCCGCGAGCACCCGTCCCGCATCTATGGATGGTTCGCCTTCACCACCGCCCAGGTCGTCGCCGAAGTCCCTATCGCTATAGTCTGCTCCGTATTGTACTTCCTCCTGTGGTACTTCCCGGCCGGGCTGCCCACAGACTCCTCGACGGCTGGCTACAGTTTCCTCATGACGATGCTTTTCTGGCTGTTCATGAGCAGCTGGGGACAGTGGATCTGCGCTTTCGCCCCGAGCTTCACTGTCATCGCGAACGTGCTTCCGTTCTTTTTCGTCATGGTCTCGCTTTTCAATGGTGTTGTGCGTCCATATTCGATGCTTCCCGTCTTCTGGCGGTATTGGATGTACTACATCAACCCTTCGACATGGTGGATCGGTGGCGTGCTGTCAGCTACGCTCCACGATATCCCTATCGAGTGCGCTCCGTCCGAGACGGCGCGCTTTGATGTCCCCGACGGGCAGACGTGTGAATCGTATGCTGGATCTTTCGCACGTGCGGCGGGTGGGTATCTTCTGAACTCGAACGCCAGCGCCAACTGCCAGTATTGTTCATTGAGCACCGGCGACCAGTACCTGACCCAGCTCAACGTCGAGGCAGGGGACAAGTGGAGGGACTTTGGAATTTTCTTGGCCTTTGTGGTAAGCAACTGGGCATTGGTCTATTTCTTCATCTATACTGTGAGGATCCGCGGTTGGAGCTTTGGGTTCGGGTCGTTGTTTGGCGTCCTTGGCAAGGGTGTTGACCGTGTCAAGAGTTTGTTCCGGCGCAAGTCACAGGACTAGATGTCAAGGGTTGGGAAAGGATAGACTGAAAACTTAGACACGGAGAAACTGAGGACAGGCTTAGGGTCTTAAGATCTTCTGAAAAGAATAAATTGGATTTTTCCCGGTCGTCAAACACCATGTATTGTGGCCTGACACGCGCACTCCTGACTGGACTTACAAATTCAAGTGAAAGCGGATTGGTTAGATACCGCTGCGGGAAACCGAGGGGGTCACCAGTGGATGGTGGGCTAATTAGGCGCTAATAAAAAACCTTTTAATGTTTTTTATCAGCTACTGTTGGCCTAATATCTAAAGATGGAAGCTAGAAGGTATCTAATTGGTTAGAATTTTTTTTATTTAATTAAAAGTAAAAAGGTCTATACCCCTTAATTAGAGTATAGGCTACTAGCTTCTATTTTATTACTTACTTAACTATTTATTTATACTTTATTAATTTAACTATAGGTAAGGCTATAGGCTATTAGCTATAAAGATAAAATGGAAATATATATGGGTAGGGGCTTAATAGACTACCTAAATAGGTAGTCCTCTCCTTTAATAGCTCTATCAGACCCTAACTTAGCTGTAACTAATTAGAAACCAGGTCCTAGATTCAACCAATTAGAGGCCCCTATTCATCTTTAGATGTTAATTCATCTTTAGATGTTGGGTTCAACTTCCGCTGGCAACCCCCCGTATTTCCCCCTACGGTAGAACTGATCAGGATTGGCTGGTTCGGATGTTACCTCTCGAGGTATCCAGTCAGGAGCGCCAAGTGACGTTGAATTAACGTTTAGGAAGACTGGTTCGTGGCTGACAGGGCAGGCGCGTCAGGCGGAGAATCCACAGGGAATCTTGGTCCGGGTTATGAAACTGTTTCAAATAATGGGTTGGACAGAATTAGGTAAATTGCTCTCGGTTGAAAGAATTGTGGATGATGAGATGGTACTTGCCCGGTTGGGTAAAACTCTGCCACATCAAATGATCTAAGTACCTAGGTATCAGCCTTCTTTCATATACACGAACCTCATCCGCGTGATGTTGAGCTCTTGACCTCTCCATATGACCTACGTGTGAGACATGGACAATTTTATTCCCAAAAAAACCCTCAGGAATTCGTGAAGTAGAGGCCGTGGCCTTTATCGGGGAGTTTAAGCTGGGTCAGAACGGTGTTGGTTTGCTTCCCCGTGATCATCCCGCCAATATTAATATAAGAGGATACACTGGCATATCGATCAAGTGAAAGACTTCTCAATGGGAAGTAGCAATAGCCAAACGAAACCAGGTCAACTGAATTGCAGCATAATCAGCTTTCAAAATACTGTCACTATGCCTTAGCTATTCAATGGGGGAACAACCCTGCAGGAGTCGAGATTCTGCGATATCTGTAAACAGCCTGAGCTGAACAATCGCTGCCCTGGACAAGAAGAATTGGAATAAAGCCCCGGAACCGCAGACAATGACTTTGAGACGTCCATGAGACGATCGTCAGAGGGTCCCCAGAAAAGATGCGATCGTTTTCGGACGCCGGCACGAGGAGTGGTAATATCGATACTATTTTTGGGGGGTAAAGCAGCATCCAAGTTGGAATCCCCGTTTGATGAGAAATTTTGGAAGTTCTCTTATATTATAATATCTCGTAGCATATTTTCGGTTAGTGATACTATAGTATGATGGATGAGTTTGAATATGAACTGTTGCACTCAAGTAGCTGTTGGGAACATTTAAGTGAAAACAGAGAAGTTGTTTGTAAAAATTCCAATCGATCCATCCATCTTATCTACATCTGATTAGTTGCATGGTCAGCCGGTGGTGCTGCAAACAAGTTCCGCTGGACGATACTGTGCAACTGTAATACCGCTGTCGATATATATTTTCTGAGCCGTGTAGAAAAATTGTATTCCGTGCTTATATAATAGTAAGTATCATCATATCCATTATCTGACACTGCCAGCGGGTCTTTAATCCTGCAATCCTGTAGAAATGAGTTTTAACCCCTTACGTATTAACCAATAACAAATGTTCTACTCGGAGGATGGCATATCTGGAGATCCTCAATGCCTAGTGATAAACTGCCCGAACATTCACTGGCCATACTGCTTCCTTGGTTCCGCTGGTTCCAACGATGCCAACCCCATCTCCTCCTAATCCTTTGTAGCCCCACCAGAGGTGACCGCTGTCTCCCTTACCCCAGTCATCAACCATGTCAATGATGGTTTGTAAATGTCCGTACGTAGCCGGCTGCGGGCCACGCTGTTTCCGGAAGACGAGACATGTAGCAAAGACTGCGAGCAAAATGGCAACGCCGGCAAGTACGGACAGTGGGACCGGGTTGAAGTCGATCTCCCCGAAATCTTTAACCTGGTAGGTGATGCCCTGGGCACCGAAGAGCCACTGCGCAACCGGCTTGATGACGAAGAGGAACATCCAGGCAAGACTGGTCCGCGCGGACTTGATAGCACCGTGCCCCAGCGGTGTACCGCGTGGCTTGGCCGCTGCGCGCCATGATCTCTCGTCGCGGAAGACATTGACGATGAGTTCTGCGCAATGCATCGTGAACGTGATGATGATCTGCATCGCTAGGCCGAAAAGTAAGACCAGGAAATGTGGCAGCAAATTGTCCTTCGACTGGACGCCAATACCGAATCCCGCGGTGGCGATGTACTCGTCACTCCCCTCGGGCGGTTCGTTAAAGAACGATAAAGTGTGATTTTCCCGGTCCCATTCATCTGACAAACAAACGGCGTAAATAGCGCCGGCGAATAAAATAGTGAGGAAGGCGAAGGTGTAGAGCACCCAGATGATGTACTTGGTAGCGCGACAAGCCCGACGCATGGGGGGTTGCCGCTTCTGAGCGTGCCGTGGCTCGGGAGAGAGGTCTTTTGAATCAACACCCATCATTCCACGGCCTGGGTGGCGATCGTATAAACCGTGTTGCAGACATGCCAGCGCCGTGTTAAGGGGGGAAGGACTCCAGCTGAGGATCCTGCGGCCGGGCTTTCCGTATAGGCAGTACGCAGAGATTGCAACTTGTCCGAGGAGGCCAATTCCGAGAAAGAAGAGTGCTACCCCGCCGAAGGTCATGGAGCCCCGTCGTTCCGAGACGGACTGTGATGCCCCTGCGTATGAGATAACCAGCAAAGCCATTGACATGAAGTTGATGGGTGCTCGGTTCGCGGGGCATGACTTGGCGCTGGTGAATAGTCGCAGATTGGAGTTGAATTTGAGCCTCCCCTCGTGGAACAGTGTCCATCGTAAGGACATATACCTACCGGGGGGAGGGGGGTAAATTGAGTGAATAGTACTATTATTTTAGAATAATATTAATATTCTCTTAAAATGTAAATATATTATTAATATAATTATATAATATTTGAATAATATAACGCTTTTTAGTTTAATATAATTTTATAATTAATAGTATATAATATACTATTAGGGGCCTAATATATAGGTAAAAAAGGGGGTTCAATCTCTATTAGAATTAAGATTTTTTTTCTTTTTTTTATCCTTAATTTAACTATTTATTTATTAATTTTTAACTTAATTATTATTATATATTAAGTTTATAGAGCTATAAAGTTAAGAAATTATAAAAACCTTATTTTTTATTAACTTATAAAATTTAAAACTAGTGGATTTAGAATTTCTAATATATATTAATATAATGTTAAAATCTAATATATAATTAACCTCTTAATAGATTTTATCTATAATAGTATTTTATTAGTTTTTTATTAGTATTTAGTTATGATGTCTAGATTTTATTTAAATGTTGATTTTTGATATAATGATACACCCATGTCAGGGACCCCCCCTCCCCCCGGTAGGTAATGTATGTCTGGTAATCATCGACATTAGTCGTTATGAGGCAGAGTCAGTGGTCTTTGATGAAGGAAATCACCTACAGCTCAAGGAGTCGGTGCTGATGGCAACGACCAAGTTGAAGAGGAGCGATATCGGAATCGCAACAGAGGATGAGAGGTCAACGCTCATGCTGTCAGCAGTTGACATCTGCTTCTTGCACAGCACAATCCCCGCAATGAAAGTCGCAAGTCCGATTAAACCTGACAAATATAGACCATAGGTACAATATCTTTTTGTCGAGGTTCCTGGGTCAAATGGAGGTAGAACCGGCAGCACTGATATCCTGGGAAGACTTTTCCCCTCTTGCACAGCGCCTGAAAATTCCATGTCTTTCTCTGGATGCCGGTTCTTTTGTATAATGAAAACCAGTAGATGCCAAAGTGCTACTTTAAAAGGCTTGAGATTCGATGTTGATGATGATTGTGAGCACCACGAAAGTGGACGATGGGTCTTTTATCAGAGTCCGCCGGCACAGCATCTAAGAGGATTGAACCACCGTCGACTTATGACTGAGCACAAGGAACAACGCTCAAAATTCAAAACAGGACCTACAAATCCCGTCTCGCTAAACCATAGGCGGAATAAGGCTTGTCAAAGCCACTCAGGTGATACCCTCAGCTATAGTCTTGCGCGCAGGAGACGGGCATAGTATCCCACGCTACCGGTACTCTGGCACAACCGTTGACTAGCCCGGCGGCAGTGAGTCTTTCAAGCGGGCCAGAACATGCACCCCAGACATATCAGAGCTGAGCCATGGCCGCGAAGACATCTGAATGCGTTGACTGATTGGCTAGATCTACTAGACGAACGCATCTGCGGCTGAAAGACACATTTCAGGGCGTGCCTTCAGAAACTAGACCAGTTGACGTCGTGACAAGTTCAGCCTTCTGGACCTGCCAAGACACTAGCCAATGCTGAAGCAGAAAGCCACTATCAACCGTCCTTTATAGATGGTTATTTAGCGTCGGTCTGTGATGTCCTCACCGCGTTAGTGAATTGCGGTCGGGCTCACCGAGCCGCTGTTGGGGTCCCTGCAACAGCTGAGGGCTTCAGTGCACAAAGGACGGCGTGTTTTTAGCATATGCCAGCTGAACTTCAACCATGTTGAGATGGTCTTAGGCCCACTGTTCCCATAGTAGGCCTTCATATCAACCAGTTGACTTGAGCATTGACTTCAAATTTCACAGATCTAGCGGAAGAATATTTCTGACCTCTGCATAATGAACTTACTGTCCTGTTAAGAGAGTGGATACATGGACGAGGAAGCTGCCGTCAGTGCATTAATCAGGATTTAGTCGGAGGTACCCTAGATGACTGAAACAGCTAATAACCTCACCCACATACTCGGACAAGGAAAAGAAGGCACGGACACCATGGCATGACCCCAACGCTCCTCGGAACAGACCCAGTGGTGGCCGCCAGAATGTACTGGGTATAGGAAGCCGGAATACCGAAGGTTGGAACGCTATGAGAGGCGTCAATGGAACCACACGCACCTCGGAATGCTGGGGCAAATTACCTAGACACTTCCTGTGTGCGACTGTGGGATGGGTAAATCAGAGCCGGAGGAATAACTCATGGGTCAGTTCAAGACCTTTGGGCCAGAAGGCTTTCTATGAAATTTATGGCAATGCATGCATATCAGTCTATATATTTAAGTATGGCCGGCTGCCCGGATCGCTCTTGGCTATACCGGGAAAGTCATGAGAGCATCGTCCTGAGGGGGAGGTGCCGCTATAAGGACAGCTCAAGTCGTGGAAGCATTCATTTCAGAGAAGCGATGCGCCGCGTTATCCAAGTTGTCACAGGTTGGCGTGCTTATGCCTTGTTTGAGTGATGGATCTGAGAAGGGGACAGTCATTGACCAATGCGCGTTTCGTCATAACTTCGAGCAATAACTTGAAGTTGCGGATCATCTGCATGAGAAACGCCACATTCGAATCCAGTAGCCGCTTGCAAATTGGATGTGTGTTACATTGATAATGGGGCATGATGACTGCAGATGATCCAGCCCCTCCTCACATAGATGAAGATCTCTCATGACACTGCTCTCTGAGAATGACACAAAAGTGCAATGACTGGTTCTGTCTAACATTCTGGATCCCTTCGATGAGATCTCCAATTGGTAACATCATATCCGTGAAACCACAACCCGCCGCTCCAATTCATCACCCTGACCAGCTATGGCAGTTGCAGAGGGTCGACTCGGATATAGCAAAGAACAACATGCTCACCAGACAGATGGCTACGGACGATACATCGACGTGCCCTTTGCTACCCTCGAACATCAACTCCATGCCGCTGCCCTTGGCGATTGCACCGGCATTACGGTGCTCGACCTCGGTGGCGGCCAGGGCCTGCGCGCGCGCCAGGTCATCGACCACGGCGCTGCTGCAGTGGACGTTGTCGACTGTGAGATCCCTTTCCAGCCCATTGTCGAACAACAGCACCAAAACCATCAGGCACGCTGCTAATTCCAGCCGGTACAGTGTCCCCCGAGATGATGCAGGCCGGTAAGAAGATTGAGTCGTCATTGGGTAGGAGCGAGGATGTGATCCACTGGATTGAGGGCGACGCGTCGAAGCCGGAGAGCCTGGCGGCCTTGCCGCTGAGGTTCAAGGACGAAGGGTACGACATGGTGATGGCGAACTGGCTGTTCGACCACGCTTCCAGCATGGATACCCTGGACGGCATGTTCCGGTCCGTGGTCGCGTATCTGAAGCCCGGAGGCCGCTTCGTCGGCACCAGGGTCATCCACGGCCATACTTCCCCGGCTGCCACCACCGGCAAGTACGGATACATCTACAAAGACTTTGGGGAGATCCCCAACGGAATGGCCTATCGCTACACCTTGTATGTCAACCCTCCAGTCTCGTACGATGGGGCGAGCATGGAGGTGACATACAACCCGGCTCTGATCGGCGACTTCCACGCCAAGTACGGGCTGGAGGACACGGAGCTCGTGCCTTCGGCCAGAGCAAGCTGTACCCGAGAGGACCCGGAATACTGGAAGCTATTTGTAGACACTCCAAGTATGGCGGTTGTAAAAGCTAGGAAGAAGGAGTGAGGTATGAAATGATGCGATCCGGCAATCGCGAGAGTGCTCTAGACGGTGATTGTGCGAGGAACATCGGAGGGTCCGCATAGCGAGCATGTCATGGTTAGACTGTGTTCCGGCCTTTAGATCCAGCTGAAATTTATTGCTCTTGGCACGGTAATGTATGGTACTTGCCGAAGCCGTGGCTTCCAAGGTTGGACGGAGCCAAGATAGCTCAAATATACACTGTTTTCGCACAATTGGAAGTGGCTTATTAGCTGGCGTGAATACAGACCTTAGTAGAAGTGTCCCAAGGTGTAATCTGCCGCCACCTCTGGTCCTTCGTTCACGATCCGCGACCCTAACCCAACAATGCCGGGATTTCCGAAGATCTGGACAGGGTCTTGGCGATTGCGGGGTACGGAGTCATGCTGTGATTTTCCGATCGTGGGGCTGAATATGCCGGGAGTGGTTGCCGCAACAAACACGTGGAGAACTCTATGTGCTGGGTCGCTGGGTGAAATCGTGCCATTTCGACATCCTCCCACAGCACACTTACCGTCCTCAATCAGTCCCGAGTAGCAGTAGAAGTTTCCGGGAGAGTCTTGTCTGCCCCTGCGTTTGTGTTGAGTCGAGGCGTCACAATTGAAACCTCTAAGCGGTGCCAGAAGTAGGCCCCGAGGCTCGGCCCAGTTCGGACTTACGTATCACGGGCGCGGTCGGAACTTCCGCAGTGGCGTTGTCGAAGGACTCCAGAAAACGTACAGGCTTATAACTTACACCTAACCAACATTCGTCGGTTCGACCGTGGGAGCCAAGTCTATCGAAAAATCTTCTAGCGACTCGGAACAAAGCCCGGCTTATTAACACCAGCAATCATGTCTTCGGAGGCAGCGAAGGCCGAACATGGCGGCGAGTACCGCCAGTTTCTGCCCGATCTGAGCATTCCCCGTTTTACCACTATGCAGAAGCAAGATGCCCACGTATACGCCAAAGAGTTCAAAGAGGGTGGAAACCCTCCGTGGCTGCACAGTCTGTACTTGCATTGGCTCAAGCTGCTCGAAGACCCCTTCAAGGGCGTCACAACAGATGGTATGCCGTGTGCCTGACCTGTATCGTGCGAGTCCACAGTGCTAATAGAGATCAACTTCGTAAAGGAAATGTGAAACCAGGCCTTTTCAAGATTCAAGACGAAGGGGTGCCGGTCGACGACATAGTAGCCGCGGCGGAAGCCGTCCTCGAATCCCTAGACGATGAGCAGACCAAGCGCATCAAGTATCACGTGGACGCCCCTGAGTGGAGGACATGGAGCAACCCCGAATTCCTTCTCAGCCACAAAGGACTACGGCTCGACGAGATAAGCCCCGACCTGCGAAAGAAGATTTTGCTTGTCCTCCAGACGACGCTATCGCCCGAGGGATACCAAAAGGCGTTGGGTGCCATGCGTGTGAATGGCTTCCTGGGCGATCTTGTCAAGTCACCTGCCGTGATGAATGAGTTCAGCTACAATTTCTGCCTGTTCGGTGAGCCATTGTGTGCACGGCCATGGGGATATTCATTCTATGGCCATCACTTGTGCCTGAACGTCTTCTTTTACAACTCGCAAATTGTCATATCTCCGTGGTTTACAGGCGCCGAACCAAACTTAATCGACGAAGGAAGGTATAAGGGGACACGAATTCTCGAGGAGGAGGAAAGGTTGGGTCTGCAACTCATGCAGAGCCTCACCGCGGATAAGCAGGCCAAGGCCCAGACGTACAAATTGCTTAGGGACCCTGCTATGCCCTACGGCCGATGGAACCACGATGACCAGCGCCATCTTTGTGGTGCCTACCGGGACAACCGAATAGTCCCATACGAAGGTATCCTGGTCTCAGAAATGACAGCGGACCAGGAAGAACTCGTTCTGGGAATCCTCAACCAATACCTGCTTTACCTTCCCGCGCAGGCTAGGAAGGTCCGCTTGGAGAACATCGAATCATGGTTCCACGAGACATACTTCAGCTGGATCGGGTCGTTCGGTGATGCGGACCCGTTCTACTACAGGATCCAGAGTCCCGTCATCATCGTGGAATTCGACCACCACTCCGGCGTGTTTCTGACGAACAAGGAGCCTGCCAAGTTCCACATCCATACGTTGCTGAGGACGCCGAATGGAGGTGATTACGGCATGGCGTTACGGCCTTTGATCCCCAGTGACGAAGAGCCCTTTGTTTGGGGTGGCGAGAGGTATTGAGACGACACGGGATCTCAGGCCCTCAGAACGGTACAAATTGTGGCATGTGCGACGTGAACACTTGGCTGCGCCACATACTTGTATGACATGTAGTCACCAGAACCATAGAGACAATGAAGGACCAGAATCCAGCCCATTGGGGCTGGGAACTCTACTGCCATTCCATGCAACCTAGAACCAACCACGACATTGTGCACATAATCGAAAGCCGAGCCGGGTGACTGGGTTATCAGTCACACGCTTTGTGGCACGACTTGATCAGCTACTAGTTTCTTCGGCTTCTGCGTGTTACATGAGTCTGCCCGCTCATCTATATGGGTATGAGTTATCGAGTCTCAAATAAAGTGGATAGGTCTTAATCTCGCAGTATACGAATTATGTGGCTGTATTACGAAAGGAGTTATTGAGCTTACTTTACATCACACTCAGAGGTGCCAGATAGTTGTTGTTAGTCCTTTAAGTGGTGATCAACGCCGTACGGCATTTAGCATAGTATCGTGAACGTAGCTTGGGATGAAAGCGCAAAACGAGATGGGCTAAGTCAAATATAACATGGCACGGATATATGTTATTGATTTTGATAATTACCTGGGTACTTGACGAAATAATCGTGTGGTGACGAATTATGCTTCAGTCGGACGGGCGCGGAATAGCAATAGACGCCAATGTCAGCATGGCAAAGGGTTTTGCGTTCAAGGATGAACTGGTCTAGCTTGAGTGAGAACAGTGAAGGCGTTCATGGTTGATCTCTTTGTTAATAACTTTTGGATCACCTCGAATGTTGATCCTACGAGTAGCAATCCGGAAGTTACCAGTTTCATTCTGGGGCATGCGCTCTCCTAAATGCCATCTATTTGGAATGGTGCCTCCTTCAATATGGTAGCTTCTGATTCAACTGTTCCATATATATTTCAATAGTATCCGAGCTTAAAGAAGACAGGAGGCAGGGTTGAACTGCAGCAACCTGCCGTACCACCAAGCACATGGGAGGATGTTTGCGCCCGGAAGCTCACAAAGGCGCGGTATGTGCGCCTTTGAGATATGATAAAAGGTTTCAACTGGTCGTACACGTCATGATATCGGCAGCGTTTGTTTAAACGTACTATTCTTGGATTCTTTGCCTCGTTGGTCTTCATCGACAATACCTTGTGAATGATCCTGCGATAATGGCATTGATTTAAACAATGGGTACTTTTTGTTTGAGGGATCCTACTCGGCGCCATATCCCCAACGATACGGGGTATTTATATTCGGTCTTTGGCCCTTTCTTGGACTTGATATTACTCGATTCATCATCACAGCATTCGCAACTGTAGAGCCCTACACTTCTATAACAACGAATTGTAGAACACGTAGGGTTTTCAGCCAACATGAGTGCAAACAACTCCTCAAAGGGCAGGCCCCCTTCAATGATGTCCAGTGTCCGGGACACTACAAGGAGGGTCACTGCGGCTCTGACAAAACCGGCTGGCAGGCCCAGTCTCCATGAGCCAATGGACACTGTGCAAGAACTCACACACATTGATGATCCCGAGGAGCCATCTACCGTCCTTACGCGGATGGCAGCTGCGCGTCCTAATCCACTTGCAGACCTCGAGTCGCTCCTCCCAGTCAGGCACGACTTTGACGATTTGAACGGCTTCATAACACTCTGCAATGACCTCCTGGTTTTGAACTCACAGGATCACCTTGATCCTACTCGCAGGTCCATCAAGATTCCGGGAACCACCGGGGTCTTCATTAGCCCCAATCAGCTCTACCACGCGTGGCACCTTCTCTCCCAGCGAGGTCGCTACCTGCGGGGAGGAATCTTGGCCGATGAGGCCGGAACCGGCAAAACATACGTCTACTTCACCGCAGCACTTCTCCGCGCGTTGGTCTGGGAGTCAAAACGAGCTGTCCAGTTATATTGGAGCGGTAAGGGAAAGAAAAAGGTTGGTAGGCACGCTGAACATCATCTTCCCGAAGGTGCCAATGGTAGAAGTTGCCCCAGTCAGAGGCCAGGCGGCATAGTTTGCTACTGTGTTCCTGGCTCACTCACTAGGACCATCAGCGACCACACACCCAGCGGAGTCAGCGCCCTGTACGTGGCTTCCGAGACGTGGCCTGACATTCTGAACCTGGTGCAAACAGCCGGTCTTAACCCTTCCATGTACCAGCTGTGCCTAGTCCACAACAATGCTCCCAAGCGGTTCACACGCTCAATGGGACCCTTGGTCCAGACGCTGTCTCATGGGGCTCAGACTGATCTGAAGGACTTCTCCCCGGCATCGTACATCTTCATTACGACGCTGGAGTCTCCAAGGCTGAGGAATATTTTCGCTGGGAAAGTGCTAAATTGCGGGATAGCTCTCATCGATGAGGCCCATCAGATACTCCGCATAAAGGACTCACTGACGTTTCGCATGGCCGAGGAGTTTTCTCATCACGGAGCGGACGTGTGGTTTGTAAGCGCCACCCCTTTCAATGGTTGTACGCTTGAAGACTGGGTCCCTCCTGTGAAGTGCATAGCTCCCCGACGAGCATCAGCGACGCAGAGATTAGCAGAAACCCTGGATCTTGCCAAGCTTTCTGGCGAGTTTTCTGATGTTCTATCCTTCCAGGCTCAGTTTAATACTATTTTCGACCGGGACCTAGTCTTGAGGCATTTCGGATTTTCCAAGTTTCTCGGGAAGTCTATCTCTGATGTCCAAAACATCGTTCCGAGGGTTATTTCCAGGACCACACCAACTCAGCACAGGTTCGCAGTCCAGGAGCTTTCTAGACAGATTTCTTGGAAGGACCCTCAACTTCATGACCCAACTCAGCGCGGATTGATGTACCTGGTATCACTCTTTCCGGCCGCTGCAGAGCTGATCCTCGAAGACCCGATCACCTACGACACTGCCTCCATCCGCGATTTAATCAGGCAGACGAAGAACAGGCTGCGCATTGAGGAGTCGGAGCAATTAAGAAGACTTGCTGATCGGATCATTCAAAACAGCCCGAAGCTCGACTACATCCTAGAAGAGCTGAAGCGGATGGCTCACGACCCGGAAGAGCGCGCGAGGATTGACCACCAAGCCACACACAGGCTTGGTGCTGGCGAGGACCTCAAGATGAAGAAGATGGTGATTATCACCCCCACAGTCGTGAGCGCTGTCTTCCTCTACCTAGCTTTGATCAAGCATCGCCCTGATGTTGCGCTGATCCACAACTGGGTTTCGGCCCAGGAGAAGGAGCAGGTTGTCAACAACTTCAAGAGCCTTAGCGCTGCCAAGCTGGTGAAGCACAACCGGGTCCTCATCGCACCGTTTGCCGCCATTGGAACTGGGGCCAATCTTCAGGTCGCTTCGTACCAGATCCTGACCTCTCCCCTTCCGGACCGGGCAAGTCAAGTTCAAGCCTTTGCTCGGACGAACAGATCTGGGCAACGCCTCCGCCCCCGTCACAAAGTTCTGGCACTTGAAGACAGCCCTGTGGACCGCATTGTGCTCGCTGCCCACGCCACTCTGGACATTGAGAGCGACCCTTTCAATATCAACGAGCCGCTTCGCATCGCTGGCACCAGTGCGCTTGGCAGTCCCAGCAGCCTGGACAACCCGGATAGTCCAACTGGTCCGGTTGAAGAGCAGATGTCGTCAACTCATGGGTCGACCCTGGGTGTGAACGAAGCCGCCATTTTCCAGAACGCTCTGACCTTCTCCCCGCGCCCATCTACTGGAAACAACAGCCAGGAAAGGGAGTTCTTCAGTGAGACTACCCTATCTTCAAAGGAAGCAAATGAAGCTTTGCTGCTACAGAATGCTTCTTTCTGGGCACCCCAATCAAGCACCGATCAGTCTAACGCGGATACACATGGCCCGTATGGTCCCTTGACTGACGACTCGTCGAGTGATGACTTGTATTCGTACATCGATGGTCGACACGGGGAGCAAGCAAGACCGGTGTCCCCCATGAGCAATCACACCTTTGGCCCGCCCAGACCGGTTTCCGCGATGAGCAGTCGCACCTTTGGCACGCCCGAGCAGCCTACTTACACGCCTGCGGCGGGACACTATTCCGTGCCTACCTTCGAACGTTTCGGTCACCTCTCGTTGCCGCCCCTACCGGCCGAGACGAAATCAGTTGGCAAGGATGATAGCCCTACCCTCGGCGGGCTGTTTCCTCCCCCGCCTTCGGGCCCTCGTGCCCGCTTTGACGTGGGAGCAAGTCTGACCCGGCCTCCCCCCCTGGACCTTGTCAACAGCCGCGATCGCGACGACGCCGTCTCTCTTAGGTCTGTCATAGAGTTTGAGTTGGTCGAGCGTCCCCTAACCCCTTATCCAGAGGAGATGCTTGAACATTCAAGCGACAATGCTCAGCGGGGCCGGGATCTAGGGAACGTGGAGTTTGATGTTGACGACCTTATACGAACGGCGAGGGCGTCATCGGCCCGGCTCTGGGAGAACGGCCGATCTCAGCTAGGACGTCAAAACAGCGATGACTGGGCTAGGCTTGAAGAAGAGGCGCGGCAAAGAGATCAGGCTCACGAAGACGAACGATTTCGCCTTGTAGCTGAGAGACGCGCCCAGATAATGAAAGACCTGGAGGCGCGAAGACGCTGAAGTAGAGTGGTCGGCTGTCAGGACCTGTTATGGGGCCTCCCAACACCTAGGTAAGTGCTGCCTGGTCCACAGGTCTACAGGTAGTCATCTCAGTGGGCAATGGCGAGTTATGCCAATGATATTCACGGCGGTGCTACTAATTTATGCAGACACGTAAATCCGGCATGGTGTATGGAGTTCAAGGTAGGTAATTAGAATCAATTTTCCAGTTTTGGAAAGGAATTTAACACAATGTTTCCGTAGAAATGACAAATTTGCGGGATATTAGTAGATGACCGTTTCCCCGGGTTTTTAGAACGGGGGCAATGCACCTGAAATACGCACCGTCAAACATGTTGTGTAAATGCATAGGTACATACCCAGGTACTATCTACTAAACTCAGCGCTATTAATGGGCACAAGCAAGCAAGTTGCTCCTTTAGGAATTATAAGACTGATGGCGATTACTTCTTCACATCTTGGACGATTAATCGCGCTTAGCACCCACTTTGCCAGCTCGGCGCAACCCGAACGTGCCCACGAAAGCGCAGGATACCATCAGCGCAAACATAGTCCAGAAGGTGGCTCGGTAGCCAGCCATGAGATCTTCGGGAGACCCAGCCGCGCCATGCTCACCCTTGGCAGTCAGTGTCGATACAACCTGCATAAGAGTCAGGCCGAGTGAGCCGCCAAACTGCGCAGCGGTGTTGAACACGGCCCCGGCCAACGATTGCGTGTCCTCCGGGAAGACATTCGAGACGACAATGAGCCCAACGGTAAACAGCACATCTCCGCTGATTGGCATCAGAAGTTGGGCGAAGAACGCGTTGTACCAGTACGGCCACTGCGGCTGAACGAGAGCCATTAGGAGTGGCGCAATGGCACATAAAACCGACGAGCCAACAACAAGCCAGACCGCGGAGATCTTATCGACGACAAGGCCCGTGGAAAAGTTCAGTGCGACGCCCACTATCAGACTTGGCAGTATCCTGATGGACGCTTGGAGGGCTGACAATTGCTGGACTTCTTGGAAGCTGGATGAAAGCGACATAATCAGTACATCGAGACCTTGAGGAATCTGAGGTGACTTAGTGAGAAGTCCGAAGCTTCACTTACAACAGACTGCTAAATTGCTCCATCGAGTTTAACACACCGAAAGATATCAGTATTGTCAAGCATACGGTGGTAAACGAGATATTCTTCCAGAGTTTGTTTGGCATCAGAGCTATCTTCCCAACCTTGACGCGGTAATGAACCCAGGACAAGAAGGCTGGTAGCGCTGCGACAGCAACAGCAAGGATGACGATAGTCTCAGTGTCATGGATCCTGTCGACATCGGTGCTTATGATCCTGTAATGTTGTCAGATTTCCTTCAATCCTTAGAACACCGTCTCGGGTGTTGGGAGGCACTCACGCCAGTAAATACGACAGGCAGGCAAAGAACGCCGACGCGATGATCGCGCCGACCCAATCTACCTTGGTAGCCAGTTGAGTCATGATGTGCTGCGGGCTCCGCTTGCTCTTGGGCAACACCCGCAGCCCAATCGCGAAAAGTAGCAGCATCGCGCCCCCATCGATGTACCAGCCTGCGCGCCAGCCAATGGTGTCGACCAGGATACCACCAAGAACGAGGCCGAGAGAAAACCCAAGTGGTTGGCTGAGACCTATACATGAGAAGGCAATGTTCCTGCCCCGGCCCTGCGGGAGGTTACCCGCCACGATAGCCACCGAGGACGAGAGGTGCAAGCTCATGGCGACGCCCTGGATGGCCCTGAGGACGATGAACTGCACGCCCGTGTGCACAAAACCACTCGCCAGAACACTGGCCGCGAGGACGAAGCATCCCACCAAGTCTACAGTCCGAGTCCCCAGGATATCGGCAACAGAACCCGCTAGCAGGAGGGTAGACGCAATGGTGAGCCCGTAGACGGATGCCGGCCAGAAGAAGAGCTCCTCGGGGACCTTCAGGTCAGAGGTGATTCGGGGGAGGCCCACTGTGATGTATCCGTTGATCACAGAGCTCAGAAGGTTCACCCCCGCAAGCTGCGCGGTGAGCATGACCGGGTGAAGCTTCTTTGATGCCTGCTGGACATCTGCAGTATCCTCAGGTCGACGAGCGACGGAAAAGTCTGCGTCGTCGCGATCGGCAGCGCGGATACTGCGCAGGGTGATAGCATCTTGATGTTCTTCTGTGACGGTGAGAGTTGTGGCCATCTTGCTTGATTTCTGTCCACCAGACTTGATAGCTTGTAGTACCGCCCAGGTATTTCAACCAACCCCGGGCTTGGAACGACTCAGAGCGCCAGAATAAAATACCAGCGGTCCAAGCAGTCCTCATGTACGCTACCATTTCTGGGGTTAGCGTCCACGGGTTGAAGATGGAACATTGTGCGCAAAAGAGCACATTAATATGACTCAAGATTGGACTTTTCGGCTGCATGTGTCCCCCGCTTTCCCAACTCCGTGCCCTGAGCTCCGAGTCATCGGAACGCCGAGGTGTTGGGACGTGCAAGAGCCCGGCCCGGCTCGGGTCGTTGCACTAACTTGCAAATGCGCCAATTCAGCACTCATTCCCTACATCTACTTAGTACCCCAGGGTACCTAATTGGGACAAGAACGACAGGAGAGGGACATGAAGCAAGCTTTTGTCCCTCGGCAGGAGTGTTTCATACACCGAGATCATCCCAAGCGTACAAGCCCGTCATTGAATAATGTCCCTGGAATTACGTCCTCCGACATGCACCCAACTGTTTACGGGAGCAAGTGGAAGCATCATCAGGCATTTCGATTTGAAGAGGCCTCTGCTCATTGAACTCATTGATGTATGCATAGGACTGTTCTAATGCTCATCTGACTGTGGACCCGCAGGCCATTAAGAACCCGTGGGACGGTTTATAAACTTGAACACTCTTCGCTTTGCAAGTTCTGGGTACCTTTCGGCAACACTATCATTGATTCTGCCCCGGTCCTGGGTGCCTTTCCTTCTTTGACAGCATCTGGGCACAGCTAGCACTTTCTTGCCTATGTATTCGGTCGGGTCAAAACTGAAAAGCAGGTTCTGTTGGGCATATGCTACACCGTCGGCATAAGGCCCTTCAGTTACCTCTAACTCGAGAATATTGATCTGGAGGACGTCCGGATCAACATCGTCGGCCGGGACAAGGTGATCAAATGTGACTCCGTAGAAGTCTATTTTACTAATGGAATGGTCAGTGGGTGACAAGTTGAGTCCAAGTGTTCATTTATGAGCACCGGCGAGAAAAATACCACACAGATGTACTCACTTAAGTGGTTTTTCGTTCACCCAGCCCAAGTACTCGTCCCTCACGATCGCGTCACCAATCACATCGGGACGAACATCATGGCCGTAGATTGCCCGATATGCCAGCTTTGCAAGATCAGGAGCGGCTGGCTGGGGGAACACCAGAGCCAACGGATTGGTGTGCCATGATGCTGAGGGCAGGAGCTTTTCTATGGCGACTAGGGGCCCATCGATCTGGATTCGCAGAGGTTTGTCAAGGGGTGGAGGGTGATACGGGTGAGCGGGGTCGCATACGCAGGCCGGAATGCACAGCTCATAACCCATGATAATCAAGAGTCCGATGCAGGACCAAAGTCACCCAGGGAGGTGGGTTAACAGAAATGAATAGGTAGAGATGGAGGAAGAGATGGGAGGCAGAGATGGGAGGCAGAGACGGATGTTTAGGAACGGCTGGGTGAGTGGACGTTGGCTCCAAATTGGGAGGCTGTGCCAATCAGCTACGCGGGTCATGAAATTCCCAGGTGGGGTTGACGGCGGATCAGAAGGCGATTTAGCGCGCGCCAACCTAGGAAAGTAGGACTTAGGGTATAACAAAAGAGGGAAGTTCACTAAGTCTAAATTTATAACTAGTAACTTTCTTACTTAACTACTTAATTTTAAAATTTTATAATAAAATATTATATATAATAATACTTATTAAAATTTATTTTTATTTTTTATTATTTATTATAATAATATTAAAAACTATTATTTAAAATAATTTTATAATTTAATATTTTTATTATTTATAATATTATTTAAATATTTTCTTTTAAGTTATTTTCTTTTATATTATATAAAAGTAAAGAAATTATAATTTATACTTTTAATTATAATTAAATTAGTTTTATTAAATTTATTATATATAATTTTTATAATAACTTTGTAATTTATTATATTTATAATACTATTTATTATTAAAAGATACTTTATTATATTAGTCTTTTAAGTTTTATTTATTAAAAGTTAAATATATTATAAGTTATAAGTTAATTTAATATTAGTAAATATTTTAATTTTTATTTTATATATATTAAAAATTATATATAAACTCTTTATATAATATTAAATACTTAAAAGCTAATATTTAAAAAGAATATAATATTAATAATAATAATTAATAATATAATATATTTTTTAAAAACTTTATTTACTTTAATTATTATTAATTATATAATATTTAAAATTTATTTAAAGTTATAAAAATTATTATATACTCTATTCCTTATATAATATTAGTTATAAATTTAGCTAATACTTTTAATACTTTTATAAAATTAAATCGACTAGCGTAAAAATCAACGTTTTTAGCGGGAAACGCGTGTGTGTTAGTGGGGTTGTGCATTGTAGGGTGCGCCGACTTATTAGGCAGACAACGGACATAGTAAGTTTCTACGGCGCAATCGCCCATTCTTGCGTTTTGACAATCTGTTGCCTACTATTGACAGGGTCAACGAAGCCCAATACGATGGACATCACCGGAGAGGCGCATGAGGCACCATGGTTGCCTAGTCTGTTCTGGTTCACGCGTTGAGCAGCTGAGTGGCGGATGCGAGTGTTGGCACGCGGTGACCTATCACACACATCCCACCCCGTCGCTGAACCGCCACCATCAGTTCAATTACTGACCCGGGGATACTGTCTGGTTGGCGACGGACTCCGCGGACCCAGGCGCCTCCAGCAATGTTCTGGTTGAGCTACCTGGCAGGAAGGTGACAGGCGCGAAGTCAAACGTCACATGAGCTTGAATTGAGCGAAACACAACAATATAAATATTTGGCGTGCTGACCCTCTCTTTCTCTGGATTAGAGCTGCAGTCCAACCATACTACTCTTCTTTACCTAAGTAGTTTGCCACATCCCACAAGTTCAATCAAGCACGTGAAGTTTGACCACCTTTCGGCGTGGTATACTCAATCTGACATAGTACGTCATGTCCTTTGGAAATATATCGGCCTTTCTAACACCAATCTACGAAGATGTGCATCGTCTATACGGATTATTGGAGTTGTGGACACGTTCGCGGGACCAGGACCCACGAATGCTCTGACAAGGGTCGTTGCGTCCCTACACACCGGGATGGCGACACCAGTTCCATGAACTGCACCGCGCCAAGGTGCAATACGCCCCCATCTTCCGACGATTAGGTCGACTACAAGCCGATATTCGACGACCGGAACACTGGGGAACATCGGGGAACACCGGGTAGCAATATGCACATCTCGCGAGCACGATTACGGTCAACCTCGGGTTTGTCGTACGTGTCATTGGCTTTCAGTGGTGGTTTTGTTTCTAATCCTCATATATATGACGTGTATGTGGTGCCATCATAGGGTGGTAAACGTTCAAGGTCTTTGTTTTCTATCGTTCATCATTCGCTACTCGGGATACACTTTGGAGCGCGAGAAGGATACATAGGAGGTGATAAATCAGCTGGCCACGCTCATTTAAAACTCTGCCGGCAGGAACAGAATCTAGTCATGAACAAGAATGCTGTGGCGCTCCAACACCAACACCATGGCCCAGTGATCAACAACTCTGGGATGAATACACTGGTCACCCATTCACTTTTACAGATACATTAGCCCGCTGCTGTGTACTTAGAACGCCACCAATACTGCAAATATGCATGTTAGTATGTCCCTTTACAGTGTGGATTGCAGTTGTTTGTGTACGAGGGCCGTACCCCCCCCCGGACTCGGGGGGGGGGCGGTATTCATTCTGAGGCAGTACATCGAGTCGCACAAAAATACTATATTCTGTAGAAATCTTCGCGGATGACTGGATGACGACACTTGGAGGATTAAGACGGAGTAAACTACACAAACACTTGATAAAATGCCCTTAACAGACTTCGCGTCGCGATCACATGTGCATGGGATGTCACCGTTGAAAGTCGAATTACTCTGGGCCCAGGCCCACACATTACGCTAATTACCACATTACTACAATAGAAGAGCGCTCAGGTATCACTCTCCAATATCTACATATAAAATTTCCAGCCCCGGATATCAGTAGTACAGTCATAATCGGCAGCCTATAAGCCGGAATCATCCTGGATCAGCTTCGCCTCAGTGGCATATGCGTTCCAGGCGTCGCAGGTGTCCGTCAACTCGGTGCTGTCAATGAGATCTGCCATCTCGGACTGCCTCTCGACCATCTGGACGGCGAGACCTTCCGAGGTGTGCCATGCAATGTGGCAGTGAGTGAGCCAAACCTGTAAAGGCTGAATGTCAGCGAATTGGACCACGACGAAGAAAAAGTATATGGTGAGCGGGGTTATTGACTTACACCAGGGTTGTCCGTAATGAAAGCGAAGGCGACCCAGCCGCTAGCCGGCAACAGCACAACATCGCGACGCGGCACGTTGGCGGTCTGGAGGTTCGCCGTGGCGGCATCATACTTGCCGACACCCTGGCCGAGGACCCAGAAGTCGTGGCCGTGCAGGTGCAGGGGGTGCGCGGCGCCCAGGTTGGTCTGGACGATCCAGTAGACCCACTCGTTGGCGTTGGGCAGCTGGTACATGTTCTGCTCGGCGGCCCAGGTGTTGTTGTCGTCGTGCACCTGCAGCAGGGATGGGTAGTTCCACTGGTTGATGAAGGTGTTGTTGCCCATGGACCAGTAGAAGCGGCCCGCGGAGGCGGCGACTGCGACGGAGAAGTCGGTTGATATGTCAGCTAGGTCGGAGGCGTCGACCTTGACGTAGGGCACGAGGTTGGTCTCGTCGATGCACTCGTCAGTTGCGGCGTTATCGTTGGCCTTGGAGGTGGGCTCTGCTGTAGACGTGCTGTCGTAACGGATGATGCCCTTGATGTCTCCGGGGTTATCATTTTCCGAGCATGATGTCTGGGCAATAGCACGCAGCCAGTAGTTGTCGGCCGTGGCGTTGGCAGTTACGATAACATCATACCGCTGGCCAATGGCAATGTTCACGACATCGGTTGAATAAGGATTAACTGGCACAAAGTCGCTTGCAATGACTTCCATAGTGTGATTGTCAATCGTGAATTTGAAATGAGTGTCGGCTGCAACGTTTACCAGCCGGATGCGGTATCGAGTCCCCGCGGTGAAGACTGTCTCATGACGCGCTCCAACAACGGTACCGTCGTCCTGAGTGAAGGTGTTGGTACCGTTGATCAGCCCAGTGTCCATGGATGGCGGACCTTGCACGCGAGAAAGGAGAGCCAGGTTATCCGCAGTGTCATGAGACCAGTCGGCCAGAATCATAGAGCCCAGGTCGACGTCGTAGTTGGCTGTGGCAGGCCCATTGATGATGATCCCGCCAAAGACGCCGTCCCATGCCTGAACATAGAAGTGAGAGTGCCACCATGAGGAACCGTACTGAGTAGCTCTCCATCGGTAGGTAGTCGTCTGGCCAGGAGCGGTAGGGCACTGGGTGATGGCAGCAACGCCGTCATTCTGGTTCGTGTAGTTCTGGCGAATTCCGTGGAAGTGAATGGAGGTGCCGTTATCTTGCATGGAGTTGGTCACATGCACAACAACATTGTCACCCCAGTCACTAAGAGAGAAAAAAGTCAGGAACTAGATTGGGAGAACCGAAAAGGAGAGTACTATCTTACGCAATGATGGTTGGACCCGGAATTGTTCCATTCACTGCCAAGACTATTCTCTCCACCCCGTCAGGGGCAGCAGTGGTGTTGACAATGTTGAACCAATATTCACGGGTGACTCCAGTGTCAGGAACCTCGTCATAGTAGTTGGTCGATATGTCAAAATCTCCCCAGCAACTCCGAGCATCGGCTGTGTTCTCGCACACCTGTCGCTTAGACAGCGATGGCGACGACAGGCCGGGAGCTGCCGTAATGAGTGGCACGAATGTGAGGAGTGAGAGGAAGACGCTTTTGAGCCCCATTGTGCTTTAGCAGAAGTGTCCGAGTTAAAGCGAAAGTGATGAATCTTGGAAAATGAAAGACCAGCTAGAAGGGAGCGATTGGCAAATAGCACGACTGGACAGTCGAAGCTAAAAGAGAGAGGTGTGGTGATGATGGAGATGAGTTGAGCATTCCAGGCGACGACTTCATCGAGGCTTTATGAACATGACCGCGAACTACCTAACACCACGAACGCATACATCGGCCCACATTGTCCTAGAACGTCGAGCACCAAGCTCCGAAGGTCGTGGGTAGCCGAGTCAGATCTGCACCCTCAAGCCTCCTGTTGCTTGGCCTCGGCCGAGTTGAGGTGGATATCAGGAGGTTGTCACAGATAGTTGCTGGCGTCGTGAACGGGGTGAACTAGCACCCCGTCGCCATGGCTCGTCGAGATTCCGAGAATCGATCCTACTGCAGGACGCGCTCGTATTCTGGTGCGTGTGGTATAGGTGAGGGTGTGATAATCCTGCATCATGGGTCTTTGCGCAGTCAAGTGGACACACAACACTTGAGGCCCATGTCGCCGAACGTAAGATACTAGTATCTGCAGATACGGCGCAATGGTCAGATCTATTGAAACTTTTCCAAGCTCGACTCTCCCCAGTCCGCGTACGCCGTCAGGGGGCCCAGATACGGCGGTTGGTAATTGCTGTGTCCTCTTTGGGGTGCCAATTCCCCACGCCGTATCTATGCGGCTCAAAATGGTACAATGTGGTACAATGCAACATCTGGGATATGCCTGCACATAGTCTGCACGAGCCTCCTTCACTCCTTATGGCGGTCAAGGTCAATACTTGCCACACCCCTACAAAGAAATCATGGAATCGCCGGGAGCTTCGCCAAGCCAATACATGATGCATTACCTACCGACCATTTGCCTCTTACCCAGGTACCATTTTTGCATGCATGATGCACTGGTAAGTAGAGTTCAGAGATTCTCGCGAGTTCTGTTATCGTCATGTATAGTCTCACGAAAACCTCAACGATGTGGGGATGCTACTATAGCGTAGCATCGAGTGGATCTCTGTTTGTTGCACAGACAACACGGCTTACGCGTCAGACAGAAACCGACATACCAAGCGCCCAAACATTACTCAACGGGCCAGCCCGCAATTCATGAACGATAATATCCTTTCAGTAAAGCGGCAGATATAGCCGCTCGGTAAGTGTCGCCCTGTCATATTGGCTGGGGTTACCCGCGTGCTTGCGTGGGAAATATCAAGGGTAAGCTTGTTAGAAAATGTGGATATATCTCCCGAAAACGAGGCAGAGCGCCCATCCGGGACCCGGCACATGTACACCAATGTTCCTTTGACGATAAAACCCATGAGAACGCCCCCCACCACGTTATACGTCGCTCTGCACGTGGAGATGTTTCTTGTCACTAGTGGAGGTTGCACAGACTCGAAACAAGTGTTCGTTTGTTGTGCTTCAGCGAACTTGCGTAACCTACCTAGGTACGAGTCGGATCTGCAGAGCCTCTCGCTGTTTGTTTGCACACAGATCTGCACTGGGGTCTGATGACTGCGAGTCTCATGTTTCGCCCACCTCGCTTTCGCTAATGTGATATCGAAGTAGTCACAGCCCCCTCGCCATGGAGGCATAGATGTCAGCTGAACGAGAAGCACAGCGGCTGCATGTAGTGTGGCAACCACAACCCAACAGACTTCAGCTCGACCGTCGAATGATCCTTTCTGGAAACATATTCAGTCTCAAGGATGCGCTTGTGCACGAACATCTGCAGTGCTGATATGCAGTCAGCCTGTGTGATGGAGTCTATGACATACTCCTTCCGGGTGACGAGAGGGTGGCAATTTCCCGGGTCGGTGTGCACGAGAATAGTGATCAATGGTATCATGGCGCGTACTTGACAATTCTACCGGAGAAATTGCAACTGATAGCAAACATTTCCTAGTCTATCTCGAAAAGGTCGCTTGACGATGACATTAATTAGAAGTCTGGGAACATGGCAACCATGTCATTCGACGTCATTGGATCACCAGCTTGGGATCCACTGTCGGGGAATTTCAAGCCTAATTCAACACTTATAACCCCATAAATATTATGAGCAAAGACACCAACTGCCGAAGAAAACCGCAGAAGGAAATTCAATACGCGTGCTTTGTTTGGACTGTTATCGGATAATATTGGCAAAAAGGCCCCACACCGATCCACACCAATTTAGAATTCTTTGGTCTGGTTTCAACTCTTTTTCCACCACAGACTCTGCTGTTGACGCCGTGTTCCAGCATTTGGCTAAAAGGATGCGAACACGCATGATCTGGTGATCCACCGGATACGTTTCCGGGCCCAGGTTGCCTCCACTACGACCTCCCCACACACACGGGCAGCCAAGACTTGCAGACCTCGACACCTGCAATCGTTTCCGGGGCGTGCACACACCCTTGAGGTCTGGTCACTCGATGCACGTCCTTGGGTCTTCAGGTACGAGACTGAGCCGCGTCAGCATCCAGGGATACAAGCATCTCGGTCGCTCGGAGGAACGCCACCAACGCCCGAGTTATTGAGATGAGTTGCCGACCCATGAGTAAGGTGAACACCGGCAGGTGTATATCTCCACAAAATTTCTGGGAGACTTCATACTTGACAATCCAATTTTCCTCGTCTTATACACTGCAACTTCTGCTTCCCTGTCGTTGCACTTGGCCGTTCTTCGCAACCTCTGCCTCGACAATCGTTCCCCACTACATTTTGTGCAATCCGTTCGTTTGGAAAATGTTCTTCAAGACATTCACTCTCGCATTCTCGCTTGCGACGGCCGTGACGGCATCGTTCGTCAAACGTGACGAGACCACCAAATTGTATGCGTATGGAAAGGGCATCTCCGGGTTCGAGGTGTACGCTGGCCAGAACGGTAAGTGGAAGTCTTTAAATATTTGAGACTTTGTTCATAACTCAATGCCTTCATGAGACTGCACTAACCATTGAACCAACCTCTAGGGAGGGCTTACATTGCTGCTTCACCTGATGCCAACCTCACTGAGTTGAGCTGTAAGAAAATCATCCCCTATCCCATCCTGCACAATGATACTACACCAGATGCCCCGATGAATATCCAGAGACACTAATGGTCCTCCAGGGTCTTCCCCTTCCATGGGTGCTACCTGGAATGTTACTGCCAATAGTACTGATCCAGAGCTGCCCGTTGATACTGGAAGGGTATTCTACATCGTTAATTCCGACACCGTCTATGAGCCATGCGGTTTCAAAGCCCCCAACGAAACCCTGCCTGCCGACGCCTCTACCACTGGATTCTTCCTGTTTGGCAAGCAAGCATTCTGGAGCGATGGCTCCAGCTACGAGGCCCAGTTTTGGGCCAAGGCCACGGGCGAGACCGATCTGTACACTCTGAACTGGAACAAGGCAGGAATTGAGCAGACAGACAGCGTACCTGTTACTGTGAAGACGACCGCCCCTGCCACGTTGGACCGTGCACGGCATTGAAAAATGTGCTGATGGAGAGGATCGCGAGAGTTGGGGGTACACCACGGGATCTGCTTGCTGATGAGAAAGTCATGAGAAGCAACAGTAGTTGGCATTTTGATTCTTGTAATTTTAATGGAATTTCACTTCATGTTTTCTTTGTATCATTGGACCCATTAGCGAGTATGATTTGTACGTTCGACAGTTGTGTACCAATGATACTTTTGTGGGGTGACTATGAAAAGCAAAGTACTAAAGGTTTGTCGTGTCAAGCGCGAACATTCTTTGTGATGCCCGGCTGAACACCCTCCAACACTTCCAACAATTCATCGTACACCCTTTTCTGAATCTTCTTGCCCTCCTCGCCCGTGATGAACGGGCCGGGATCTCGGAGTTTGCAGTTGTCCATGTAGCCGCCGTGTGTCTCTCTACCACCGGCTGCTGCAGCCATCAGACATCGTGCGCCTACTTCTGAGGTTCGTCCTATGATACGCACACCGATTTCGAGCACAGCCCGGAGGAAGCCACCGGAGTGGCGGAAAAGGCTGGAGCGGCAAAGTCCAGGCGTCAGTGCGTTGATGATGACGGGGTCATGAGGAGCCATCTCGGAAGCGAGCTGCCTAACGAGGAGGATCTCCAATAGCTTCGAAGTGTTGTACCTATCCTCGGTCATGTTCTCCTTTCCTTTGAAAGCGTCAAAGATGTTCGGCTGATGCCGCTCGGGGAACTTTGCCTATCAAGGTGAATGTCAGCGAGATTCTCGGATGTTGCCACTGTAGGTGAGCCCTATGAAGGATCCACATACGAATAGTTGAGCATCCGAGGACACCACCACGATGTTTGGCTCGACATTGTGCCTTGCCGCAGTCCTCCTAAGCACAGGCAGCAGCAGCAAAGTCATGAAAAAAGACGACACGACATTGACGGCTATGGTGCTCTCGAAGCCCCCGTCACATTCTACATACGTCCCGATCGCGACGCCAGCGTTCTCGACCACGACATCGAGCCGGTCAAGGTCGGCCTCCGCGCGGCGGCAGAACGCCTTGACGCTCTCGAAGCTGCCGAGGTCGAGCTGCCACACGTCGACGACGCCGCTCCTCGACGTGGACTTCTCGATTTCAGCCCCTGCCGCCCTGCCCTTATCGAGATCACGGCAGCCCAAGATGACCTTGGCCGCACCCAAGCGGCAGAAGTGACGCGCGGCTTCCCGGCCGAGACCCACATTAGCGCCGGTTACGATTACTGTTTTCCCACGATACTCAGCCTGCGGGTAGGGCAGGCGGCGGAACTGGCTCGCGAGGAAGTAGATCGGGTACCAAGTAGGCCTGATCATAGATAGTATGCCGGTCAGTCACGCGGGAGTCACGCGGGAGTCATCCCTCAGGGGTCTCCAACTGGATCGGGCAGGGCCAAGCTTTGAAGCGCGCGACCTGCCGCGGCTCGTGCCGGGATGTGGTGGAACATTTGAATCTTACATGCTGAAGTAGTTGGCATCGGTCAGCCATGACAGGGCATGCCGTGTGGGCGGGGACGGGTTTGCCATGGTTTGGTGGTGTATTTCCCCTGCCGTGAAAATGAACTATTGAATAGCGGTAAGCCGGGATCCTGTTGGATGGTCAGGATGGTCAGGATGGTGTGAAGTGAGAAGTGAACATGCCGACAGGTCGGTCAAAGGTTCGAAGGACGTTCAGTAGCGCCTTGACGTGGAAATTGCCGTCTTGAAACATGTCGTGTGTGACAGCGCTACCCCTGACAGACTACTCCGTAGACCGTAGATCGTCCTAACACCATCCCATTATTGGCTTGGCAGCCATGTGCAATGAACCGGCATGCCTATCGTTGACGCAATCACGTTGACAACATGGTAACATGGTTTATTATATGATTTATCTAAAAATACAAATTAATGTGGAAAGCTAGAGTAGAATATAATACAGGGATTTTATTTATCAATTATTTTCCCTAGGAAATTAATATTGGATAAAAAAGTGAGGATTAAATGTAAAACTTGAAATAATAAAGATAACTTTATTTAAGTAGCTATATAGGAACTTATGTATCTTAACTTTGTTACTCTACTTACCTACCTAGGTAGGTAGTAGCCTTTCTAGAGACTAACAATGAAGTAGACTAGATAGCCGCTTCGAAAGGATTTTGGAAGGGGGATGTGATAGACACACCGGAACTGTTGTCCGCTTCTATGATATCCTTGCCAGCCCTGTTCGCCAGCGCATATAGCACAGATTGAGGATGGCAGGTGGTGCAAAACGGGAAAGTACTTGAGTCAACCACTCGGATTCCATCGAGGCCCTTGATTCGCCAGTTGCTGTCGAGCGCCGTTCCGAGGGCCACCGTGCCTACAGGGTGGCGGAACGAGTATGTCTGTTGTTGAATGGCAGCCCACACATCGTCGTCTTCAATTACTCCAGGACCAGGAAAGTATTCCTGGGTAATCAGGCTCGACACTGGTTCCCCCCTCAGCACCTCTCTCAGTTGTTGATATCCTGCGATAATTGCCGCCTTATCCGCCCGTGTGCCGTAGTAGTTGGCATAAATCAGGGGATCGTCTCGGTAGTCTGCGGACTGTAGCATGACACGCCCCGAAGCCTGCGGCTGGACTAGGCTGGCCCAGGCGGTGACCGCGCTCGAGTTGACGCTTGGCATGAATGGAATACCAGTAGCCTGGAACAAGACATGTGGTCTGTCCCGAGGCAGAGATGTATAGTGTGTGTCATTGAGGCCTTCAAACACAGAATCTGGGAGTCTCAGTGCGGCATATGTGAAGCCATCAGCCCAGCCGAGGGGCCCGGTGGCACTTTCCGTGTATTGATCCCTGGCTGTGGCCGCCTGGGTCTCGTTTTCAGACCATTGCCAGACGGTCAGAACCTCGGGCGTCACCAACAGTTGGACAATCGACAAGGCGTGGTCGCGCAGGTTTCCTCCAATCGACGGAACATCAGCCACAATCGGAATCCCCAAAGCCTGCAATTCGTCCTTTGGGCCGACACCGGAAAGAAGTAGCAATTTAGGTGTGTTCAAAGCACCAGCACTGAGTATTATTTCCTTGCCTCTGACCGTAAACGACTTTTCGTCCGAGTAATAGGTAACGTTGACGGCCCTGTTTCCTGAAAAGCCGATCCTGGACACCCAAGCATCGTAGAAGATTTGTACGTTCGGCCGACCTTCCATCAGAGGTGCATAGGCTGTACTGGCAGATGATCTCGTGCGGTTCCCCGCAAATATGGATGAGACGCCCATGTCAACACCGATTCCTGTCCCGTCATTCATGTCGACCTGGCGCAGACCGAGTGTGCGTTGGATGGAGTTGGCAAACGGCTCCTCGAAACCCGTCAGGCCGCTCGAACGACTGAGCTCCAGCGGCCCGTCTCCATAGGCTGTCATGTTGACGAATTGACTGTAGCCGGCAGCTGGCGGGTCTACATAGTGGGTAGTATCGCGGAAGTCGTCGAGCAGAGAGTCCCACGCAAGCCCGGGGTTTCCTGATATCTCGGCCCATTCGTCAAATACAGAGGCGGCACCACGGCAGTAAGCCATGCCGTTGACAGCAGTTCCTCCTCCCAGCATGTGGCCCTGAGGAACCCCTGGCGTATTGCCAGCCAGGTTGCTATCTGGCTGTACCGTATAGTTCCATAATGGCTCTGTGATGAAAGGGAAGTATGCCGGTGCTGTTTAATGTCCTTAGTAATGCATTGAAATCTCGTGTGGCTGGCGCTGGTGACCTACTGTTGATTAACGTCGAGTCATACGTCTTCTTTCCAGCTTCTAGTAATAACACCTGTTTCAATCCGTCACGGGAGAGTCTTTCGGCTAGTACCAAGCCAGCGGGCCCTCCACCCACGATCACATAGTCAATACTTCCGTTACTAGCCGAACAAGCAGTGGACAAGAATGCTGTCGACAAAAGTATAGCCAGGACTCCAATGGTTGATCTTGAGTTCACCATATTTCCAAAAATGAAGGCTTCATTCATGCAGGTTGTGAATCAAACATAGGAGAGAATTATGTGCCCAAGAGTCCATGAGTTTGGCGTCCTGCTGAGATGTTGCCCTGGAGCCGTGCAAGGTTGCGAGAGGGCAAGCGTTACTTATCATACCTTGAAGACTTCTGGCGAATCAGGCCCAATTACCAGTGCTTTAGAAAAAGTGCGCAGAGCTGAAATGATGGGATTTGCAATTTTGAACAGTTCACGGTCAGCAAAAATCGGCCATCGGAAAGCCGCAGTAAGCCGCAGAGAATTCGGAGAGCGGGATGGCCGCTTCCGTTGATTCTGACGCCACGAGCCCCATGTACCAAGGCTGACTTATTGCTTGCGCTCACCGAAGAAGGATCTGATCTACCAGGATTCTGTTTAACATGACGGCACAGTCCCAGAATACGAGCAGATTTCCTTGGCTGGTGCTCCTCGTGGTTTTTATTCATCAGACAAATGCATTGTCTTCCCAAGAAGACAGATTAAGCAATGAGGACACTTAGAATACTTCAGGCTTTTTGATCTAAGGTCCACGTATTGATCTTTTGGGACATTGCGGGCCCGAATTTGGGGATGGCTATTATTCGGTGGATTTGGTGTAAAAAACAACTAAAATACGGCTTCGGCATCTGCTGGTTTCTCTTTGCGGCACAAACGAAACTGTATACACTCTGCTTGGCGAGATTTTGAGAGGGTGAGCAAGATTACACAGGATGTACGCTGTTAACTTACGCTGCCGCTAAAAATGCAATGGAAAATAGCATTGAAAGTACACAAAGTTCGGTCTCTCACAACACCGCTTAGAAAGAACATGAACAGTTTTGTTAATGCATGGGATAGAGATGAAATTCAATACGTTATCTATTTCAGTCTGCTGCTGAAGTCGCCCGATCCTCATGAAAGCCCATGAGCCAAGGAATTGAAATACATCGCCCTCATCACTTCCCTGGCCCAGTCTCAGGCAGGTAGGGGTGCAGCCAGGGGAAGAAATGTCGGACGAACCCCATGGCTATGCACAACGGCGTGCCGCTCGGGAAGCTGGCACCCTGGCCGCGGACCTTGTTGACGACACCGACGTTCCTCCCGAGGTAGACACCAGACTCATCGTTGGCAGCCTCTATCATGCCGTTGGAGAGGTCCATGTAGCTGACGAAGCTCTCCTCCTCGTCAAAGGTGAGCCTGTGGCCCCGTGCGATGTCAGGCGAAAGGCCTGCGGGCTTAATGAAGATCGAGGGAATCCAGTGGTCGTGGGAGCGCATGACGTCCTCGGCGCGCTGCAGGTCCGAGTACACATTGGACGCGGCCCGCAGCATGATGGGGCGGAACCACTTGGGCTGGGTGCGCGCGAGGTGGTCGTCAAAGCAGCAAGCGCTGAGGAGAACCAGCTTCGGGGGTTTGTACGGTGCTGACGGTGCTGCCTCGTCACGCAGTCGGTACAGGGACCGGATGACGGTGATTGCGGTGTCTGTGTTGAGGCGACAGCCAGGGATATTGTCATTGCTGGTCACCGCCAAGAAGACGGCTTTCGTACCACGCAGACAGTTATCCATTAGCGCCTCATCGCTCATGCTCCCAGGAAAGACATTGATTTGGTTGCTGTCAGCGACCTCTGGGAGGACCTTATGTAGCTTTGCTTCGTTTCGACAATACGCATTAACGTGGTTGTCAGGGGACTGTTCGATGAGGTTGCGGATGAGAGCTGATCCACAATTCCCCGTGCTACCAAGAACAGCGTAAGTCGGCATGATTGTCGTCGTGGAGAAAAATATGATCACCAATCAGATGATGGCACGTAGTTTGACGAAACTCGCAGAAAGACAAACACTAGAACCGATTTATGATATTGGTTGCGGTTCAGCTCGGGCATGATGAGAGTTTTGTTTCTATGTATCTCTCATCTCAATTGTGATTGACCGGCGGAGATTATACAACGACACCCGAACATCGAGATACTCGGAGACCCGGCATCCCGTATTACTAAATGGCGTTTCCCCGGTCGCATTCCGTGATAAGCAATGAAGAGCTACATTATTGGGCGGTCTTCCTTCCCCGTCGCCGATCTCACGCCAACAGGAATTCCGCCGTCCAGATGTCGTCGGTGGCGTCATATTCAAGATTTAATCGAAATATGCTTTCTCGCATGCAGTTACCGCAAATTTTATGGAGGCAAAGAAGTAAAATAAAATAAAATAAAAAAAAACAGAAGGCTATCACCCTTGGTTCCTGCAACCACTACTACTTGGTCAAATGTTTGCGAGTGGTATTAATTTGACTTGTCCTTTCCCTGCAAGCAAACCTTCTACACCGTCTCAGAACATCAATCTTTCGAAATGGGGTCAATATCTGAACCAATGAAGACACGCCGGGGTGGTTATCGTCAGATTAATAAAGCACTCAACATCTGTGCTTTTGAGGACTTCCTTGAGGCCCAGCTCTCGCGCTTGCCCGAGATTGCAGACATTGAACAAATCAGCCCGAGAGTGATTCGAGTGTTAGGACAAAATGCTGGAAAGGCAAGTGGATAGCACTTTTCCCCATTTAAATTCCAATATTTCGTTCCTTTACACGGTAACTAACTACTTTCTGTAGTTCACTCTTCAAGGAACCAACACGTATATCGTTGGCACCGGCCACCAGAGGCTCATCATCGACACGGGCCAGGGAATCCCGGAGTGGGCCGAGTTAGTCTCCCAACTTCTCCGGAAGGCTGGAATCTCGCTATCCCACGTCTTGCTCACACATTGGCACGGGGACCACACCGGTGGCGTGGCTGACCTTCTTCGACTCTACCCGCACCTATCCAATAGCATATACAAGCACACACCCAATCGTTCTCAGAAGGCCATCGTCGACGGACAGGTATTTCGAGTGGAAGGGGCCACAGTCCGTGCTGTGCACGCGCCTGGACACTCTGAGGACCATATGTGCTTTGTGGTTGAGGAGGACAGTGCTATGTGCACCGGCGACAATGTCCTGGGCCACGGCACAGCGGCAGTCGAGCGCCTGAGCACATGGATGGACTCGCTACGGGTCATGAAAATCCACAAATGTGAGATTGGTTATCCTGCACACGGGGTCGTGATCAAGAACCTCGACGCAAAACTGGAATTGGAGCTGGCGTCCAAAACGCGCCGTGAGACACAAGTGTTACAGACCCTGGCGAGGCTCAAGGACAGTGGGAGCAAGAGTGTCGCAGTTCCTAGACTAGTCACAATGATGCATGGCGATGAAATAGACCCTGAAGTGAGGAAAACTGCCTTGGAGCCATTCATGGGGGAAGTCTTGTCTAAGCTGGCTGAAGACGGGAAGGTGGCATTCGAGATCCGAGGCGGTGAGAAGAATTGGTTCGGACTTCGCGACAATTAGATATCCTTTCCTATACAGAAATAGGGTGACGTGTTAGAATTAGGAGTTCAATCTGGTACATCTCGCGTCAGTGTCTTGTCTCTATTCAATTACATCGTGGACGAGTGAGCAGAGCTCCATGTCAAATAATGTTTTTTAAAATATTATTTTACTACTAAGTGTTTATTTATTTCCGTATAATGTATAGTGAAATGAAAATATTAATGAGGGAAGTTAGTAAGCTTTTATATAACAAAGCTAAAAGCTTTATAGTAACTATCTACACTTAAGATATAAATTAAAAATTAAGCTAAAATTTAGAAAATAATTAATAGATATATTATTAAATTAAAAAATCTAGTTAGATTCTATATAATTTAGTCAGTATTAAGGTAGTATTTACTATATATATCTATAGTTAGCAACCTTTTTACCTCTCCACCGCAAAGCATATATTATCCTCTATTCACCTTGAAGTTATTACATGATACTTGCTTTCAGCACCTAGTAATTAGTTGAAGTGTATTTAACTAGTACATCTCTTGATTATAAGCCGGTCAAAGCCGGCCATATTTCCACAACATTATACACGCATACCCGGTCACCGTAACCGGGCTCCAAAGTTTCGTGGGCGCGGTACCTGTCCCTTTGGAGTTCCAGATGTCTTCCCAGGGGTTGACCCCGCGAACCTGTCCCACGGGCTCTGTGAAGTAGCACTTGTCAGTGTTTTCACAGTGGACCAATCAAATCTAGCAATGACTTATCAACATGGAAATCTTACTAATGTTCGGATATCCGACCATGCAAGCCCGGAGAGCGAGGGTGTAAGCATATGCACGCAGGGACTCTGCACGCCTAGGCGTCGGTCCGAGACACTGAGGAAGTCTGACTTAGTCAGATTAGCCACTTTCTTTTCGAGATGGCAGAACAGAACCAGAGGGCCCACCCGAAATTACCTACAGTACCACCTTTTGTTGCTAGAATGGCGGTTCACATTCGAAGTGACGTATATCTGTCATCACGTCCTAGCCTTGTTGCTGCAAGAGTCAATTTATAGCACGTCATTCAATGTTGCACTAGAATGCACTCATAGTTTTACATGTAGTCTGTATGCCTTCGTAAGCCTGCAGCAATCATGGATACCTTGGTTGGAACCGGCTATACCACGTCGCAAAGCAGCAGGAACTGCTACCATAGGGTAGTCAACGATTTGAAAAGCGTAACCCGGGCGAGCGGAGAGCAGAGAGCCCGGAATATGTAGGTTTCGGTGGTTGAAATGCGCGATATTGTCTCGTTTAAAACTTGGGGCCACCTGGACTTTGGGCATTCACGTAGATGATGAGAGATAATGAACACAAGAGTAGTCACGAAATAGTCTTCGATGCAGTGAATGAGTCCGATTTTGCGGCTGCCCTGTTCACCAACCTGTATGGTTGATCGTATCGGACCATTTTATATCGATAATATATCACCTGGGCATCCTACAACTTGCATATCGCTCCGTCCCAATTTTACGCAGCACCTCCGTCCACCGTGATGATCTTGCCATTGACCCATTCGGCTTCGTTACTGGCCAAGAAGCAAACCACGCGTGCAATGTCCACCGGATACCCATTTCGGACGAGAGGCGAGGCATGCGCGGCCATCTAAGGCATTGCGTTAGCGAAGCACACAAACAGAATGGGTCTTCGTTCATAAGGAGACATATGAAACACCTACCTCCTGCCGTTCCTCAGCCGAGTATTTCTCGCCGTTCGGGATGTAATGCTGCGACACGTCATGGAACATATCGGTAACAGTACCGCCAGGTGCGACGGCATTTACCGTAATTTTCTTATGCCCACAGTCCTTAGCGAAAACACGAACAAAGGAGTCGATGGCGCCTTTTGACCCTGAGTAAAGCGAGTGCTTAGGCACGCTGAAGTCCTTGGCCGTGTTGGATGACATTAGGATGATACGCCCGCCTTCGTTGAGGTGGCGGTATGCTTCGCGAGCAACGAAGAATTGACCACGTGTGTTCAGGCTAAAGACGCGGTCGAATTCTTCCTAATCGTGTGGTTTTTAAAATTAGCATCAAGAGCTGCCTGTGGCTACCCAGGTAGGTAGAGTAAAGGGAAGAAGGGCCCACTCCGGGGGGGGGGGGGGCTTGAGCTAACCTCAGTGACTTCGCCTAGATGGCCAAAGCTTACAACACCCGAGTTGCTGCAGACAATGTCTAGCCCTCCAAAGTGGCGGACAGCTTCGTCCATCAGCTTGGTCGTCTGGGAGACTTGTCTGACATCAGCCTTTACCGCGATGGCGTCACTGCCGACACTCTTGATATCGGCGACCACCTTCTCAGCGGACTCGCGCGAGTTTGCGTAGTTGACTACAATCTTTGCACCGCAGCGGCCGAGTTCAATGGCCATGGCAGCACCAATGCCGCGACCAGAACCGGTCACGAGGGCTACTTTGCCATCGAGGCGATAAGGTGCGTATGGCAAATTCGATCCCATGATGGCTTCTGGTGGTAGAACGGAACAGGATTAGGACGATATTTCGATGATGAGGATGGTGCATTTCAGCCATGCATGAATCCATAGGAATGAATACTCAAGCTCATATACTCAGACTCAATTGTAATAGAAATGTTTGTTGCTGCCCGAAGGCCCGGTATCCGAACTCTTCCATGGGAGCGGTCCAGCTGTGATTTGTCCCTTAACTTTTGTCCTGCCAAGACCGCCCACCCTAGTTCTTACAGGCTCATTTCTTCTAAAACCAAAACAGGAATTTGTCTGGCCTGTGGTGGTATCCGCTCACGTACCCATTGGCTGTCCGAGTGTGGCGGCATGCCGAGCGCGGTCGGTACTCCGCGAGAGTATGATTACCGACGTAATGTATTTCGTTCCCAAGCACGGTGCTCGGAGGATGTGGAGTTGAGAGTATTACGTCCGATACTAGCTGCTGAAGCCTGTAGCGTCTACATCAGTCGTCAGCTGTCTACGCATGACAGGCCCATGCGTTGTCGGGGGGATACCGACCCTCATGGGTCCAGAGCGAAGAAAGCGACGCATACTATGAGCCCTCAATGGGTCGATAAGCCGTGGGCCTGCAGACTGAAACACGGGATGTGGTCTTAGGTGTGCTGTTTAACTATTCAACAGGCCTTGCAAGTTGACACCTATCCAGTCATCAAGTAAATAATTGGGTTCCCATTTGCAATTTTGATATATTTTTCGAAATAGTAACATACAACTGAAATGGAAAGTCAAAACTGTGAAGCGTTAGCTGAGTCCCGTGAGGGTACATCTACACTCAATACACAATTCTGTTATCCAGTCCATTCTCTTTTAAGGGCTTGCCTTATCTCCTGCGATATTCGTTGAAGTCTGCTCCTCAAATCCAGCCCGAGTTGTCTTAGAAGAGTATCCGAGAAAAGAAAACTCGAACTCGGATGTGCACCCGTGACAGCGCTACCGCGCAGAATCGAGCACTTGTCCAGGCTGCTGTCGTGGTGTGAGTTGCCTGTACCGCAGGCACTTGCCTTGGCTTCTGCCGCTTTCAACCTCTCGCATAACTTGTTCACCAGCTTCTGCGGTCGGTGTAACTCGCCGAGAACGGTGTGCATCGAGTTGCGTGCGGAACCTGCGTTTTCGGCTCCTGGGCTGGAGATATTTAGACTATGTTTTCGACGGCCGTAGCCAGCCGGTAATGGTGCCTGTAGCGCCTGCAGCCTTCCAATACTCTTGTTTTGATTACTAGAAGTCCTCCCTCTGTCATTAATGTTGCCACCCTCAATGTCATTAGCCCCCGTATTAACTGTGATCCGATCAGAGGCTGTGTGCTTGCTGTTTGATGCACCTGCATAACTGTCCATGACCTTGAGCAGGATCATGGACAGCATCACGAGTAAATAGCCATCTCGCGAGCAAGAACACTGTAATATGGCCTCCATAGTCTCCATTGCTTGCCCATTGTGGAAGATTATTGGTTGGATTTGGCTGGTGTGTGATGGCGTTCCCGACAATTGGGACGAAATGACGGATGAATCTGTCATGTACTGAGTCACCAGAGCAGCAGCCTGGATCGAGCACTCGCACGGTGATCCCTGCTGGCACGACCCGATGATAGTTTCTGGGATGTTGCCGCTGGACCCGGGCTGTGGTCGCACAGAACACTCAGGGATGGTCACAGACAGGGGCGGAGAGCCGGCTTTATCAGAAGGTGTTGTTAGATCTCCCATTGGATAAATCTCATTATCCGAGTGTTGATTGAAGATCATGGAGAGTGGATCTAGATCACCCAGGTCTAGATCAAAGTCAAAGTTCGCAGCCGAAGAGAGAAGTTGATCCGCATCATGTTGCAGACCTTTCAGATCGTTAATTGACGGTGACAGGTCAAATGCGTCTGAGACCGTGTTGGAAGAGAATTTTGTCCCCATGCACATCGACATAGTGGTTGGCGTGTGAAATGGGGGATCAAGGGTGACTTTCGTGCCGCCAACCCAGCGTTCGGGTGACAGAGGAAGGCCGAACTGGGGTGATAGAAGATCCGCGGGAGCGTCGGTCTCTGTGCCTCCGATGGTCCTCCCTTTTCTGCTGCCACTGATGCTTGTGGCGCCGACGCTGCTCGTGCTGGTGGACGTCGTGTCCGTCTGCGGCTCTGAACGCGGAGCCGGGTTGCGACCTCCTCGCTTGGACCTGACGTACTTGCAGGGGATGCCTCGTGCGACGCATTTCGAGCAGGACGGCTTTTGCCTAAGACATCGAACTTTGGCGGCAGCACATGCGACGCAGCTATCACGCAGTTTAGGCACCGTCATGGACGGGTGGGCAGGGTCTGATGTAGAGACATCGATGGTTGAAGAGGAAGATGCTCGAGGGACTGTATTCGAGTTTTTCGGCGAGTGAGATGCATCCATACTGCGCGTGAGGATAGGCACTACTGTGACAGGCAGATGCACTTGCAGAGTCAAAGCCTGCGAGACAGTGGGTGCTAGAGGAGGGCCCGACCGAGTCCCAATCAAGACATGAAGTGATGTAGGGGCGAAATGGTAACGGTGTCGCCATGTCCTGTACGATATGTATATATCTTGACTTGTGCGATTTGTCTTTGACGATCCCCTACTCCACATCATATATCTACATGTGGGTTAATTATTCATAAAGGAGCCTACCAATGTCGGTTGGCCATGGCATCCACGATGCATGTAAGACACGTCAGCTTGGTCGAGGAGAGGCTAAGCTGGAATATGGCCAGCTCGGGAGGTATAAAGTAGATGTTACTTTTGCGTGGTTGTGGCCCCCTCTGCGGTATTACTGCGTGAGTTAAATCCGATGAATACGGGTAAGCGCTTGTGAGCGACCCTCTGGCGGGAAACAGTGGCCTCGGGTGTCAAAAATCCCTTTTCATTGGCTAAACAGCCGAATCCTCCCGCCAACTATAGCGAGGAGGAGCGGACGCAATTGTAGCTGTGTTGATCCCAACGGTGTGTGACGTCAAAGAGCTGGTTCATATGTAAAGCCCGCACCTTCGGGAGCGAGGGTTGGCAGGGGTCAATACAAGGAAGGAATCGGGGGAGATGGCGAGAGGGACACTTGAGAAGAAGCCGCTGAAGAGCACACGACATTCTTGATTCTAGCCGCCTATGTAGAACTTCACGGGGCAGCAAACTTGAATGGGTCACAGGTAGGTGATCTCATGTCGGACAAGTAGTTGCACCAGGCGCTGGGGAGGTATTTGTGGCCCCATAAGCCTAATGCTAGTCATACTTTTAAAGTCACGTTACTGGCTACCTACCGCTGACACCTTTCAGGCTCGGTTGCCGATATTATTTATGCAGTGCCAGTCTAGGTGTTGTGGTCAGCACTTGGCTGTTCTAGACTTGATCACATCACAGTCAGGAAATCTAGCTGTGCAATTCCACCGTGATTTTTACTCCAATGATATTACCAAGATGACACTGATTCGCGTTCCAACATAGAAGGGAAGATCGATACCAACTTCGAAATAGTCTGTGTACAACCACTTCCCCGCACATGAATATTCGGGCTTGTGTGTTGGACAGTTTGGTAAACAACGAACTTGTCACTCGCATTTGCTAAGGTTAGAGCCAGTCACCGTTGGAAAGATCATCAGGTTTCGCATATAAGTGGTTCCGCTTGTATTCCTTATACGTCCGAGAACATACATTGCGCCTTCATACGGTGGCAAGCGCTCAAGACGTTCAGTATATAAACGACATAAGTTCCAAACACACGTGATTCCAGCGACCTGGACTTCACGGCACGGCAACTGGCTGAGAAAGTATGGATTGCCTCGGCTGTTCTGCGCCTCTATCACGGAGATGAAATACCTCCCCAGCCCAAGCTTGGGTCAACCACGGCCAGGGGCTCAGGTGGCGGCGGCCTGGATACGTACTTGATGCCAAGGGCGATGGTGGAGCAGTGACTGTTGTGAAGCTTGTTCGAAACCACAAGACCCCCATTGTTGCTGTCTCGCACACGCCCTATCAGCTGCTCCAGCGTTGCCAAATCCATCTCAGCGGTGCCTCCCGTCAATTGGGCAATAGTCATCGATCGAATGCAAGCCAAGGCCACGACGGCCGGGTCGACCGAGCCGGGATCCGGCCGCAGCTGGACCGCCAGCAGCAGCAGTGCGTCCGGATCGGCGCGCAGTACGGCCAGGTGGCACTGCAGCGCAGCCTGCACCCATGCGGCAAGGGCCTGGGAGTCCAGGTCCGAAGGACTGCGCACTAGGTACACTGCCGCGTCCTTGATCATCTGCGGCGTGTGTGGGGCCCGCAACTGGACCTCTATCCCGAGCTTCCCGGGCGATGTAAGCTTTTCCAAGGATATTGATCCTGATCCCACGGGTATGCCCGTGTCGCGCTCGTACTTTGCAGCCTCAGGGCCACTCATCTGGACGATCCAGCGTAGACTCGGGTGCCTTTCCGCTAGGCTTTGAGCGAGCTCAGTCGAAAACGAATCAATCTGCATCCCGTCGGGGACGTGTGTCAGCCGGAGCAATCTATAGTGGCAAGAATAGGCGGAGCGGGCTGGGAAGATCTTCCTTGGGCCCCGATATGGGTCCCGGGTTGGGCGGGGGGGAGCGGGCTGATGGTTTGGTATGCCTGTGCAACATGGCAAACCTCGTACTCACTTCGACCACAAGAGCTCGACCCAGACTTTCCCAGTCAAGCCGCGCCAGCAGGTCAGCAATGACCTGGTTCGGGTCCCTGAGGCACCCGAGATAAGCATCCCACTGTCGACGCAGCCACGGCTGCTGCTTGCATGCGGTGCCGAAGTCGAGGCCGACGGGCGTGGAGACGAGCGAGAAGCCACTCAGCTGACGCTGTGTAGCCTCGGGCATATGTAGAGCCGCATGTACCACCGTCTCGCTGAGGAACATGACAGCGTCTAGGTTCGAAAATTGGGTGACGAAAGAGGCAGAGAGCCTCGTGTGGGCAACCTGCGCCTGTCGCGTGCCAATCGCCTGCTGCGGCGGCTCCTCCAGGACAAGGAAGCCAACGGTCGTCATAAGTCGCACAACGCGTCGCAGCTGCGCCTCGGGGACACTAACTAAATCTGCAAGGTCTTTTGTTCCCATGGCTTCACCGCTCGGCGGTATGCAGGCCAACACTTGGAACTCGCCCAGCCATCGGAGGCACGCTAGAATCTGGGTCTGTGGAACAACAAATTCTGTCAATCCTGGACAACGCTCTGGGATTTTTACAGTGTCCTTGTTTGCAGACCAAGACAGATGGGAGAGTGAAATGGCAGAAAACGAGATTTGTACCTGATGAGCAATATGTTGGATGAAATCTGGTGGGCCGGCTAGCATTGCCTGCAACCGCGTTACGGATGCCAACGTCTTTCTCCTGAGGTGGTCCACTTCATGAGGGACTCCGGGGGGAACACAACCCCAATCGAGGGAGAAATCGCTGAGGCCTGCCTCTCTGCATGTCCTTGTCAGCGCTGTTGCTGTCGCTGCCAGCTTCTCGGCCTGCGCTTCGATTTGTTCTAATGTAGTTGTGTTCATGATTCGGAAGTTGAAGCTTGTGCAGTATGGATTTGAACAGTTTAACAGGTGAAATATGTAGCATGTCAGTGGTCGACAATGGAAGCTGTCGAGCTGTCAGATTATTTGAATGGCCCATCTTCCGGCCCCCAATTACTCGTACTTGGTGTCACCTAGACTCAAACTGGGAATATCAAACGCTGAAGACTTTATTGCGCGTCTCGTGCCCTAAAGATTTTGCCTCACTTATCTATTAACATAGACATCGGTCAGCTCGCATTGTTGTATCAGACTTGAACGGGTAAGAAAATAAAATGACTGTATGTCATTTCTCATTTTTGTCAAGTCTTAGACTAGATCCTACTTATAGAAACGGGGGCTATATATACTTATACTTATCCACACTCACTATAACTAGTATAAAATTTACAAATAATATTATAATATAATAAATTAAGTTAATTAAATAGTTTTTTTTTACTATTTATATTTATAAAGAAAATTTAAAATAATAATGTTTTTAAAATATTTTTAAAATTTCTTCTTAAAATAAATAATAAATATTTAAAACTTATATTTTAAAAACTAATAAATATTATTATTAGAAAGCGTACTAGTTATAATAATATTACATTATAAAGTATAATGTCGAATTTAATAATAGTATTTTAGCTAATATATTATTACTGGTTTTTTTTCTTATCCCTGTGTACACAAGAAGTACATAGTGCCCTCATATAGTAGTAAACGCTTAAGACCTAGCGTTTAAAAAAATACAGTGCCAATAACAGTGCAGAGAGAATATAGCACGTGGGCACGTGGCCTCAGCCTCGTGCTGCACAGATGATACGTTGCAGTTACGAGATATTACTGGATATATCATTTAAACCCGAAGGATTAATCGGATGCCGAAGTCTTCAACATGTTTTTTCCTGTGCGGTCGGTAAGCGAACAATCATAGTTACAAAACCTCGCAGTCGCTGGCCGTGGCTTCAGTCGACGCAGATGTTTCGCTACTCTAATCTTGTAGCTAATTCGGCGCGTTCTTCGCAACTCGCCATCACAGGACGATTCGAGCTCTCGCCACGGAACTCCGTCTTTTTTTGTCGCTGAGTCATCGTGAAATCGTGCAGGTATATTACTATCATTTGTACTAGGCGATCGAACCTGTTCCGTGTGCAAAGGTGATCACCTTTGCCGGTGAAACATCATGGCTTTAGACATTAGAATCGTGACACAGTACATTGGTCTTCGAAACATAATCGTCACATTGGGGCCGCTGTACCTGACCTACTGGTTCTGTGTGTTTGTGTATCGTATAACCCTGCACCCACTAGCAAAGTTCCCCGGTCCTAAGCTTGCTGGTGCCACATTTTGGTACGAGTTCTACTACGATGTCTGGCCCACCCGGTATCGCTACATGTGGAAAATTGAGGAATTGCACAGGAAATACGGTATGTGGAAGCGTTTTGTCATCACCTGTGGTAGATATGGACACAATTCACAAGAGGTTCTTCAAAAGAACTAACCCACAGACCCAACGGACAGGTCCCATAGTACGCATCAACCCGAGGCATATCCACATTCGTGATCCAGACTTTCTGGATCCTATATATGCACCTCAGGGGCGTCAAAAGCGAAACACCGACCCATGGTTCAGTATCGCCACTGAATCAGGCATGATGGGCTGGTCTCTGCTGCAGACGACCGAACACCAGTTGCACCATGTGCGTCGCGCCTCCCTGAGCCGCTTTTTCAGTAAGAGCGCCGTTCGCCAGCTCGAGGGCCTCGTGACGGATAAGATTGACCGGCTGGTGGACCGGTTCGCCAAAACGTACCGCGATGCGGCTGACCCAGGCCGTGGGGTGAAGATGAACCTAACCCACGCCATCGCAGCCTTGACTATGGACATAATCTCTTCGTACGCCCTGGGTGGTGACATGGGAAACCTAAGCCGCGAGGAATGGGGCCAAGACTGGTTCGAGACTTTTCGCAAGCTGGGCATGAGCCGGCCGTTGGGGCGCCAGTTCCGCACGTTCATGCTGCTGTCCCTGGAGCTGGAGCCGTGGTTCGTCCGATGGTTCAACCCGCGAGCCGCCGCCGTTGCCGAGAGGGCAAAGTACCCAATGAAGACCATCCAAGAACACATCACGGCCCACGAGCAAGACAAATCCACAGAGAAATCAGAGGGAACCAAAAAGATGTCATCCAACAACCGGACCATCTTCATGGAGATCTTGGACAGCAGCCTGCCACCCAAGGAGAAGTCGGTCGGCCGGCTGAACGCGGAGGCCTTTTTGGTCCTGGGAGCTGGCACTGATCCCACCACGCGAAATCTCACCGTGACTCTGTACTTTCTTCTGTCGGACAGGAAACTCTTGGAGCGTGTCCGTGAAGAGCTCATGACTATGATGCCGCGGCCCGACTGTCCTGTCACAGTTGCAGGGCTAGAGGCCTTGCCGCTCTTCGTGAGTGTGTTCCTATTTCCTTGGGAGCATCAACAATAGTCGATTTATATGATGCTACGGTGTGACTAAATTGATCACACATCTCTAGTCGGCTTGCATCCAGGAGGGACTTCGATTAACAAATGCAGTTTCGACGCGCTCCCCACGAATAGCACCTGACCACGAGATTCTCTACAAGAACTGGGTAATACCTAGAGGAGTAAGTGTACATACCTTGAATACCTAGGTCTGCAATAGTTCACCTGTGTTTTTTGAGCTGTCTGCCTCGGCTAAAAATACTTCTATCATAGACGCCCATCATGCAATCGCTGTATCTATTGCATATGGACCCTGACGTCTTTCCGGACCCGACAAAGTACAACCCGCAACGCTGGTTGGAGGACACGACCCTCAAATCTCGCTACATGATGGCATTTGGCAGAGGGAGTCGCATGTGTCTTGGAATGAAGTAAGCGGACCATTTCCGGTCTTTCCCTTTTCCTGGCATCCCCAGGAAGCTGATACATGCATTACACTCTAGTCTTGCCTATGCCGAACTTTTCATGACTATAGCACGCCTTATTACCCGGTTCGACATGGAACCTTTCGATGTTGTAAAGGAGCGTGATGTTGACGTTGATGGTGACTGCTTCAACGGGATAACACGAGATGATAGCCCCGGGATCCAGGTGACAATTTTCAAGGATAGTCTGCTCGGATAGAGATACATTGATTCAGGAGTGGGGGTGGAAGGCAGGGCGTGCAGATACCTAACTGGATTTCGCTTCTATTCCGCATACGTCGGTGGACATATATGGCGCCTTCATTCGGTGGCAGATATCTCGGTACCTATATACCTAGGTATGAATTCAAATGTCCCATGGAACAAGTAGTGTCTGAAATAGCCGTGAGCCGTAGGCTCAAAATTGGAGTAGCGAGTTGGCTGGTGGACCACATCGACAGAGTACCTAGGCATGGCCGAAGACGCTTTTGCGGACTGATGAGCCGTGAGATCTCGCAAACCCCCAAAAACCCCACTGATGAATATAATAGAATGGGAAGAGCCATTCATGCGGTTGTTGGCAAACTCGAAGATCGGAAAACATTAAAATTGAGTTTATTCTAGCATATGATTCCCGGTATATCGCAGTGTTTTGTTGCCACTGACACATATACAACTTGGTACTATGCATCTAAATTTATTTCCGGATAACCTTTCCACTCTGGATAACGTCTGTGACCCAGCCGATCGTCATCATGCTTCTCTTGGTGTCTGCAAATATCTCATGATCGTTCACGAGATGCTCCTTGTAAAAGGGATCATCTCTCATCTTCTTATAGTCGTCAATGCTTTCAAAAATGACCTGACTAAAACAGTCAAAGTCCGCCAAGTTGGTCATCTGGTGGTCGAACAAATGAGACATTAGACTCCGAGTCTCAATCGGGTTGTGGATCTTGTAAATTTGTTTATATCAGTTATTCAGTCTTTTGTCTCCCTTAGCTATTGCTCGACCGTTTCGACAGGCGAACTGGAGAGGTGGCATGATTTTTGTACTTACCATGGTCCACCTCTTCACCCCGTACTTCACCATGAGATCCTGCGTCATTGGGGCTGAGACTGTGGTCATATGTCGTCGGTAGTCCTCCTCACTCATTCCCGGGCGTCGATATCCGCAGATTGTGAGACACAGCAACTGGCCCTCAGAACTTCCCGCAGGGCGATCCGGAATCGCCGGAAGGTCTGACATCGTGATCGAGAATTGTATCCGTTCAATGGCCCTTGTGATGATAAGAGTATATACACCTAAATAGTTGCCCGAGCTGAAACTTGGCCCTCTCCACTATATAGCAACGACTCCAAAAGAAGTGTCTGCTCACGGACCTGGATTGTGGCCTCGACGGACTCCGACCGGAAATTCAAGCAGGGCGACTGTCTCACGTCGGACATCGGAGCAGACACAAGTGTTGAGAGAGCGGGGAGCGAAGCCACATTTACCCCATGGGATGATTATTAGTGGCCAAGGGCATGCTTTTCGCACCTCTCGGACCAATTCACATATTCTATCTCCTTACTGAGGAATCAACTCCACAGCCTCCCTGTTGGATAAACAGACACAGACTACATCAACCTCCCGAGCTAATGAGGCCATGCAACCTTAAGGTATTCGCGTGCAAGCCTTTTCTTGATAGCAGCCAATATGGACATGCTGGGTGTCAAAGCTACGGCACTTCTAGCCGGGTCATTTCTTTCTGGTACGCTAATGCCCATGCCGTTCAAACGTTGTTATTTTTGCTGAACGGTGCCCCTAGGAACCATGGCGTCTCTGTCTCTCATTGCGGTGCCTGTCTTTATGGACACTACCGGGGACGCAACGCAGCTCGTGCACCAGTGGGCCCGGATGTATGAATATGGTCACAAAGCTATGCCCACCATCTCTGTTGGCGTATGCATCCTCCACGTATACATGGCTGCTAGCAAGAAGCGGCGGGGTGACCTGGACCGCGGCCGTCGGGTGTTTTCCGCACTGGCGGGGGTCAGCACCGTTCTCATGCTGCCATTCACGTGGCTTTTCATGGTCCCGACAAACAACGAGTTGTTCAGGCTGGAGGCCTTGAGCAGGATGGAATCGCCTGGAGCTTTTGATCTGAGAGGGGCTGATGTCAAGGGGCTGGTTGGTCACTGGGCCGAACTGCATGCCATCAGGTGCATCTTCCCATTGGCAGGGGCAGTCTTGGGAATGTTCGGAACATCCTGATGATGGCTAGACTGGGACAGCTGAGGGGATCGCGTCTCCCATTTCTGTATTTTCATACTGACTTTCTTATAGACGGTGAGTATATTGCCGCTGATTGGGAGTGATCGATGTTGTTTCTGCCACGACGAGAACCCCCGCTCCCTTAGTTCTTAATTAGAGAGGACTTCTTTGCAACGAACATGGCAAATCTCAAAGCACGCGGCGAAATTCGGGACTATGATTGAAGGTTTTGGATGATTCAGTACAGATTAAAGGCCCGTCTTCCATCCATCACATTTACTGTGGTTTCCATTGCCACCCTGAGCAACAGCGCATTTTAGGTTGCAGAATTACGGCTAATTCTTATTCTTTAATATAAGTAGGAAGGCTATTTATAGTATTATTTAAGATAGGTATATTATCTTTCCTCTAATTAATATTCTTAATTTTTACTTTAAGCTTTGATAATATATTAGGAATAAAATTAAGGTACCTTTTATTTAAATTATTAAATATATTACTTAAACTTTATTATTATTTTTTAATATTAATTATAATACTAGTTATAAAAGTTAATATTAAGCTTTAAGTTATATTATATTTAAATATTATTTAAATTAAAGTACTTTTACTTATTTTATTCTCGAGAGTTTATATTAAAAATTATAATAAACTTTAATTCTTTTATTAATTATTTTATATTTATATTCAAACTTTATAAAATACTATAACTATATTTTACTATTAATTCTTAAACTACTTATACTTTATTTAAAGTTATTCCTATTAAGATAACTTAAATTAATATTTAATGTAAATTTAATAGGACTATATAGAGGTTAGTGAATTATTAAGGTCTATAAAACTGTACTACCTATGCTGACAACCGCTATAAAAAGACATTAGACATTACGAACCGCAAAGTCGGCGGGTACACTCACACTAGACAACTCAGAAATCGAAATAGCTAGGTTCCCACTAAAGCTCTATCTTATAAGCTCTTAGCCTGTAGAACGTTACCCTGTCGGAGGTTGTCTTGTGGGAGGTTAGGCCACATGTGCATAGGAGATTATCCCATAGCAATCAGGGGTGACGCGTACATGGAACTCTACTTGTATGGGTGAATCCTCCTTTTTTGCAGGTGCGAATTTCCGATCTCCATAAAAAACGGTGGAAAGATGACCTAGAGATTTGTTACTTGGGGAGGTTAAGCCCGAGATTTCTTATGTAAATGCAAATGCTTGACTTACGATGTCTTTCACGCTTTCTCACAAACTCGTCTACCAGGGATCTTCGACGCTCTCATCATTGCAATTGCCAAGGTCCAAGGCGTTAACCTGCAGTCACAGGATTTCAGATACTTGTCATACTCGTCGGGAACGATATTTGAAGATGAAACCTCAATCGCAGTTAGGAGAAGATATTGCAGTGTGACAATGCAAACTGAGACTGGGATTCGAAAACGCTTGCAGCTCCATTCGGCCAGACCTTCCACCTGATTGCGGGCACGCGAGCTTTATTTCTGCCACGGATGGTTTATTATCCATATCCACTGGTGACACGAACTTATTAATATGTACTTGCTTGGGCGACCCTGTGTCTATTCAGGCCTCTATGTGTAATAGATGTGGCGCCTCAGTCTCTCGTATCTCGTTCCAATGGGGACTTCTTGCTGCCGCCCCCACGGCTAAGCCGTGCAGCTGGAAAGGCCGACTCAGGCAGACAAAATTGACAACATAGAGCTCGTGGACTTCTGTGTCGCACACGGCTCACACCGGTTGTCAGCCCCCGCTGGAGCCTGCTTCCTGAAACCCTTTGCACCCCCCAGATGGGCCACAAGATCTGGATATATGTATACTAGTATCAGGTTAGGCCCAGCGTATTCCTACTCAGATCTCCTGTAGTTCAATAAGTTATAACCAGTGTTCTCTCTTCCATGGAAGGACCCACAACAAGAAACTCAGTGACGGATGCTGCTCGGTCAAATGCGTCAGCTACCGCTTCTAAAATCCACTACGGAGCCTTACAGGCGTCCCAGGTGCGTTCGATGCGAGATTCATCCCCATCCGATGAATCTACTCCTGCGTTCGTCGGCGAATGTTTGCAAGGAGCCCAAGTCGACTCGACGTTATCAAATAATATACCAAGGTGCCAGCCACTACAGGGAAACGAAGCAGAAGGCGTGGGGCATTATCGAGCTGCCGCTTCTGGTGATATGGGAAGCCTCGAAGAACCTTCCGCCAGGTCTGGGCCGCAACGGCTACCCGTTTACCTCCGTCGCTGGGTTTTGGCTTCTTTCAGTCTTATCTTTCTTCTGATGATTGTTCTGTTGGAGGTATTGAACAGTTTATCCACGCGGAATGGCGCCATCGCGAAGGGCCATGCTAAGGATCACTACCTTTGGACATATGGACCGGCAGCGATTTTGACCCTGGTCGCATCACTTTTCAGTCGAGTGGAGTATCAGGCAAAGTTGTTCGCGCCGTGGGGGCGATTATCCAAGAATATTGGGCCTGTGCAGAAGAATCTGCTTCTGGATTACGTGTCCGACTTGACGCCAGTCGTAATCTACGAATCCATAGCAGACAAAGACTTCGCCGTGGCAGCGACAACCACCATCTCGTTGGTGATAAAGATATTGATCGTGTTGTCTTCAGGGTTCATTACCCTGTCAAGAAGAACGGTCCACTACGCAACAATGCCCATGGAAATTCAAACCGCCTTTGTCAACAATTATACACCTGTCAAAACAGGCACACATCTCCCCCACTCCGCCTTGCAAGATGCAATCTGGGGGAGCAGCTACTCGGACTCCCAGGGCGTATCCCGGGAATTTGCATACCAGTCGGTACAGAGTAGTCTACCCGATACGGCTCGATTTGAAGTGGTCGTTGACGGGCTTTCTACGAATCTCAACTGTGAGATTGCAGCGCTTCATGCATCGGACGCCGTGGTTGGAAAGTTTTATAGCCTCATGAACGTCAACACTAAATCTACGGGATGTGACGGGGTCATTACAAAACTTCTCGGCCCTTTGCCCCCTTTTGGCAATTCAGATGTGTTTGGCCCAGGTCAGGTGGCCTTTGGAAGAGTCGAGCAGATCAATTGCAATGCCACGAAGGATGACGCGAGTAAGCGCTTCCTTATCATGTTCGGGCTGGAAGAATGGAGGGTGGATGAGGCGATTCCACCCAACGAGGTGATCAAAAATGATCTTTGCCCTACAGGCGGATGCGTCAATAACTTGCGAGGCAGTTTGGTCAAATCTGCCCAGCTAGTGTGCGCCCCGCAGTATGAGATCACCAAAGTCATCGTGGTTCAGAACGCAACAGAAGTCGAGAGTGTGACACGAGCTCGGGAGTCTTCGACTAGAACCTTAGAGGGTGTAAGTCCTTGGGACTTTGTGAGAAGCTAGCTGTCTTCATTCCGTCAATATGTGGGATCTCAATATGATCTCACTTTATGGACAGGCTTCAGAATTGGTCACGACCGCCTTGATGTGGACCAGTTCATGTACACCATCCTGGAGGCCGAAGCACCGACTGGCACCACCGTTGCTTCGCTTTACGATCCGGCTTTCATGCAATCGATGGCAACAAGATATTTTCAGCGAGTAGGCGCAGTGATAGGTGATGATGGAGCCAGCCTCCCTCACCGCGACCGGTTCAGCCACGATCGTCGAAGATCGCCTGGTGGCGCGAGAATGGATAGTCCACTGTATGGCCGGACTTCTCTCATCTTGTCTCTTTCTTACACTTGTTACAAGAGCCGCCATAGAAAAACGAGGGACATTGCATCAAGCTCCAAGCACACTTTACAGGATCGCAGCACTTGTCGCTCATAGCCCAGATCTGTTGGACCGCCTCCGTTATTCCGGCGACGCCGATTCAAAGAAACTTCGTCTGCAGCTGAAAAGGCCAACTTTTCAACCTGAACTGACTCAAAAAGGGTTGAAGCCACCGGTTTTGAGTACTTCCAATGTTGCTAGAGAGGGCGTTCCAACAACCACAAGCAAGCCTTCCGGGACCATCCCTCAAAGCCCCTTGACTCACCCTCATCCTTGGATACTTCATCCTGCGTGACCCCTCGGTCTCGGTCTCATTCTTTTCGCCCTTGCCATCACTCTTGAGGTGCTATTGAGTCGGTCTTGCCGACACAACGGATTAGGTGACGCGGGCGAAAGTCCATACATCCAGTACACCTGGACGTCTCTTCCTTCCCTTTTGTTTGGAGGCCTCGCTATCATATTCTCCTCTATGGACTTCAACATAAGGTCATTGGTACCATATACATGTTTGAGCGATGGTATAGCGGGTAAAAATTTCCGGACCCTCGACTTTCTCGACATGTCAGTGCCCTCGGCCATTTTTAAGGAAGCGAAGCTGCGAAACATCGGTGCCCTTGCAACCACAACGAATCTTCTCGTTGGATCTCTGTTTACCGTCTTCTCCGGGTCTTTATTTCAAGCAAACTATGTTCGAACTACAGAATCCGCGTTGCTTCGGGCTGATAGCTCATTTGGCACGCCGAGCGGTGTCTTTGACGTCGCCCCACCCTCGGTTCTCTGGAGCAACCGTTCCTATCCGAATTTCACATACGAGGACCTGGCCTTCCCACAATTTCTGCCAGAGATGACGACAGGGGCGCAAGGATTTTCCAATACGTCTCAGCATTCGATAAAGGCTGTGGTTCCCGCATTGCCATCACGCCCGGAGTGTCTTCTGTACGACGTAAGTATCATTCGCGTTGAGAATTCAGAGAGTGCGGCGTGGAAAACCCTGGTGATTGATATCGACGATGGAAGGCCTAAGTCTGTACAAGAATGGTCCGGTTTTATCAGCATCAATCCAGACACGTTATATTTCGGGACGGAGAACGTGATCGGATACGACGACAATTACTTTTCATGGGGCTACGTAGACTGAGGGTCCTTTGCTGATTCCAAAGTCGGTCATATCGCGGTCATGGGCTGCAATCAGTCCATCGAGATGGTCGACGTTAACACCACTTTCACCGGCGCCGACATTGCCATCGATGTTCAAAACCCTCCTCAAACCTTGCCGGATACGGAGCCAGCATTAAGTGCTCCTCTGGGCTTGGAGTCATTGATAGTCAGATATGCGACTGACCTAATGCCTCCTCTCTCTCAGAGCCATGATACGAATTTAAGCGGATTCTTCACTTTGCTAACTCACTCAAAATATGCTATCCCTGTCTAATGGCTCGGGGGCACTAACGACGGTGACGTCGCGGCTGCCATCAAGTTCCAGCATGGCATTTTCGTCGCACAGGCGCTCAACAAAGCCCGCGTTCCCGCGAACGAGACGAATGTCTTGCTGGACCGTGAAGAGTTCCTTGCTGGCGAGAATGATACCCTGCCCAGGTTCGAGGCTTCGGTAGAGGATCAGGCTGGCCGACAACGAGTGGTGCAGGACGAGGCATCAACTCGGGTCCTCGAGGCGTTGCTGCTTGTGACTCTGGTTTTGCTCGTCGTGGGCTGGGTGTGGCTGCCAAACACCAACGTGTTGCCGAAACGGAGCCCGAATACTATCGCCAGTGCGGTAGCACTGCTGGCTGGTGGAAACTTGACCGAGTGGCTGCACGAGGAGGATGGATGCGTGGACACGATGAAGTTCTGGCTGGGCTGGGAAGATTTGCCTCCCGAGGAGGGAATTTCAATGGGAGATGGGAACGAGGGTCGTTCTCGTCGCTTCGGTATTTTTGCCGTCATGGATGACCCCGATGATGATGAGCAGATAGGATCACTACACGGGACAAGTACCTGAGTTGGATTTAATGGCTTTTTTTATGTAATGGCGCTGGGAAGCCAGAGTATTGACTTGGTAGTGGATTTTGAATTGAATCTATTTCATTAACTAGGTAAGAAGTGCACATGGACTCAGAATCCAGCAGTTGAATCATTGAATTCATTCCTTCCCAAATTTACCATGCATATTCTGGCCTACCATAGCCCGTGTCTCAACTTTTGATTTCTCGCTTAGATATACCTGGTCATATGGATAGACGGTAGGACAGATACATAGTTCCAAGCCGCTTTTCTCCTTCCATGGAACTCAATCAGTCAAATCGGGTCGCTCCCAGGCCTCGTCATAACCCGTGAATCTCACCCACTTGAGATCTATAGGCATGCTCTTGGTCGTGACATGGCCCATCCTTGCCATCTTTAGCCACATGTCGCCTTTCAAGGGGAAGTAAGGTAATCCCTTGTCATCCTTGTCCTGGTACTTGGCGGTTACCAACTCGCCGTTCTTGAGAGCGCGGATGAACTTGGCAGCGTGGCCATCGTCGTGCTCTTTGACAACTGCACCAAACACATCCTCCCACCCCCACGACAGCGTCTCTAGGTCCGCCTCTGCATACTTGTTGATATAGGCCGCATTAAGAGGCACACTGCCTGAAGCCACATACCAGGCAAGATCCGTGTAGACCTTGTGCTCCAGGAGGCGGGCGCGGTCCCCGAGCGAGATCCACGAGCCCTGGCCGGCCAGCACAGTCATGAAGATGCTGCTCGTCACGGCATGCATCCAAAAGAAGTCGATCTTGGTCTTCCGGCCCTCAGACTGCGCGGCGCCGCACATGAAGGCACATGTACTGATCATCTCAGCCGTGCGCCTCTCTAGCTCTTCCTCTCCCCTATCAGTGTCCCCCCTGCTACCGGCGGCCAGCCGGAAGCGGCCAGCCACCCGCGCGAAAGCCTGGCCCGCCCGGCCTACCACGCCGTTCCGCATCTTGAGCCCCAGGTCGGACCATCGCGGCGCTGTCCGGATATTGATGTCGTTGCGCATCTCGTTCAGTAGCTGCAGCATCGACGGCGGCGAGCCGAGTGGCCCGTTTTGGGCATTGCCTTTGGTTGATGTTTCTTCTTGTGTGTAGCCTCGGGACTCGGCCTCGCACATCTGGAACAGCCTGTGCAAGTCGCTGTCGTCGTTTGCAGCGGCCTGGGCAAGCGCCTCGGCGACGAGCCCCGGTAGCTCGAACTCGATGCCCAGGCCAAGGTGGATTAGGGGGTGGTACAGGCCGTCAAAGAGGCTGGACAGCATCCGCTCCGCCACCTCTGTGCGGGAGAAGATGTACTCGTGCACGACGGCTTTCCAACCGCCCTCCTGAGCCGCAATCTTCTGCTCAAAGAAGCGCAGGAAGGTATTGTACTGTGCTTTGGTGTGCATTGTCTGTAAGAAGACGTCTCGGTCGCTCAATTTCTCAAGCAGCTCGGCGTCGATAGGGGGCATGGGCCGCTGCCCAGCAGCCTCGTCGTCATACCGATCCTGGAGCTCTGCAGGGCCGGCGCCGAGGGCGAGACACGTCAGGAGGCTGTGGGAGATGTGGTTCATGCCGGCCATCTCCCGAAAGAACATGTGATAATAGTCATGGTTCTTTTGTAGTAGGCGGTTGCATTCTCCTATCGATCCTGGAGGGCTGGGATTTCCTCGGACAACACATGCGTCCAAATTTGCCGAAGAGACTTGAAGTGCCGAACTAGCCATAGTTTGGTTCGTTCCAAGGTCAAATCCAGTTAACAATTCAAGATTCGTATTCAGTGAAATCGTATGCTCGTGAGTCCATCCTGCCTCGCCTTTTCTTGATCTTCATTTATCCAACAGCATCAATCCCAATAAGAGCGCGGAACGCACCCCGCTGGAAAAGTGCACCGAAGATCAAGCTAGGCTTGTTCGCCCGCCATTCGCGGAGAATATGCACTATCGGTCGGGTTTCGCTACACCAACCCATATCAACAACTGGCCTCCGTCCATTCTCTCACATAAGCTTAAGCAAAAAGAATCGGAGGACAGGAAATGAAACCCGAATCGGGTATTCCATATAATATTTCGGTTTACGACTATTGCGGAGTTCCTGCACCGAGTAGCCCCACACAATGTCCACGGGGTTAGATCCGGAAATCCGGAACATGTTATTGAAGACTGGTGTCTTGGGCTACTACTAATAGTTTTGTACCCCTACCAATACCGGATCAAAACAACGCAGGCCACACAGTTGTTGCATCTCGGTATACGCACTAGTAAGGCTGAGATTTTGCCCAAGACGCCAACGACTATGCTGCCTGATTTCAACACTTTGGAAATGTCCGCGAGCTCCGATTCCGTGTCTGTCCATGTTAAAATTACTATCAAACCTTCGTGCACTGAATCATTCCTAAAAGTCTTGAAGCCCACGTTAGATGCCACCGTCGCCGAGCCTTTGAACACATTCATCGAGCTTTATCGGCTGGAGAAGGAGCCTGGTGTCTTTCGGCTGGTGGAGAACTGGGACGCCACTGCGGATTACCTGAGAAATGTAAGCAGCTGCCGCCTCCCTACAATGTTCATTTCCAACCCCAGCCTGATCGCCGGATTTCATATCAATATTCTCAATTCCAAAAATCAAACTGGGGCTCAGCAATCACAATAGACGCAAACCAAAAAAGAATACTACCAGTCCTACTATGCAGCCATCCAGCCAATGCTCTTGAAGGCTCCCGAGGTGGAAATTTTTGATCGGATGCCAGGAAACCACTGGGTGGGCATAAAGAAAGAGGCATACCCGGACAAGGCTTAAAGATGAATGATGAACTTCGTTTAGATCGTCATACGAGACATTATTACGCGGACCATAGCCAAGTATAAAAAGAAATTGAAACCAAAAAAGATGTGCTTGTCACTTTTACACGAGTATAGGTGTTTCCTTTCCTTCAAAATTCCAGCTTAGACAGCAACTCGTGTGATCCCTGGTGCCTTATACGGACACCATCGAGATAGTACTGTCAAGTTTGGAGTTGGACTGCGCCTGCTTCGCAAGTGCGCAATGCCTTGAACTATGTGGTTTCGCTTCTATTCCGTATACGTCCGAGGACATACATGGCGCCTTCATACGGTGGTAAGCCTAGGTTGTTAGACAGTTCACAATTGACTTTAGTAGCGCATTCCAACAATGCACAGTCATGAAGTGGAAAAAGTACCCAGTCTTTGAAGCGGGGACAAAGCTGGATCCAGATACGTAGATCAGTTGTGGTGGATCATTTAAAGGATCGTTTGAACTGCCAGGAGACCACGCACAAGGCTACAAGAACGAGGTCATGGGTGTGATTTCTCATCCAGGCTCAACACATGTCCATAAAGGAAACGCCGTTTCATAACTGAATTGATTGATGTATAATATATTGACTCTGTCAAGTAAAATGTTGCAAACTGTCCGAGATTATCTCTCCACCTGGGCTTGATGCTGGATCGCCTTTACCAGGGACCAACTCCCCCGTCGATGTCCACCATGCCGTTCTTCTCAATATCGGCATCGCGATTCCCCAAAACGATGTCTGTAAGGGCCTTGGCAGGCTCCTTGGGGTCACGGGCGCCACCCTTCTGCCGCATCTCGCGGCCCTTTGCCCCGGTGAGGTTAGAGACGCACCAGCCCGGGTTGAAGGCGAGGACCTTGCACCCCCACTCGGCAAAGTTGTAGCGATGGCAGGCGGCAAGCATGTTGAGCGCGGCCTTGCTCATGCGGTAGGGCTCGCCGCGGATCTGCCGGAAGGGGAACTCCGGGTCGAGGCGGTTGGTGACGCTGCCCATCTCGGAGGAGACGTAGATGACGTACGGCTTGGCAGACTTCTGCAGCAGTGGTGCATACGACTCGGTGAGGAGCATCTGGGCGAAGACGTTGGTCTCGAAGCTCATCCGCAGGGAGGTGAGGAGGTCTATGTCGGGCTGGTGGACCAGAATGCCCGCGTTGTTGATCAGCACGTCCAGCCTGCCGAACTCGACCTCGATGCGCTTCTTGGCGGCTAGCACCGACTCATTGTCCGTTACGTCCATCTGGAGCACCGAGATTGTCGCCTTGATCTTGTTGGCTCCGTCTTGCTGGATGTCCTTGACGGCCTTTTCTCCCTTTTCCACGGACCGAGAGCCTAAGAGGATGTGGAAGTCGGCTGATGCTGTAGCAAGAGCAGCCACGGTCTCATAGCCGATGCCGCTGTTGGCGCCTAGATAGTGGTTTTTGTTTAATGAATGTGGTTTTGGTCAAATGTGGAAGCTATACCCGCAGCCTGACACTTACCAGTTACAAATATGACGGTCTTGTTAGGAGCCATAGCGCCGGGGATTAGAGGCTTGATTGTGATGGGCACGACGTATAGATGCTAGCTGGTTCAATGAATAAATGAATCCCTTGCTTGTGGGCTGTTTAGTTTGTTTCTTTGCTTGTCTTGGTAGGGACAAGTGTGCCCTGGCTTGGTCTATATCAGCGAGCTGAATGTCATGTCAAAATGATGAAGCCGCGGGACGGAATTAAGCACTCCAATCTCCGGAAGCATTTCGTCTTTGTCCCACCAAAAAATGATCCCTCCTTGCTGCTGACATAACCAGATGAATATGTGATAGGGCTGTGCCTCGCAAAATCAATCAGGCCGTACTTAGGTGCGAGGAGAGACGGAACCCCGCCCCTCTACTGTGGCATGCGACATAGCGTCAGAATTCGGTCGAGGGCGCAGACGCAGGTGGGCTGGCGGGGTGATGGAACAGGGAATCGGCATTGAGGTCGGAAGTGTGGCTATGTCGTACAAGAACAGCTGTTGTGGACGAAGTCCGACAATCATAATGTGACTTTTTCATCTCGCTCCCCGAGAGCCGAGCATGAACGGTTAACTCCGCGGCCTCGACCAGTGATTTTACGAGGTGACCCGAATTTAAGGATTCCTTTGTGACACCGCACTATCCTACAGCTGGGTCAAGGAGGTTGACCAAGACGACCTGATACGTCAGCACCATGGGGGCCACTATAATACAGTAGCTTCGGCACGGACTTTGAGTCTGCCATAGCACCGACATCTGTCCGGTTGGAGTTACACAGAGCCTTTGTAGATCCCAACCATGACGACATTTTTGACAAGATCGTCGATGGAAACATCAGAATCCCGAGCTCAGCACGATCCTTCCATCTTATATGCAAGGCGTGGCTGCGGACTGGCTTATAAATGGATACCTACCTAGGTACTTACAACTTGTGGAAAATGAGAAATCGCGGGAGTGGCAAATGTCCTGCCACCAGAAAACGTTCCGCTGCAAAAGTATACTTGAAGGCATTGACTGTCCCGAAAGGCCTATGCACAGTCCGCGCTGCTCTATGATGAAATGGACCGTCTACGGGTGGCCAAGCAGACATGGCTGTACTCTGAGTAAAAGTCGGATGAAATTCTACCCAAGATTCAACCTGGCATTATCATTGGTGGCTCTGATTAAATTGCGGTATGAGAGTCTGCATTGGCATTCTGGTCATGAAATACGGTCTAGATACCTAGGTAGATACGAAATAATGAGAGCCACGGAAAGTCTTACTATACTACCCATAATCCTTCCTCCTTTTCCTTCGCTCTCAAGGCTTGGAAGGCGTGGAAGGCTGTCTTAGCTGTAGTACTCCTCCAACCAGGCTCGCAAGTCCCCGAGGGTGGGGTACTCCAAGAACAGGCTACCGTTGACCACCACGTTCAACTGTTCGCGGAATTTCTCCGCGATGACTAGACTCATGAGGGAATCAACACCAAGCTCGGCAAAACCGCTATCATCGCTGACCTCAGCCAGGTCAAGCCCAGCCTCGCCGGCAATAATTCGAAGAGCCTTTGAAGTGATTGTATCGGCCTCGACGTCCAAGTTTGTTGACACCTCCGCTGCTTCAGGGGTCCTAGTCACGTTATCACTGGCCTTTTCAACACCAGGGCCATGATCGCCATTGTAGCCCTCCGTTTTGAACCCGTTGACAATCGGCATCGGCGCCGGGGCAGAGGCCGTGACCGCTATATCGTTCCTGAACCTATCCGCGGAGGTCATTGCAGGGGTCTCTTTCTTTTTCACCACAGCGACTGAGCCCGGTGCCGCCGCAACTGTCGGGGCTGACGCGCCATCGGGAGGCGAGAAGAAGCGGTTGAGCAAGATGCGTGGGTAACGGCGGAACTGGATACCCTGCACCATGCCGATGATAGTGTGTGTCTCAGGCTGGAGGACATAGACGTCCCCAAGATACACAGTCGGGTCTTGCTCTGTGGGGATCATCTTCACGTATGACCGATATGCCGCTCCGGGCTCCAGGGCGCAGGCGAACCGCATGGACCGCCAGCCCGGTGTGACGCAGTAGTTCTCTTGAGTGTTGATGGCGTCTGAGACGTTCATGATGAATCCAGCAAGGTGTGCCACGCTGTCGATGAAGAAAGGGGGAACTGTCCACGATCCACCCTTTTCCGTTGAGAGGACTATATTAGCAAAGGCCTCCAGCCCATTTAGCACAACTGATTTCATGCCACGATACTTGTCTGCATATTCCACCAGGTTCTTAGCGAAAAGCAGGTACGCCATATTCCCGCTCAGGCGGTTGGCGGTGCCGGCTGTGGCCAGGCGTTCGAGCTCCTCGATCCGGCCTTGAATCAAGTGCGAGGCTGGAGTCCAGCTGCTAAGCCACCCCTTGGCGTCGCCGTAGGCAAGTGTCGCAGTGGCGAATGGCTCCTCGTCCACGACATTGCCATCATCTGTGACGTTGTGCCATTGCATACTGGCCCGATTTGTAGCAATGTTCGTAGTCGTAATAGAGACCTGGATCAGTTGCTTTGAATCTGCCTTGGAATTGGCCACGAGGGCCCGTCGTACCTCCAAGTCCACGATTTCCATATCGGCATTACCTTTGGCCCCCTTGAGTTTGCTGTGCAGGTATTTACCAAGGGTGTAGGCGATGTCCGCATGGATGGACTGCGCACATGTGCACAAGATTGTCAGCCGGGCCCGATATCTGGCAAAACGATATCATATCAAAATAAAAGTAAAAACCCATACCGAGGTTACCACGCCGCAGTTGTTCATCCTATGTCCCCACGCCGCAGCACGGAAGTCGGGCTGCATCAAGTCGGACTGCATCACCACTTCGCCCATGCCGTTCTCATCGTCGAACTCCTCGTGGACTATGCGCTGGACAAGGGATGTAGTCAGGCCAGAAACCGCGTGGGGAAGGGCAGCATGGCCCTTCATGTGGCCTTTCTCCTCGTCGTAGTAATTGTTTCCTTTGGTCAGCGCCCAGTCGCCATTGTATTGGATCCAATATATCTTATTATTCCAGGCGTATGTGGGAAGGTCGAGGAGGCGCAATGCACTCTCTACTGGGCTGTGGTAATGGTTCCAGTCAAGTTTGAAACCCAAAGAATGCAGCGAGGCAAGAGTGGAGGTCATTGTGGTCCAGTTGTTCTCACCTCGTCTCATGGACGGCATGGTATGGGCGGATCCCAGTGTTGACTTCACAAAGCCTACACTGACAGGGTGTGGCCCGATCTGGATGTCACCCTCTGGCATCAGTATTTGATGGTTCCCATTGTTTGAAGTTCAGGTGGGATTAAAGTGGACTTCGTTGACAGGGTGGGCAAAAAGAACGAGCAGCTTACCTCAATCCACACCGTTTCGCTGTCAACTGTACCGATCTCTGATGCGGCCTGGAGTGCAGCAACAAAGTTGACGGTTTCGCGGGTCCCACGCCGCAGATAAGTCGAATTCACCGTCTTGGCATCAAATATAACCTTGCTAAGCAGGGGCGAGATGATAGGCAGCTGAGGAGTGTTGAAGACGACTGCGCGAGCCAATGTTTCAAACTCATCAAGTATGGGATCCATCTGGGCCGAGTGGAAAGCAAAGGCAACATCAAGGCTGAAGCACTTATAGCCCACCTCCTCAAGCAGGGCGGTAAGGTTCTCCATCTCCGAGACAGAGCCGCTAAGTACCGTCTCCTCGGGGCCGTTGATACAGGCGATTTCGTACGCTCTGCCCTGCGCGGCCTCTTTGATCTTCTCGACGGAAGCACGCACTGCCACCATTTTGTGAGTTGCGGCCTTCTGGGCCTGTCTGCTTTCGAGCAACCTGGCCCGCTGTCCAACAAGGTAGATAGCGTCACCTGCGGAAAGAACTCCAGCGGCATGCAAAGCTGCATACTCGCCGAGGCTATGGCCCACCACCACATTAGGCCGTATCCCAATCTGGGCCCAGTACTGAGTAAGGGTGATCTGTGCACAAGTCTGTGCCAGCTGTGTGATAACCGCTGAGTGCTGGTGTTCCTTTGGGAAGCTTCCATCGAGTACGGGCACAAAGGATGGAAATCCCTGACGCTGTGCTAGAGAGTCCAGATGGAGGATTTGAGATCGGAAGTAAGAAGAGCTCTGGAACAGCTCAAGACTATAAGACTTGAATGACGCGCCCTGGCCCGTGAAGGCGAACGCAACGGCAGGTGGTCCTGTGTTTGGAATGGCTTTCTGAGAATCAACACCTTTTAGTGCCGCTTTAAGCTGTTTCTCGACATGCGGGATGTTGCTGGCAGCGAATGCTACCCGATGGTTGAAGTGCGGTCGGCGTGCTGTCGTTGTGTAGGCAAGATCGGCTAGGTTTGTATCCGGGTTCCTCTTGAGGAATGCAAGCAGGTTCTCCAAGTTCCCTCTGAGCGACACTTTGCTCTTAGCACTGACAGCCACGACATGCGCAGGGCGCGGGTCTATCTCAGTCACTTCGCGCAGTGGGCCGTCTTCAACTATGACAGTCGAATTCCCCCCCGCGGCACTGAAGTTGTTCACGACTGCGATACGCTTCTGATCATGTTCCTGGCCTGGACCAGACAGCCGTGGCCATTCAATCTTCTCCAATGGGATGCGTACACCCCGCTGGTGTAGGTCCTTTGGAAAGCGTGGCGTCAGGCTATTCTTGATACCAACGTGTGGCGGGATGGCGCCCTTTTGCAGAATGAGGAGCACCTTGAGCAGGGCCGTAACGCCGGCAGCGGCCTCGCTGTGGCCAACGTTAGACTTGACGGCGCCGATATAGAGGGGCTTTTTGGAGCTTCGGCGGCGGCCGCGTGGGGCAAAGACATCTGAGACGGACTGAATCTCTTCAAAGTCACCGGCTTGTGTCCCAGTGCCGTGCACTAGAAGGCACCGTGGTGGTTAGCCGAGAATAGTCAAATGGTCCACCAGCGCGGCTCCTGTACACTCATTTCCACTAGACTTACTCTCGACAAACCCGACTTGGAGAGGGTCAATCGCAGCGCGACCCAAGACTAGCTTTCCTAGGTGCGCCTGGTGGCCTGCATGGGGATGGGTAATAGAAACGGCCTCGGCGGAGTGGTTGGTCCCGGCACCGCTGATGACTCCTTTACGGATCAGGAACAGCATTTGTCAGTCTGGATTGATGTTGGCGTGCCATTAAGCGACACTTACCCAGAATGTTATCGTTGTCCGCCTCAGCATCCTCTAGGCGTTTCAGGACAATGGAAGCCACAGCGTCTGCTCTGCAGTACCCATCGGCATTCACGTCCCAGGTCTTGCACGCTCCGGGCGTCTTGGAGAGAAAGTGTCCCTGACTGAGACCGCAGAATGCGTCCGAGTTTGTCAGGACGTTCATACCCCCAGCGACTGCCATATCGACATCTCTGCTCCAGAGTGACGTACATGCCGTCTTTGGGGCCAGAATGTCAGTAAATTTGCGCAAAGTAACAAGAATTGTCGAAGAAAATGCCATATGAGGTCCACGAATCACATCGGATACAGAGGGACCTAAGTGTCAGAAGGCAGCTATGGCTCGAATATCAAGGGGTTTCAATGACGCTCAAGAATGGGAATTCAGCACGGAAAGAATTCAGTTCGCGAGGAGAAGGGTGAAGATGGGATAAAAAAATACCTGTATAGTGGCCAAACTTGACGAGCAGGCAGTATCAATGCTATAGCTCGGGCCCGCGAATTTAAAGTAGTAGTTGATACGCCCGGGGCCAAAGGCACGACAGCCTCCCGGGATGAAATACGTGCTAATCTCCTGGGCTGTGTTGACCTCGCGATAGTCGTCGCTCGCCTGCCCATAAAAAGTGCCAATTCGCTCCAGCCGGGTACTATCCGTGCGATTTGCGACGTATCCCGCACGCTCGAGGGCCTCGTGGGCCGTGACGATGGCCAGGCGCTGCATAGGGTCGGTCTGCTGAGCTTCGCGCGGCGACATATTGAAGAATGGGGCGTCGAACAAGCCCGGCTCGTCAATGAAGCATCCATAAGGCGTGTGACTCGTATTTAGCCTCTTGCCAGCGGGGTCCTTTTTGCCCGATCGAGCACGCATTAGTGACCGCGACATGATAAATAACCACGACAATCACTTCGTCCCCCGTGAAGGTAATCAATACTCACAAAATGTGTGTCAACATCGAAACGATCAGCTGGAACCCTGGCTGAAACGTCCATGCCAGCCTCAAGCAGATCCCAAAACTTGTCAGTGGTATCGGCACCTCCTGGCATTCGACAGGCCATGCCGACAATGGCTATCTTTGACTGGGACGGGCCCCTGGGCCCGGAAATCCCAGGCACTTTCGTGTGATCGTGAACCCAAGGGATCATCTCGTCAGTCTGGATCGCGACCTCCGATGGCAACTTCTTAGTCGCGAGGTTCACCATCTCTTGCGCGGCGAGCGAGGTGCGGAATACCATGATCGGGACCCGCATCGCGCCAACATCCTGGGCCTTCTCAACGACGCCCGCAATAACCTGTTCCCATCGGATAGACTGGGTGAGAATCTCATGCGTGGCCTGGTAAAGAAGGTCAGTCGCCTTCGCCGCGGGGAAGGGCCGTCCGGTGCTCGTCGAGAAGACGGCCACCCGGGGCGGGACGCTGAGCCTGTGCCGCTCCATCGCCTGTAGCGACTCTGTCTTGACCACCTCATGCACGCTCTCCTCGCTGTAAATGTGAGGCGCATGGCAGAGTCCCCCGTACACCGGGAGTGCGACAGACTTGGCATCCCGGAAAAAGTCAACCGTGCGGAAAAGCTCCCTGAGAGACGATGGAGGGCCGCTTATGGTCACGGAAGCCGAACTGAAGGCACTTATGAAGACCTTGTTGGTTTCTGGTGTCCTCTGAAGGGATAATGTCTGGTCAGCTGCTATTTATGTGACCATTAAGACAAGATGAACCTCAGTCTGAACGCTTTTACACGTACCCTGTCTTTCTGGACAGCGTCCAACTCCTCCTGGACTGCATCGGCGGAAACTTCGGCAAGCACATACGCCCAACTGTCCGCAGGACTCGATAAATCCGAAACAAACAGGTTCTGAGACACCTGTGCGACCATGATGCCGAGTCGGAACGCTTGTCGCACCGCCTCAGCGCCGACGAAGGCAAGGTCTGCAAGGGTAGGGGCGATAGACACGGCGCAAGCGGCCAGGAGGCCGATGCCTAGCCCGGTGAACGCAATGTCATTGTCGTTGAATTCATGTGGGCAGTTCTCATGGTGACTTATATCATCGTTCCCAAGTCAATAGCTGGCCACCGAATTGATGGAGTAGGGAGATTGTACTTGCCCGATGAAGGCCCCCAGTTCCACAATACAAAGCAGTACACCGTCTATGGATCCGCTCAGAGGACCATTTCGCAGCTCATCCAAGCTCACAAACTCGAGAAATGTCTCAAAATGCGGTATCAACGTCCTCAGAGTCGGTGGGATCAGGCGGGCCTCCTCGCGGACTGCCCGCGCGGCTTCATCCAGGAACTGGGCCAGCAGGGGGTGGGCCCTGTCCTTACTCTGGCGATACAAGTCCCTGAAGAGTGTCTGCTGGTCATCGTATGGGAACTCGTTGCTAAAGTGAACAACTCTCATCTTGTAAAGAGAGATATCTGACGCTGTCGTAGTGGGCGTGGACGACATTGGGACAGGCAAAGTGACAGCTATGTCTGGTGGTAAGTTTCCCTTGCACTCCGAGGGTTTTACAGAAATGCGAATAAAATACCAAATCTGATATAAATTCCTTATTACTGGTATTATAATTCACGGCTTAGAGGCGTTTCATTCCCACGGTATGAATGAACCCAGCCCGTCTTGCCCTGACGCAGACCGAAAAGAAGGAGTACCGTGCTCACGCATTACCGACACATTGGCAAATGATATCATCTCTAGACTCATAATCCAAGGAATGGAGTATGTGGTCTCGGGGCCAAGAGGATAGCTCTAGGCAAGTGACCGTATCCGGTACACAGGAACTCAGCTGAAGACGGCGGGCCGCGGTACGGCCGCCGATGCAGAGCCCGATTCGCGGCGACCACATTCATTCGAGCTCGGTGTTCCATGTGAGAGCCAAAGGATGCATCCCTTGTACAATTAGGTACAGCTTGCTTATCTGGTCAGACTCCGGAACTCACCTTCGGGCTTGACCTCCGTGGCCAGCAATTCTGGAACTGCCATGGTGTCCAAGCCTCTAAGCGTTTGACTACAGTCAGACAACCCGTGGAAGAGCAAGGCCTCGATACGCCCCTGAGAAACCAGGAGTCTAATGACAACCCGCGGAACGTTGTGGCCTCCTTAGAGAGAACCTTTTAAGTGTCCGGGTGAATTACGTCTTTGGACCCTTGGGTCGTCACCGCCCCTCCCATATCTTTGCCGTATGCTCTATGTTTTCTGGAAATTCAGGTTCCTGGTGAGAGTATCATTTGTAAGCGTGTTTAAACACAGCTTCCCCAATGTCTTACTAGCACAGCATCCAATCCTTTGAGAATCTGCACATAAAACATTTGTACCTGGTCAATGAAATTCTCCCTCCAACGGCAGACTGCTACAGTTGATACTATTTAATACCCGCTGTACGTTCATCACGTAAGTGTCTCAAATTAGCGTAGAAGAAAACCTCATTTTCGCTGTCCCTACTCTCCAAAAATCTTGTCGTGCTCAAACTCGGTCCACCTGATATCCGGCTCCAGCCCCGCGAACTTCCACTCACCGTCCACTCGACGATAGTGCATTGTGGCCATTCCATGTGCGTGGCCCTGGGCAACGACTTTTGTGAGCTCATCATCCTCATACCTCTGGTGCGCGACACGCATCTGGTGGTGTCCCGTGATTTCCAATTCACTTATTTTGATCCACTTCGGCGCTCCGCCTACCATATGCTGCGTCTTGATTCGGTTGTTCCCGAGAAAGTGAGGGTCGGAAGCCATTGCAATCAACTCTGCAGCAGGCAGGGCGTCCCACATTTTGCCCATATAAGCACGGTAGTCCACCTGGGGATCGAAGGGTCAGTAGCTGTCCCACTCGGCGTCTTCGTCTTCTATGTCCTCGGCAATCATGGCAATCGCACTTCACTTACACGGAGAGTGGGGGCCAGGCATTTGGCCAGGCGGTCCCAGTCTTTCGTATCGTAGCTCTCGGCCCATTCAAACAGCGCAGCCTGGCAGCCAATGATGTCTGGATACTTAGTCACTATTATGTACCCCTCCCCTCAATGGCTGAAATACGACGACTGACCTTCCAGGCTGAGCTTTTTTGTGACGTTAGAAGACATTATTCGTGGAATTTGGTGTCTGATGCCAAAGGAATTAGACGAGAAATGGAGGATTTAATCTTTTTGAAGATAGCCAATCCGAAGTTGCAGTCACGCAAGGCTTTTTTTTAGCATTCTTCTCGATGACAGTACGTGTAGACCCTTTCGGAGATGTTGGGGTCAAATGCTTTTCCTTTAGTTTCCACTGATACGGAATTGCGACCAATTTCGCTGTCCGATGCTGACGGTACGTGCGACGACGCCGCCTAAGCTGAGCCATGGAGTGAGCACCGACCTGGAGCCTCGGAAATAGGCACATACATGTACATGCAGCGGAAACTATTCCAATTCATCTTAGGTTATCAAAGCCTTTATATATGAGACATAGATAGAACAAATAAAATATGGAATAGACAGATAATTATAAGGTATAAAGGAAAAATATAGTATGGCTAAAGCGAGAGTGAAAATAAAGGTGTAATTATCCGATTATTAAACATAGGTCCTGGGACTTTTGATGGCTAGGTAAACTTGATGGACAGTTCGCTCGTGATTCCTCCGTTGATTTCAAGCGTTTTCTGAGCATGCCACAATCCTGCCAGATTTCCCCACTTGGCAAACGTGAATGAAAATCGGGTACGCAATGTCATTTAGCACAGCGTTTGCCTGATATTGGGTACAAGTAACGGCAACTGAAACACTAAGCTCATTCTTTCGCATTGCCGTCCCACTAATCTGAGTTCACAATTGAATCACTCCTCTTCAGCACTACACACGCATACCAAGTTCTTTCACATTTCTGATACTCTGTACTTGAACAGCGCCTCGCACGGGGAACTCCAGTTGACCACTTACTGGAGGTCCCCACGTCTTCAGTGATATGGATCCTCTTGTGTGATTACGACGTAGAAGATCTCCTCACCGGATTGCAAACCTGCTGTGAATTCATCCGACATGCAACGTCACAGCGGCCGCCTGGGACACAGTTCCATCTTCCAAGTTCTACCACCCCTAACTCAGGAGTAAGCCTTGTGGAGAAGCTGCTGGCTGACATTACCCATCGCCGCGCTACAATAATTAGCGGCATGCTGTGTAACTTGGTCTTGCATATTCAAAAGCCTCGTTTTGGTCGGGCAATTGCTTACTTCCGGCCCCAAAGCCCGTTGGTCGGGAAGATTCGTTGTTTCAATAATTTCCGAGCCGACGGATTCTCAACTTGCCAGAAATCCATGGGTTTTGGCCGAATGATCGGCATTTTTCAAGAATTGGGCAGAAAGAAGCCCTCTTCATTTCGAAAACTGCCGAAGGACTTGACAACCTAAAATAATCGAGATTGAAGTTCATTGAGAGATTAGGTTTGTGCGAGATGAGAGGGAACCCCGGGCGGTGTTTCATTTCAGTCAAGCTGACCGAACACTTAGACCGTGGTTGGGTGAGTCCAATAATGTGTTCCCGCTTTCTATGATTGCTTTTGAAAACGGAAAACATCCTTCATTGTGACTTGATATTTACACGCTATATGATGCAATTATTCTTTTTTATGCTGATTGTAGGATATCAAATTTTATATACAATACAACTCTATGTCAATACGGTCCAAATTGGTAAAGCTTCCAAGGTCTTCAAGTTGTGAGCTTCACAAGTGCCTGATGGGGAACGTGATTCTCAGATACTCGCCGTACTTGACCAGTACCACTGTGAGTGGAAATATTACAGCCATGTGCACAAAGCCCAGTACACTGTTTCCCCATCCCGCTCCGAGGTTTTCGTACAAAGTTAAGCCAGCAAGTGGTAGAAGGCCTCCACCGATGCATCTAACAATTCCGTTCGCTGCGAGCGCGCTGGCCGCGAAAATGGTGAAAGATTCAACCAGATAAAGGAGAAGAGAGTTGAAAATTGTGTTGAACCCGAACCCAATGAAGAGCGTTCCGATGATAGGAACAATCCAGTGGACTCCGTACTCCGCCGTCCACCCGTAGATGAAAAAGCCACCAGGAATACAGATTGCCCCTAGAGGTACCCACAAATTTCGATATTCTGGCTTCTTTTCACCATCCTGCTGGGCGGCTCGATGCATCATGTAGCGGTCAGAGGTCAAGCTGACGAGCAGGTTGCCTGAGAGGCAGCCTATACCGAGACCGAGATAAGCAAGGCCAGACAAGTTAGGCGAAAATCCATATGTCTGCACAAAGACTACTGAGATGGATGATATCATGAGATAAAGGAACCCGTAAATTACGGCCATATAGAGCGAAAGGAGTGCACCGAGCGGAGAAAGCACGAGGAGCTTAATAGGCCGGCTGATGCCGCGACGCAAGACCGCCCATGGCGAGGAGTGTTCATTCGCCAGGCCAGATCTAAGGGCGAGGATTTTGTTGGATCGTCGAGCTTTGCGCCGGAGGATCAAGGGTGTGTATGTCTCCCTGCAGAAGATAAACATTAAGGCCGCGGTGAATCCTCCCGTGATGACCACGAGCCAAAATACCCAGCGCCAACCCATGGCCGTCGCCAGAAAGCCACCACCGATGGGTCCCGCCACGGGGCCCAGGATGGGGCCCATGATGAAGAATGACATGTATGCTGCTCGTCTGTCGAGGGGAACCATGTCGGCGAACGAGGCGCCGCCGTTTGCTGTGATGCAGGAGCCGAAGAACCCGGCGAAGAAGCGGAAAACGATCAAGCTCGATAAAGTGGGCGCCAAGGCACAGCCAACAGTAAATGCGAGGAAGCCGATGTTGGTGATGTGGTACACGGGCACGCGGCCGTAGATCTCGGAAAGGGGGGCCCAGATCAACGGGCCGAAAGCCATCTTGAACGAGGTGTGTCAGCAATGAAAGCACTCTGATGGGGAGGGAAGGCGTTGGACATACAGCCAGGACATAACTGGAGACCACGAAAGATTCCAAGAGTTCGTTGTTGGTGTCGAACTCTGCCATTATTGCTGGTGTTGCAGGAGCCATGATGGCCGACGAGAAGGGACTGAGAAATGCCAAGAGTGCGAGCAGGCCAGCGTTGACGTTAATTTGCCACAGAGGCCAATTATAGGGGTTTTGGGGGTCATGATCTCCGTCCCAGGTGTTTTTGTTGGGTGCGGCCTCGTTGGCTGGCAAGGCTCTTGGTTCGAAGTTATCAAAAGCTGGTGGTTGGAAGTCATCAAACCACTCAATATCGGCTCTTCTGGGTGCAATTGGCGTTTCACTTCCTACGGTTCTGAGCCCATGGTGTATTCGGATGCTGTCTTGAAGCTGGGCCATCTCTATGCTGTTCCTCCAGTCGAGGGACTCAGGGGTACCCACCCGTTCTGGTGTGGCCTGCATGGTGTAAATGTGGAAAACACTGAATAGTAGGTTGTTGAAAGAACTTGCAATGAATCAACGACGCCCATCTAGGTATACTGTAGAGGTTTTCCGAGATGGAGAAGTAATTTCCTACAACAATCTCATCACATGGATGGTTACAAAAGTGATGGAGAAAGGGCTAACACAGGGTGCACAAGCAGTGAGTGTTGGTTTGCTACGTGTAACGAGGCTCGCATTCCACAAGTGCCGGTTGCAACTTAAGCTCTTAACTCCGCGCGAGTCCGAGGATGGTAAGCCACAGCCTGGGTTCGCTCAGCGACTGGCACTGTCGATCGATCTTGTGACATCAATACGTTTGTACATCTCCCGAGGGTGCATGTGCTTTTACATGTTTGTGCCTGGGTTCAGCCCTTGCCCATTTATGGTTTTGTGCCCGCATGAACTTGCTTGGAATTGAAATACCTGATCCCAAACAAGCTGCTATTTATCAAGCACCGCTTGTATTGCTTAATGCTGTCAGACCTAATTTAGCGTCACTCATAATCATATTTTCTTGGAGGCAAACGTTTTACGTCTGTCCTATTGTTTTTTGTTTTCCTAACCGGCTTTCATAGTACTACCGGAAGGGTTATAGTTGGTAAGATGTCATGTCATGATGTGTACCGAATTACTCCTTTACAGATAACTTTGATCACTCTTACTGATGACAATATATATCTAGTGTCTTCTCAAGACTTCTTAGAGCGGGCCCTGTTTTTAATTGAAAAGCGCACAAGGTTGGGATGTTGTGGTCTGGGTACATTTCCAAGTTATCGGCTCAATAATGAACTTGCCACAGGCCTCATCTCCCGATTCGCAGGGCCTAAAAACGATTTAGATATTTATTCAGCTGACAAATTGCGGTCCTTTATTCTCCAAACATAGGTATGGCCTGTGAATAGACGCAGGTGGACTTCATAGCGTCCCCGTCACTTCAAGAATCTGCACACCAATTGACCTCAATCATTGCCAAGGATGAACCGGAAGGCTGGACTATGGTTTGCAACTCAAACCGAGAGTCTGCCTGTGTCAGCAACGCCTTCCATTCTGCAGAGTCCCTTTCTTTTCCATTGAAAATTGAGCCCATACTAAGGTCCATAAGCCTGCATTGCGGCGTAACCACCATGTTAGTCAAACTGTTTGCATAAGACTGGCGGAAAAAAGACAGGTATCCGTTTTCATACCTCAACTCAGCTTCCAAGTGCGCCGGCATGGAGCCAGGTTCGGGAAGACAGATTTCGTTGATAAGGACTTTGGCTCCAGGCTTGAGGGCTGGCACAAGAGCCCGCAGGATCGCGACGCAGTACTTGTCCGACCAGTTGTGCAGGATGGTGCGCAAGAGGTAGACATCGGCGGAGACTCCTTGTGGCTTGAAGAAGTCATGGGCCATGAAGTTAATTCGGCCGTGGAGCTCTGGGGTCAAAGTTTCTCTTCCTTCATCCACGACTTTCTCCATATCCTGAACAACGAAAGTAAGTTGGGGGAACCTTTGGGCCAGCGCAACGGCCAAGTGGCCCCGGGAGCCTCCCACATCGACCACCTTTGCCTGGCCCAGTGACTTCCAATCAAAACCGTCTACTGCGCTGGACATGTTGAACCGAGGAAGTGCACCGAAGACTTCCATTCCTGCTGCAAAACGCAAGGCACGCTCTTGGTCCCTGGCAAAGGCATCGTAAATCGATCCTCCAGCATTGTCGGCCAGAGAAAAGGCCTATTCACACGGCGAATCAGAAGTGAAAGGTAAAAGACCGGCTGGAGTAATATACTTACAGTTTCATCAGGCTCCTCCGAACTGGGCCACTTTTGCAAGGCATCCAGAGTCTAAGAAAGCCTACTGGTTAGCAGTGCCGCTTCGGTTTGCTTGGCCAGGCTCATCGACGCAGGTCTTTCTCACCTTCGCTGCCGTTGGCCAACCGATTTCAGGGTGGAAAGCCATGAAGGAGTTCACATCTGATCGAGCCAGCAGCTTGGATGCTTTTGTGTGCGCGACCATCCCAGGCTGGGGCTCCCGGAAGATCCGCAACGTCATGGCGTGGCGCAACAGGCGGCGAAGCATGGGCTCATCCACGCCTGCTTTGGGAGCAAGTTCTTTGTAGGATATCATTCCATTCGCGGGAACCTTGCTCGCAATATGGAAACGGCTAATGGCTTGAAGGCTAGCCACGTTGTGCCGCTGTGCAGGTCAGTATAACCCTGCTTGGTAAGAAGGCGTCTCGCAACCCCTGTCTTTAGTACCCAGGTACCTACCGAAGAAACCCTCAATATCAGAGCAAGCGGATCCGAAACAAGGTCGTACAGTTCTGCAGTGGCATCTGAATTTTTGGAGTCTGATATTAGTGCATACAATATATGACAGCATGTGATGCTAGAATCAGTTGAGAAAGAGTCATTATGGCTACCTAGAAGCGCCTCCTGAGCATCAAATGCTTCCTGAGGGAATGATGCAGGAGCTTCCTGGTCAAATGAAGGCCATGGGACCCCTTTGTCCGATAGAATTCGTTCCAGCTTCGCCACAGCCCCAGAAATGACTGAGGCAAGCTCAACAAAACGCGGCGCAGGATGTGTCGTATTTGAAGACATGTTAGTAATAGTCAACATCGAGAGTGAGAATTAGTTGAAAGTAGAAAAAAGATTCGAGTAGGTTTGCGTAGCCTGTATGACCCGAGCAAAGCAGTTTGGGATAAGGCGGTATTTTTGTCTCCCAGCACGCGGAACAGCTGGGATGCCTCATAATGGCTCATTTTTTATGCCCCAAGGTGAGGGTTTTAATTTTAGCATGCTCCGGATGTTTTCCTGTTCCTGACATTACATTGTTACCACGTCTAAACCTGCGTTATCTCACGGATTGGTATCGCGCTAGACACAGATCAATGGGCGTGCTGCGGACATATCATCCGCATACAGCCAAATGCTACTGCAGTACCATGATTCCATAGGCATGATGACCATTTTTCTGCTTTCAACGCACTACTGTCGTCGGAATTCCGAATATCAGCCTTCAATACTCGGGATTCCGAGTATCAGCGTTCGATACTGTTTAATCCTCCTTGCGCCAATCACAAGTCGGGACCCGAAAATGGATGATATGGTTGCACAGTACTACGTACAGAATCCTACTGATTCTGACTACTGTATCAGCTTGGGACAACTGCACACGTGGTGACCTGCGCATGCAGTACGTCTCTGCTAATGCATGTGAGCCCATGTACGAAGCTTGTTTGTGTTTCGGAATGCAACGACTTTGATTAACAACATATGACCACTATGGTGGGCCGAGTTTAATACTGAAGCTTTGAACTAATTCAATTCCATATATCAAACCAGGCGCACTTTCAAGACAATGTCCAAGGGGAGCATTGCGCCACTCTGTATCGTCAGCTTATCCCTCCTTCCAGGTTTCAGCTTCCAAGAATCAGCAAAGGATTCAGCCCATCCCATGTTAATCATAGCAAGGCAGCACAAGGGTAATGAACACGCAATGGGAGGTTCACTATCGATATGTCGTTCGACTAGTGAGTTCCGGAAGGATTTCTTTTCCGGTCGTTTGAAGTCATTTAGCGCCCCCAGTTCCGGACGGACACCATAGGGACAGCTTCAAGCCAAGAGAAGGCCGAGAAGGGCTAATTGACCCAGGAGGCAGCTTTATCACGGGTCATCGAGGCTGGGGGCCAGGCTTCCGCGATTTCATGGGCAAATTGAGATACAACGGCCGGGAAGGGGGTATAGTATAAATGTGTAAAGAGGACGCAAGAGATTCGTGATATTCAGTACTGTATTCTCTAAACCAAACAAACACTTATCGTTACTTTCGCTCATTTGCCAACGATGGCTCTTGTTCGCTTGGCGCTCTCGATGGCGCTATGCGCCATGGCGCCGACAGTTCTAGGAGCACCGCGAATTTCCCGACAGGCCTACGGTCTGAATGAGACGTTCGATTATGTTATCGTCGGCGGCGGCCCGTCCGGCCTGGTTGTGGCTGAGCAACTAAGTCGCGATCCGTCCGTGAGAGTCGCTCTTCTGGAAGCTGGTCCAGACGCGAGTCTTGACCCGCTGGTCTATAGTATGTTATATCTCAAAGATGACGCCTAATTAGACCTAGTCTTACCTCTTCATAGCTCCAGCGCGATTCTTTCAGACAGGAGAATACATGTGGCAATATAACTCGGCGCCTGATCCGGCCCTCAATGGGATCGCCCCTGAGTTGTGGCAGGGCAGGGCGCTGGGCGGCGGCGCTGCTGTGAATGGGATGGGCTACTGCCGCGGGTCATCCTCCGTCTTTGATGAATGGGCTGAGCTATCAGGAAATGATGGTCTCTCCTGGGAGTCCATGTTTGATGCCTTCAAGGCCACCACGCATTTTCAGGAGGACGTTCACCCCGACGACCAGACACCAGTCAACACGACCTCCTTCGGCGACGGCCCTCTCGAAATCACGACGCAGCGGTTTCAACTCGGCTTCGACCGGCCATATGTAGACAAGCTGTCATCGGCCCTGGGACTTGAGGAGATTGATTTCTGCTCAGGCTACGGCATCGGTATCGCAGAACAGGTGGACGCGATTAGAGCCGACAATCGAACTCGCAGCTACGCATGGAATACGTTCGGATGGCTTGCTGTGACACGACCTAACTTTGAGGTTCACCATGATGCATGGGTTTCCAAAATCGTCTTTGAGAACAAGACAGCTGTTGGAGTCACATACACCGACACACTGACCAACACTACCCTGAGTCTTAATGCTCGGGAGGTTATTGTAGCTGCCGGCGCTATCGGTAGTCCGCATCTTCTCATGCTCTCAGGTGTCGGGCCAGCTGACCAGCTGGAGGCTGTTGGCGTTGAAGTGTTACACGATTCACCAGATGTCGGCCAGAACCTCATGGACCACCACTACGCACGCTTGGTATATGAGACGATCCCTGAGATGGGAACCGCGTGGCAGTGGCAGAATAACATCAGCATCTCGGAGGAGGCTGAGGCACAGTATGAGGCCACTGGAGACGGATTATTGGGAGTCCCCGACGGCAATGTGTTTGGAGCTCTCAGGCTTCCCGACTCGGTGTTTGAGGGACTGGGCACATACCACACCAGCCTCAACGCCGACAGGCCTCACTTCATCTACGAATACTCGACTGCACCTTTACAAGTCAGCCTTGCAAACTACAGCACTGTCACCCCTTTTGCAGCACTGGTGCAGCCCGAGGCCCGCGGAAACGTGACGCTCGCGTCCGCCGACTACCGGATACAGCCAACTATCAACTCGGCCTATTGGGCGACCCCAGCAGACAAAGCCGCTATGATATATGCCTACAAGGACTTCCGCAGCCTCATGACAAGCCCCGAGCTGAGCCCGTGGTTGCCGGTCGAGTTGTTTCCCGGTGCCAATGTGACCAGTGATGAGGACATCTGGGCTGCTATACAGGAGTCCTCGGGGAGCTTTCATCATCCCATGGGGACCGTCGCCATCGGGACTGTACTTGATGAAAAGTGGCGCGTGCGTGGTGTCGACGGCTTGCGTGTGGTGGGTACGCCGGCCGCCCCAAGAATCATCACTTGTCATACACAGGCTACTGCCTACGCTATGGGCTACCGAGCTGCCATGGATATTGCCGCCGAAGATGGTCTCCAAATTGAAAGAGAGGATTACAATGGTATGGACTGATACTTTGGTGATTGTGTGGGTCTTAAAAGGTTGTCGTGTCTATTGATGTTGTCGGAAAAATGGAATCCAGGCACCTGGATCTTTACCAGCATTATGGATCCTGGGCTGTAAGCTTGAGCTTTTGGTGCCAACAGGTGTCATTGTCAGAATGTAGCAGTGATTAATATCATAAGAACTACTGATTAAGGTGCAACGTATTACTGTCGTCGGCACATGGGAGAGGTTGAAACCTTCGTGCTGGTAATCATCTCCGCGACGAATATGGAAGTCTACCTCCGCCGCTCGAAAGTCCGCAACAGAGAGCCGCATGTTACCTTCAACGAATGCGGTACGAAATCAATTATTATGTATATTAACCTATAAACCTGCTTGCCGCCCCAGTATTGGTATCTTCAAACTTTTCCTATCCATATGCGGTTGAGGCTGCGAGAACAATTAATTCCCGAGGTTCTTCCGCCCATTTCAACAGACGTAAGTCCAGCTCACAGAGACTTTGTCTCGGCATTGAGGCGTGCCTGTGACTCCTGTGAGGCCATCCTTGTAAGCTCCACGCCGCCGTCTTTCCCGTCGAAATGCTTCTTTCGTCCCGGGAACAGGACCGTGGCCCCGGTAGGTGCTGGGCTGTCAGACTTGCGGAAGCCCAGGCCGCCCCTCTCGTACATTCTAAATTGAACATGATTATTCATGAACGCATGCGGGTCGTCGATGCAGAGCGCGCAGAGAAGGGCTATGACCCCGAGCGGAATGGTGGCGCAGAAGACAACCCTGAAGCTGTAGCCGTAGGCCCCTCGTAATGCACCTTGTATGGCACGCCGTACCTCTGGGCTCAGGTCCATGAGCTTTCCTGGGACACCTTGGTTGTAGGCCACAGCATCGGCGAGGAGTGTGTTGAATGCACTCTCAGTCGGGCACGCACCAAGCCTCTCGCATACGGGTCGGAGTCTCTCCGCTGTCATGTATTCCGACGTCCTCTGGAAGATATATCGGAAGATCGCATTCCCAACGGCCCCTCCGGTTGACCGAAAAGTTCCCAAGAATCCAAGTGCTGTGCCCAGTTGCGAGTGAGGGACGTGCATTCCTGCGATGGCGTAGGAGAGTACCGTGACGCCCGGGAACATCGCCACCCCGAGGGCAGGGAGGAGTATGTAGGCGTAGTAATTATTCGGATCGACGGAGGCTGCTGACAGGGCGAGAAATACCAGCTGAAACACGGTCATGGTTACCGCCTGCCATTTGATCGTACAGTGTGGTATGTATTCCGGGATCTTGTGAGAGATCATGGGCACAACGACGCCCACTAGGAGCTGGATCACCGAGCTGGGCAGTGACATGACTCCTATCTCCATCCCATCCGTAGTAAACATGAGCTGAGATCCCTGGGGAAGAATTGTGCTAAGGGCGTGGTAGTTCATTCCGCTGATGAAGAGGACGATGAGTATGGCGACGTATCGGCGGAACATGATGGGCTTGAAAAGCTTGAGCGGAATCATCGGGTTGGCCGCTACCGTCCAGTCGTATATGCACCCTAACAGCAAGACAGCAGGGCCCACGACCAGTGCAGCAACAGTAATTGGGTGGTTCCAGGGGTAGGTCTCTCCGCCCAGAGTAAGGCCGCTGACCAGTATGAGCAGACCAGCAGTGATGGACAGCAAGCCCATGTAGTCCAGCTCTTTGAATTGTTGTCCGCGAGTCTTGTGAAAGTCGCCCCTTGGCCGTGATACGGGCCAGTAAAGCAGCGCTGTAGCTTTGAATGCGAGAAAGCTCCAGAGGATCGCAATGTAGTATATCCATCTCCAACTGGCATAACGGGCGACCACATTTGCCAGCACTCCTGAGATCGTTGCCCTAATCACCACGAGAACCACGTCAATGCAATGAAACCCAAAGTGCAGTCATATGGATTAAGTTGGGTCCTTACCACGGAACATTAATCCCTGCCTCCACCACTCCAGCTGCCAGTGCTCGCCATTTGTTGGGGAGCATCTCCGTTGCGGCAGCAAAGGCGTCGAAGAGGAACCCAGTGCCCATTCCTGTCAGGGCTTGAGCCGTGATGATCACCCCAATACTGCGAGCAGTGGCCCCCAGGATGCACCCAATAAACACGAGAAGGTTGCCGACGAGGATTATATTTCGTCGGCCGAATATGTCGCTCAGGTACCCACCCAATGCCGCCGTGGACGCGCCGGCAACTGACCACGCACCAACCACCCAAGGTATCAAGTTCTGGCCGCCGACCTCTTCCGTGACCGCAACCAAGATCGCGTTCAGCGTCACAAATGTCAACCCAATGGGGGCTCCAAGGGATATTCCAAGTGCCTGAAAAAGAATCCGGTCATGTCAGCAATGGATATCAGACGATTGTCATTGGTGACGAACGCACGATCAAGGCGGCCCATGTTTTCTTCCCGACGTATACAAGTTTTGGGTTGTCGAATATTGCCGCCCTGTGAGGGTCTTCTTCGAACTCGATCGCGGCCTTTGTCTCCTCTGTCCACTTCTCCCAGGTGTCCTTGCTCGAATCCCCTCCCCCTCCCACCGCCCCAGCCTCATGCTGCTTGATACTCATGTCCTAAAAGACCTCGGGACGGAAACAGTGCCAGAGCAGTCGACCAGCGAGTAGTTCTGAACACGACAACATAAAGATCGGCAAGCTGCTTCGCAATCAAGAAAGGAGTGGAAGGAAACCACGTGGTGGTGCTTGGGAATATTCGACAGAAAAGCTGCTCCGGATCCGAACCAAGACTTCATTTCATATGTATGGAGAAGCATATGGGAAGCTCGACCATCCCGCTCGGTTGTTGTACCTGCATAAAGTCGGTCGTCGAACACTAGCGTGCACATGCGGGCGTGCATATGTCAACTTTGGAACCAACCACTCGGGCAAGGGGGGCTTAGAAGTCTATTGTAAACGAGTTTCAAGTGGGATCTTCTCTTCGTGGCTACCACACCGAAAGGCAGACCTGCGCTGCTGACCAATGGCTCCCAAATCGGTAACCTCGAGATTCATTCCATTTGGATAACAAAACCTTATTTGGAAGGCGGATTGTGCAGTAGTGTGCACGTAGCTCCCCCTGGCCCGGCGCTCACGTCCGCACTGATCCACACTGCGACCTCCTGACAGGGTGATCACTGTGACCTGGGTTGTGGAACTGCTGGCGAGACGTTTGGCACCACACAGGCTCGGCACTACGAGAGCTTAAATCACCTTATCCCTTGGCGGCACCGGGGCGGCCCTCTCGCATCCACCGCCCGCAGTTCAACGTTGGCCCTATTTTTCGCGTCTCGCTGATTGGATTGGGGCGGGATCCCGCATTGCTCCTCCACTGGACGAACCGTTGCTGGTCCCTGGCCACATGGAAGTCGGGCATGAATCCGTCTGACTTTCGAACGGGTTCCTTGCGGGCGCATTGTCTGACTTTCCTCCCGAGGGTCCCGGGGCGGACGAACTGCCTTGTGTGGACTCGTGGCCCTCGCAGCTGTCTCATTCTATGCCAGCATGTGTAGTGTAGATATTCGAGGCGTGTTTGCCGAGATCCCCGATTAGCGTGACATCCTGCCTCTCCGACGATGCTTCAACTGGCGGGGGTCAACCAATGAAGCGGGGCAGCTGAGATCAACGCCGGTCCTGGGCAGTTGTAATTGCGACATGGCAGTGATAAGCGTCTTCTCAAGCAACGAGCAGTCTTGATTCCACCAATCTACTAGCGCGTGGTGCCCGGACGCTACGGCTTAGACCACTGCTAAAAGGAGCCTTGGAGCCGCGAACTGTGGTATTTTGTTCACTTGACTGGGGGCAGAGCCAAGTTCTGGCAGCTCTGTTGATGGGACTCTGTTGTGTGCCAAGGGCGATGCATGCGAGCGGCATGTCACCCAGAGACTGTATCAGGCGGCGAAGCTCCAAGACCCAACTGGTACCAACGTCCTGGGATTTGGATTTTCGAGCATCCTGGGTCGCGCATTGTTGCCCTTGGGCGGACAGTACTGTCACGACTTAAGCCGCACTACGGCAGCAAGGCAGCTTTCAAAGAAAGTTTGTGCAGGGTCGCATCTCAGCCTATGGAAATCCCACTGGTGTTTACTTTGTCAACGAAAACTTGGTCGCGATCTACCGGTGTGTTAATCTTGCCAATTGGAACACGCCCTATCACCGTTTCAAGGGGTCCCACGTCTCGAGAGGCTCCCAGGGCTGCCAGGCTTCTCAGCCCATCCTTGAGGGCAGGAAGGTTGGCCAGAGATCCCACGCGAGGGATTAATAACAAGCTCAAAACAACACTTCGGTAGCAACCTCGGCACGCTGCTATGAAACGCGTCCAGCTCCCGTCGGAAAAGTACGCCACCCACGACTTCATGAGAAGCTCACGGGAACGACGGGAACGATTCAAGACCGACGGAGCTTATGACCTTCACGTGTACGTCAAACCCTATATTCTCGTCTAAAATACGTTAATTTTCTGGAAAGTGGGCACTTCATAGGCTCGAAGGAATCAAATGAAGATGTGTGCATCGACAAAAATAGACCCAACATGCTCTGTTGTGCCCGCGTGTCTGAAGATCGCAATTCAATTGCAGACTTCACGCCAGCTGTTTCGATATGGATAGCGACGTTGCAGTGAATTTAACCTTTTGGTCTTGCGATATGGTCGGCGCCTTTATGGTGCACTAGCAACCGACCGAGTCCCAAGCCCGGAATCCTACGGTCCTGCTATCCAGCCGTCGTGGGCAACGTGGTAGTGTTTCAGGGCCTCAAAACATGTTTCGACGCATGACATCTTTACCTCGGATCCCGCGCCGCCACATATCACCACAGTAGGGAAACTCTGGTCTCAAATTGCCTCCCGTTACTGCCTTTTCGAAATGCTACAGTGAAAAGAGAAACGCATCTAGACCGCTGGTGGCCTGGCATATGCAGCCGCTCCTCGGCCCGCTGCTTGGCCAAAGACTACACACTCGAGCAGCGATGACCCGCCCAGCCGGTTGTCACCATGAAGTCCTCCGGTGATCTCGCCGGCCGCCCACAAACCTCGTACGGGCTTTAAGTCCGACCCGGCCCCGTCAGAGACGAGTATCTGGCTCTCCTCGTTGATAGCTGCGCCTCCCATTGTGAAGTGCGTGATGGGTGTCACCCGCCCGACGCACACCTCCTGCTCGTCGTCCGCGTCGGTCCCTGTCAGCTCCCAGGACCCGAATGTGGCCCGGCCAAAGCTGTCTTCTGCCTTGCCAGTCGCCACCTGTGAGTATTCGCGGATCGTTTGTCGCGTTGTCTCATCCAATTCCTTGACTTTCTTCTTCGACATCAGACCCTTCCACGTGTAGAATCCAATGTGCGATCCGGCCGCCTCACACGCGCCTGGGTCGAGCAGGAGCTCAACGTCCCATTGAGTTAATTTCTCGGAACCCTCTTGGCTTGGTTCCTCAGGAGGCAGGCTCATTATGACGCGGCTGACGTGTTCTCTTGTGTCCATCTCGTTGACGAAACGTTTCCCCTTGTGCAACAGGATTCCCCCCTCGCCTCTGAGCATCTCGGCCGCGAGAAACTTCACCCTCAATTGAGGATCCGAGGGAAGTATGAAACCAGTCGGGTGGATCTGGACGCTGTCCATGTCCACAAGATGAGCACCCAGGTCTGTGAGGATGCCGTGAGTCCCCGGCCGGTTGTCATTCGTCGACGGCAGACCGGCAAGATCTGGCCGGTATTGCTTCAGCAATCCCCAAGTGTCACCGGCAAACCCGCCCGTCGTGAAGACTACGGCTCCTTCCAGCGTGTGTGGCGAGCCCTCTTGGGTATACTGGACACCGGTGACGGTCCCCTTATCCTCAGGCAGCGTCAATATCTTGCTGACCTCACACCCCGTCTGAAGTTGGAAGTTCGGGTCCTGTTTCAGCTTTTCCAACAGCCCAGTGACAATCGCCGCCCCGGGCGGGAGCTTGCCTCCTCCCCTGTGTGTGCGAGGGAAGCTGTGGCCGCCCAGCTGCGCGACCACGCTGAGGTCCACGCCGATCTCGTCCACCAGGAACTCCACCGCCTGGGCAGAAGAGCCGGTCAGCCGCGAGATGAGGGACTCCCGCTCCCTCCGCCTGAAGTTCACAGCAGCGTCATCTGCTTTGGCAAGCCTTGCGCCAGCGGACCGGACCGTGTCGCTGTGGAATGACGTGTCGGGTCCCTTTTGGAACCGGGTCGGTGCCCCGTTGATCCCGGACGAGGCCTTGATGCTGTTGCCGCCGGGCTTCTCGGCACGCTCGAGGAGCCGGACTGCTGCGCCTGCCCTGAGGGCAGAGTACGAGGCCGACAGGCCGGCCAGGCCGGCGCCGACGACTATCACGGTGGGAGATTGAGGTTTGGGCGGCATGGCTTCGCTGGGCGAGATTATCTCTTGCTCTGTAGCCGAGTAGTATTGCCTGTGATATACGAAGACGGTAAGGGCGGTGAGAAGAACGATAAACAATAGTTGACGCCTCGTCATGCCAGCATCCATGGCTATTGGGCTGGTGCAGGGTTGGAAAAGAGCATGTTGTGGGCGCGTGTTTTATACACTACGACGACGGCGGACAGCACACGTTGTTGTGGTGTAACGTCCAGGCAGGCCAGCATCAGGCCACCTCCACCGTGAAGTGGCATGATCTTGGCACTCGGCCCTCGGACAAACGCCGTGTCTCCTTTACCAAAGCTTGACCGTGTCACCAGTGCAGACAACACTTTCCAATAGTCCGCCCATGTTACCTGGTATGCTGGTCTTCAATATGGATGGCTATGTAGTCACGGATGACTTCTACTGCAGCGCTATAAGTGGTTTCGTTTTCAATCCCCATATATATAAAATGTACATAGTGCCTTTATATAATAGTAAACGCTTAAGACCTAATATCTAAAAAAATATAGTATTAATAATAGTGGAAAGAGAATATAGTATATAGGTATGTAGCTAAGCCTTATACTATATAAATAAGGCTAGAAGGTATTACTTTTAATAGTGCTATACTAAAAAGCTAGTAAAGTAGTTATATAGTAAGACTAAAATAGTTTTAAAATAGCCCCTATAAAAAGAAGAATCCTATAATATAAGACCTAATAAGCTAGCTTTTCTCTATTAATATACTTATTATATAGCTATTTAGATCTACTCTTACTAAATAAGTTAGATATATTATAATCCTTATTTTAAGTATATAGCTACTAATAAAATAATAATATTATAATAGTAAACCTATTTAAGAAAGCCTTTTTATATAAATTTTATAAAAAGATTAAAACTCTTTTAGAAAGTTAAGTAGAGTTTATTTATTATATATTAGATAAATATTATATAAGGAAAGTGAAAGTTTAAATATCTAAGAATTAAATCTTCCTTCTTTAAGTATACTACTTTATTATTAAGGATTTATTTACTTTTATATAATATATAAGAAATATAATAAAAGAGGGAGCCCTATAAGGGAAGTTAGTAACTCTACTATATATAAATAAGTTTAAGGGTATATATTAAGTAATTATTAACTTTATGCTTAAGGTATGAGTTAATAGCCAGTCTAAAAGCTGAAAAGACGACGAATAGATAAATACACAGTTAAACAAAAAATACAATGTGGCCGAAGCCTGCAGCGCTGCAAAAGTAACGCGAACGCCGGTGCAATTCATGCATGCCCCACAACACAGCACCGCCACAAAGCTTTACGCCACATCTCTGCTGTACTTAAAGATGACCACCAAGATAACCCGCCCTTTTCTTTTCATCCCAAAACACCAGGTATCACGAATCTGACACCCGTCCAAGGCTGATGTGCATGTGTTGACAAGCAACTCAACCTCATGGAGGTCCGCAGCATCATTACTACCATGATCGCCGGAATTATGACATTGCAATGTTGGCACACTAGTACTACCCTACTGAAAATAAGCCACCAAAGCACATAAATAGCTCTAGAGGAACACTCTACCAGATCTCTGTAGGAAGGCTGGCATATGGGTAGGTCTTGAGGAAAGAAAGGCAAAGGAAGATAAAAAGAGGGAAAAATCACCTAGCAGGGTATTCTTAAGAATAAAAGACAGCATACTTAATTCATAAGACAAGAAAACTAAAGAAGCGTGAGGGAGACCTTTCTTATAGGCCCCCAGCTAAAATTCCACGTGACTCCTTTTCCCCATACCCTGCCACACTACCATCAACAGCCCCGATAAGCTGTTCACCCTAGCACAGTAGGAAACCCCCAGAAGGTGCCGGACAGTGCCACAGATTCCGCGGTGCGAATAAACACAGAAACTTGAGTAGGATTCTCATGTGGGCTGAGAACCGTCAATTGCTACGGCGCAGTAACATGCACCGAGTCCACAGCTGGCATTCTGGATCAGGCAGTGTTGATCCTCAGACACTGCCAGTGGCCAACCATAGCAACAATCTCCTATGAATCTCAACCAACATGCAAGACACTGCCCTGGAGATATGTCATCGCATCACGGGGATGTAAATCCATTGCCCCATATCATGAATTTTCTCGCTTGGCTCGGTTACAAATGGAGATGCGATTTTCGTTAACGCATCCTACGCTGTAGATCTTTATAATTGTAACTGATGTTTGTGTGTCTACCTGGAAAGCGACCCAGAAATTGTTGGAGTCTGCCTCGCTGCCTGAGCCTCGTCCTCCACGAACCTGTAAATTTCCAAGACACATCGTAAGCTGGCCCCCGCACCTGACCTCGAACATGGTGTTTCAGGACCCCAAGCTTACTCAGAGTTGTCATTGTGACAGAATTCAAAGTCTAGCTGAACTGGAGGATGCCTTGTGACGTCAGTGAGGCGCTGTGACTCAGTGCCATATTTAGCGATGTTTAGCGGGGCTGAGCCAGACATCAAATATGATATCTCAACATTACAGACTCACCCATCTTCAATACCGCCTCCCAATAACAACACAACCAGAACTACCACCCAACCTCGGAGACCTTGCCACGAGCTCCGCTGTTTCTCTTCTGTTTCTCCGTACACCATTCAGGGTCATCCTCACGAACAAACATGTCCGACGATTGGTTTTCTTTCAAGCTCGCCCCGGACGGCGATGTCGAAGATGGGTGCCATCCTGAAGAGGCACAGGCCATGAAAGAATACCTGCGCCAGAACACGACCGCAGCTGAAGCTGCCCGAGCCATTACCCACCCCATCGTCACTGCAGACAACCCCAGACACGACCTTGCCCGCCTGTGGGCCTTTTTGATGGATTCGCTCGTGGAGCTACCAGCCGAACATACAGGGTCACTGTTGGAACTGCTCAAAGCAATCGAAAACCTTCCAGAGCCCGACTTCACACCCATCGACGAGAGCAAGCGGCCCTCTGAAAAGCTCTGGAAGGGCCTGCCGGGGTTCGGCCACCTGTGGTCCGATTCATATCAATCAGGGAGCTGGAGGAACGAGGCCGCGGCCGCGACTGGCCCGGCGCGTGACGCGCTACGAGACGCACACGTCAGGAAGGCAGAGGTTGAGGCGCGGTTGGTCACGGCTGGCCTCGCCGGGATCCCGATCGACTGGGGATATCAAGTCGTCGCGGACGCCCTGGAGAGCAGCAACGCCCTGCTTGATTTTGAGGTTCCAGCTGCGACAACGTGGCTTGTCATCTGCGGCGAGCGATTCCGACAGGCAGCGGAAAATGGCGAGGAGAGTTGGGCGTTCAAGCCACATGCTACAAAGTCTTCTATGATCCCCTCGCGAGATCTCTGGAAGGAGTCTTCGCACCAGGCAATGAGTCTGCGCCGGTGGTCAGCGTGGGAAGGGCGTTTAAGGGAGTTGCAGAAGAGGCAGGAAGTTGTTCAGGAAGCGGTAATAACGGCGCTCGGTGCTATGGGCGTGGCATGATGATAAATGCGCCATCTTGAAAAAGAGTGATGGTTATAGAGGATACCTAGGTAGTCGGACACATTGAACAGAGGCCGCAAAAGGGACCTGGGTTGGCTGAACTTATGAAGAATACCGTCGAAGATTGCCTAATAATATGCGTTGCAATTTCTGTCTAGGAGAATTTCTAAAAGATCAGGGTCACTACCTGAGTAAAGAACTATTCAGTATTGCCATGAGCCAGTAGCTACTGCATCAGCTTCTTCTCGCTATCTGCTGCTCTACAACTGCAGCTAGCTCCATGTTGTTCTCTTCCAGATAGAAAAAATGGCCGTTGCCCACCAGACCAAGTTCCCCAAACTTCACCCATGTCACATCCTTCACACCTGCTTGGTGAAGATATGAAACAAAACAGTGGTCATATGTAATATGAGGGGAGTTGGCCGCCGTGAACATGACGTACGGCACCTTCGCTATTTGAGGTAGAGACCGGACCACGGTAGCATTGGACTGCAGGAAGCACGAACGGAGTGCGGGCGTGTCCTCTCCAACTTCGACCGTGATTAGGTCCTCTGTAACGTTGACGACCGGGGGCTCGTACGTGATGGGGGTGTTTGTAAGCCCCCATGGCCGACTGCTGGTGCGCCCAACTGAGGGAACGGTCGCGTTGCCGATAAGACTCTGGAATGGAATGTTCCCCGGCTCCAAGTTGATCGTTGCCCTGACCTTTTCCGGGCACTCGTCCGACATGAGCGCAGAGTAGGTTGCCCCGGCCGAGTGCCCCACGAGAAAGGACTGTCCAATCAAGGAGAGCAGTTTGCATCCTGCTGCCCGCATCGACACCTCCTGCGCCGTGCTGTTGGACGTCAGGGGCACCGTGGACGCAAAGAAGGCGTCGAAGACCGGGTCTCCTTGTGTTCCATTGCCCGGCCACTTGTCGTGCCCCTGTGATTGAGGGTATGCGTTCAGAATCTCAGGGGCAGTGAAGCCGCTCTCATGGATAGACACTGTTGATCCCAGACGGAGGGGGTATTTGCCGATGTCGTTTTGCCCACTCCGTCCGTTGGCGGTTATGTCCACGATGTAAACTTGGTATCCTTTCTCAAGGAAGTATGCTGACCATCCCTTGCGGTTGTCTGGTGTGTTGAGCCAGACGTTTCCGGCTGGTAGTCCGGCTGAGATGAATACAATCGGATAAGGTTTGTCGACGCCGGAGGTGGGTGTCAACTTCTCGACGTACATCTGGTCCGAAATGATGGACGATCCCGCACTGGCCACGTATTCGCCTCCGATGAAGAAGACATCTCGGTGATAAGGTGGCTCGGCAGGTGTGCACTCAGGCTTTACTGCGTTGATGCCGACGCAGGCGGAGTCCGATGCGAGCGCCAAGCCAACACCAAAGACAGCCCAAGCCAGGGAAGCAAGTTGGGAGGAATTACAGCGCATCTTGTGATCAGGTACGATCGGTATGCGTTTTCGATGCGCAATAGAAAGAAGCAAGTGATCACTTTTAAGCTCTTCCCGCCATTAAATGCTTTCGGTGCCCTGTCCCATTCAAGGAGCTTGCCGAGACCCATTCAAGGTTGAATGCACTAAGTAAAATTGTTTCGGTGGATAAGCGTGTGGGCTTGCAGGTTATTGGGCGCGAGTAGGGGCTAGCAGGGCCATTCTGCTCGCCTCCACATAATCCAAGATGCCAGTAAGCAGGAGATCGCATCCTTCCGGGCCGTCGAAGCCCAGAACACTGTAGAATTGGTTGCATCGTGTCAGATCGCGAAGAGAATTATAGACGGTCGCGATTTTCGATCAGGTAAAATCTGAATCATGCACCTCTAATATGACCATTTCAAGGCTATCTCCGCAAGCTGTTATCGTCTTGTCCGTCACTCTCTATCGATGTAGACAGCATCAGGTGTCATCTGCAACTCTCCCCCAAAAAGCGCCCTACTTTCTGGGTAAATTACTGCTGCTGCCCTGACTTGAGTCATATGCATCGTTTCTGATACCCATTAAAGCCGCTTTCTTGCTCATATCATGCCTGTGAACACGCTTCAAGTAGTCACTGAATTCTTTAGACATATCCACGGTCGCCTTGACGTGTTCTTTCTTGATGAGAATACGACCTTTGTCGTCTTTCTGCCCTTGCGCCTCGGCGAGCGCAACGGCCACTTGGAATGCTTAAACGATCAATAAATCAGTCAAATGCTTGTATACACTTCAAGTCACAGGAGGAACAAGTAAGAACACAGAAAGAATTAATGAGGGAATTTCTATTACCGTTCCTGATTTCTCGCCCGTTCCACTTCAAATTCTGAAGCTCGGAGGACTGCACGTAATCCTTTGCAGAGGATAGAATGCGCATCGTGCTTTCTCGATCCAGCTCGAGCTTCTCGAAAAAGGTGTCCCAGACCTTGATTCGCTGTTCTGGTGTGAATTCGCCATAATAGATGGATACGTGGATTCGAGATATGAACGCCTCGTCGAACGTGCCGACGCGGTTGGTGGTCAAGAAGACAATCCCCTTGAAATACTCTAGAGCTCTTAAGAACCCGGCGACCAAGTGATTGCGGGCGAGGTCTTGAGGCTGCCGCTCTTCCATGAAGATGTCGGCCTCATCGATGAGGACAATAGCGCCCCAAACTTGGGCTATGTCGAACCAGTGGATAAGGTTACGCTCGACTTTGGTGGGCTCCACGCCGATGTCCGAGCATGTTAGCGACAATAGCGGGCGCTTCGTGTAGTCTGCGATACATTCTGTGTCCACAACTGTCAGTGGTCTTCTTAAACACCATGGAGTTTCGTATCCTCACCTGCCGTATATGTTTTCCCAACTCCAGGCTTTCCGTGGAGCAGTATTGTGAGACCCTCCCCTTTGCCTCGAACGAAGTCTGCGGACCATGTCTTGACATCCTCCTTCGGCCCTATGGTTTTGTGAACGGAAGTGAGTTTAATGTACGTGTCGTTACCTGTGGTTGGCTTCGCAGTGTCTCTTATGTACATCTCTGTCAGGTCCTTGATCATCTTCTTGGTGAATTCGTTTAGAACAAGCTTCTCAAACAAAGCTGTGTCAAACTCCGCCTCCTTGACTCCGGTCACGTGTAGAGCTTCTGTTGGAAGATTAGGGTTATTCAAAGTTTTGTCTTTCATTCTGGCGTGTACCCATGGCTTACCCCATATTCTGAGCTTGAACACAAATGCGTGCACTTCCATATCACATAGGAAATATTGATGCTCAGTTAATTCTTCGACGGCGAATGGACTGAACTTCGAGTATCCGGAGAACTTGGGCGTCGTAATGTTTCGATAAATATACTCTTCACATAAATCGCACCTACAGAGTCTGTAAGGCGCGGTGGGATGTGCAACGGTCTCCACCAAGGTGGCAGGTTGTAAGTCCGCCTCCTTCGACAGGTCAGAGCTTAGACTTTCGGAGTCGATCATAATGAGACTGTTGATCTATTTGCAATAGCTTTATCAGAGTGCGTTATTCTCCGAGGTCTTTATTGTAGATAGGGGATACTCGCCGATACTCTCGGGTACCTTGTCGTAATGCCGTCGAACTGGTAACATTTCTTGCTGCGCTGGATGTCATACCACGCCTTCCCGCGCTTCACGAAATGTTGTCGGATTTTCTCTGAATCGCCGATTTCAATCTCCTTGGAACGTGACATGTACTCGCAAGGGAATGAAACCATTGAGACGATTTCTTTCTCTCCAGCAAACCTGTTAATGAACCTTTGGCCGGTAAAAGGACCGATCAAGCCGGGATTGGCAGATAACTTCCACCATCGAGCTTCATAACGGTTGGTAGTGCCATTGTTTATGCGGAATTTGCAGCTTTCCAACACCCATGGTTCATGTTCGCCAATGTCAGCTAAGTCGGTGTAGTGGTCCGTGCCTGGTTTGTAAAGCAGCCATAGCATGTCGAAAGTGGCGTAGCCTCTTGAATGCCGTTCTCTCTCCGCATCGACATCTTTCTGCACACGGTCCCTCACAAAGTTCTGGACAACGCCAATGTGTTCATATGCGTGCCGATTCTTACAAGCCAACAGTCTATCGTCAGACTGGCAGGCTTCCAGGCGTTTCCGGAGCTCTGTGAGCTCTTTCTCGTAGAAGACAAAAATGCAGAATGGTTCGTATATTCGAACAGTATGTCCAGATAAATTTCTGTACGAGTTGGGCATGAGCCAGGATGTTAGCTCTCACTTGTAAACCGAAGGACAAAAACTCAAAGTCATGCCGTCTGTAGCATGCCCATACGACAATCACGGAGGTTGCGGGTTCCGGATTCGCGGACTTGTTCGGGAAAATTTGTAACGCCAGTAAAAAGCCTTACACGTCTGGATAATAGTCCACAACACATCTGAGAGCTTCTATCAAGGCAGAAGACAAAATCGTGATATAAGAATGGCCCTTGGTATGCGTGTGGTATTGTCGTGGGTTCCGTTCCTTGGCAGGCCCAGAATCAAACGGTTCCGTTGTATAGCGCACTTCTACATATTCCATAATGAATGGCTCTTCATTGTTGGTAGAGGACTCGTCTTCATCCGATCCTGAAGCTGCACCCGGAGTAACTGTACTAAGATACTCGATCCTGTATTTGATTCGATCCTGGGAACCGAAACTCTCTTCAACTGAACCTTGGCCGCCGTTGGAAGCCTTTGTTTCTGAGGAAGCCATGCCCATGAATCTATGACCTGCCTCAGTTGTCAGCGTTTTCTCAACAGAACAGCTATTGATTCCCATCCCAATCTAGACATGGAAGTGCCAGTGAACTCGTGGAATAACTGACTGTATTGATCAGCATTCAAATAGTGTCTGTGGCCTCGTGGTCCGGCACGCAGTTTACGTGACTACCCAACGAAGACTTCTTTGGAATGCTATGATCAGGGAGAGATCAAGACGTGGAAAACTGCTTCCAGATGTAATTCTTGCGGCTCTGAATTTAAAACAAGACAACTTCGTCACTAAATGAGAGGAAAGTTTTCCCAAGGGTTGCTTATTAACTGAAAAAAAAGACCATTTAAAGGCTGATGGGCGGCTGAAGACACAGCTTACTGCGTGGGTGCTGACTGACTGCTGCAGCCACTATCCAACCAGCTGGCTAATAATAATCCAGCAGCTGTCGAGTTGGGGTTGAATTCCGAATGGATCGGCATCCCAGAAGACGAACTCACCACTCAAGGTCGAGTATTCTTGGATTGCAGGATCGCAATATTTGTAAATGCCTTTCAATTAGTCACCGTTTAAAAAGTGAGGCTGTAGTTGTCGCACAGGTGTGATGCAACTAACCGAGAATAGAACCGGTGAGGTACTCGGCATAAGACTATCGATGAGGTACCCAGTTTCGCTTCCATCCATTACACAAGCGTCAAAATGCGGCTGAACTGACCCTCCCTGGTAAACATGGCTCTCGGTAATATCCAGTGCTCAAAGTGATTACATCTCCGAAAGCCTCCATCAAAAGATACCTCAAATCATGCTTCAGCAACAATTTCTAGGGAATATTTTCTGACTTCACCGAAACCAGCCGGCACATCGATATTCAACTCAGAAGCCGTGGATCTGGACGCATGCCACTCCAAACTTTAGCCGATGGCTTCCAGTGTTGTAGGCGTCATCGCTGAAATCCTGCTCGTCTCCTCGGGGGTCCGCTATTCCATCAAGGAAACCAGACATCAAACATATATGGATTAAACTGGCAACGAAACGACCCTCTGCAACGGTCGCCCATTCCATGGCTGCCCAATTTTGGAGCGAACTATATTTCAACTCTCCCAGAATAGAACCGTCAGCTCAGTCGATCTCGTACGTAATGGCAGATCTCACTGGTAACACAACGCCTGGTGAATTGATACGTCGCTTTTCATGGGATATGGAGAGCAGGGAGAACCCCGGTGAGGACAGTGTGGAATTCAAGCAACTACGGAGTGACTTTGTAGAGCACATCAGAGCCAGTATGGATGAGAGTGAAACCGAAGCACCTCGCCTTGATCGTTACTTCTCGAAAGCGAGGTAAGAGGAAGTCCATCTGGGCTTAACCCCAAGACAGGGCTCGCAGCGAAAGTTTGAGAGTCGAGCTTACTGACGTTTCTTGTTTCTTGGACTGAAGGCCAGGCGATGAAGAGGCGTTCAAGAAGACCAAAGCGGGACTACACGCATGTATGCAGGCCTTCCAGGCTCTGGTTCCTGAGGAACTTGGGGTGACAGTTATCCCAGCATCATGGTCGGATGTGGAGTTAGCAGTTTCGGCGGTGCAAGAACATTGGGAATCTCAGTCTCTAAACAGGAGTTCACGAGCAAGGGAATGGCTCAGAAAGATGTGTAATGGCTTGAACAACCACAAGGCAGTTCTAGATCTGCTTCCAAAGGAGTCCGAGTACGTCTCAGTAATAGCCGGCGCCGTCGTCATGATAATCAAAGTAAGTCAGATCAAATGTAAAGTCGCGCCATACTAAGGCTGAACTAATTAAACACGTCTCAAGGCTTCCGCAAACTACACGAAAATCTCTGAGTCATTTGCAAATGGCGTCATTGCAATCAACGACGCCGTGGCCTTGGTACAAGATAACCAGGTTTACAACACACCTCGGCTACAAGAACTCTCTATGCGTCTTTACACAGGAGTGTTCCGTTACCTCACGAATTTCATGACCTGGTTTCGGAGTAAGAGCATGAAGAGATTGCTATGGAGTCTGAACGAGAACCTTGCACAGACGTTTGCAGATGACATTCAACAAGTGAAGAGCACCTCTACTCTAATCTCGCAGCAGATTCAGGTCTACATGTCGATGGACGTTCGGATATCAAAGTTGCAAGGAAGAGAAACAAATTCGGTCTTGAAACACCTTATAGCTCTGCTCGAGAACGGCGAGGCTCAGAGAAGGCTTCAAGTCGCAACCCATGAGCGTATGTTCGAGAAGATGCTCACAGCGAGATTCCAGAGGTCGGATGATGAGCTGGACAAAGTTGCCGCCAAGGTCCTGGATGGTATCAAGGAGGCTGTGAGACAGACCGTATCCGGACAAGCCATAGGAAACATCCTAGAGCGGCAGGCGTCCATGGAGACCGGGACTGACGACCAGATCTCAAGCGATGTGAAAACCAGGAACTTCGATGACTCGGATGACAAACTTGCGTCGTCTGCAGCAGAGAACTTTCCGTTGCCGTCACAGCACGAACAAGATATCAAGTTCTGGTCTGCCCACTTGGAAGACCATTACGACAGCGAGCAAATCTACCCTTTCCCTGAAGAACCCCAAGGATTCTACGCCGAGACAAGGTTTGTCTCTCGATTGAGTGAATTTACGACATCACCAGAATCACAAGTTCTGTACGCCATGTCCCGGTTTCGGCCCTTAGGCCTGAATTTACTGCGCGTTTCAGCGGCCAAATATGCCGCCCTGTCACGAAGCAACGACGTTCCCGTCATCTCGTTTTTCTGCCTGCCCCTGTTGGACGATCCAGGCCAACACATAGCTCTGCTGTACGCCCTCATCCGGCAGACCGTCGAGCTTCTGGATGAGAGCACCTCGAGATCGATGGACTCCGTCGAAGAAAAAGTGAAGAGTCTTGAAGGGACTGTCGATACTTGGGATGCGGGACTTGAGCTCTTCTCTGAGTTGGCAATGAGGATCCGACTCCCGCAACTGGTGTTTGTCATTGACGGCATCAACCTGCTAGAAGATGACTCCGATCACGCTGCTCAGGAGCGGATCAGTGGAATCGTTGGGGTTCTGAAGGATCTTGCGTGTCCCGGAGCTGTCCCTGGCTGCCATATCAAATTGCTCTTGACAACTGCTGGCTGGTCAACCTGTCTTTGTGAGGAGTTAGACAGCCATCAGATTGTGGTGTGCGATATCTCGTCACCAGTGGGGCAGGTTCCTCGAAGGTCAAAACGGTCCTTTCTGTATTAGCTGGGAATTCGTAACTCAGGAAGCCGCTTGCGACATTCAAGATTGAGTCTCGGTGTTTGTCGCCAAAATTATCTTACCAAATGCATTGTATTAATTTTAAAGTGATTTCTTTTTGTTGTGGGTCTTCAATGTAGATTTCAGATGTGACGAAATTCCACCACTTAATCTAGCAATCAATTCATACAAACTTTGAAAATTAACATTATTACGTGGTACTTGTATAAAAACTAAGAAAGACAACATGAAGGTAGACAATGTTCCAGCTCCCCTATTCTGTCCCATAACACTTATAGACCCAGCATTATTCCAAGCGGAAGTAAAAGTCCCCACAAACCAATCTCCCTCCTTGCACTACCTCCCAGCCCTGTTCCACCCTTCCCATCCTTCCCGTCCTGCCCACACAAGCTCCCGCAGTCCGTCTTCTCAGTTCCATTCCACTCCCCACAGCCCACCATCACCGCCGTGCCCCGCGCCAGCCCCACGCCCGCAGGCGTCAGCAGCGCCGCGTGCGCGCCGTCGTCATTGCACAGGTTGAAGTCCACCACCCCGCCGTAGCTGTTGGGCGTCTGCAGGTCGGGCTGAGCGCAGATCGGGTCGGCCCCGTCCGCCGGGCACAGGTTGTTCACCTTAACCACGATGCTGCTCCCCGCGTTGGGCACGGCCTTGCCGTTCGTGGCGTCCGTCTCGACCGTCAGGCGGTAGCACGTCCCGCACGCGGGGCCTTTGCCTTGGCCCGGGCCTGCGCCGAAGAGGTTCTGCGATGCGGCTGCCGCGTAGCCGGGCTAGGCGACGGCAAGGGTTTTGTTAGTGCGTGTGGGTGTGGGATTCTGGGCGTGAGATTCTGGGCGTGCAGGGTCGCTTGGATGCAACGTACATAAGTGTAGAACCCGCAGGCTACTGTGTTACTGTTGCAGTTGGGCGAGCCTTTGGGGTCGTTGGTCCCGTACCATGAGATTGTCGCGTTGAACGTCGTGCTAGAGTTGTCTTGCGCGGCCGCGCTGGCTGCGAGACCAAGCGCGACAACGATTGAAGGTGAAATCATTCTGTACCGCTGGGTCTGAGACCTTGCCTATCTCTCTCTGGGAAATAAATGGAAACCAGAGCTGCATCGAAAATGGGCACCAGCTATCCAACCGAGTTCTGCGTTGATTTTGAGGTGAAGCAGCAACAGGACGTTGTTTCCAACGACGTCACATTGCTATATTAATTTCAACTATCCCATGAATTTTAAGTGATGCCGGTAATGATCTGAGGGTCAGGTTGAATGGTTCTTACTGAGTGTTCCTCCCAATCTATAGGACAGTGGTCCGGGATGCTGATCATCCGACGTCATATTCGAGTTGTTTCCAGGGTTTCCCCACTCTGGTTTAGGCGGCTAGCTACGTGGTGCGGTGGCTTTTGGGCTTAGTTGAGCCCTGGTAGACTATAGCTATATGTCGTAGCCAGTCTATATCAAACTTCGTCCTGAAGCCCTTGAACGCATGTCAAATATGCCACCACCTCAGCGAAAAGAGCTAATGTCTGTGCCAGGTGATGCATAAGAACGAACGAAAAGCCCTATCGAGTAGTAATAGGTGTGAAAAGATTCCTGGCACCTAGGCCCGCCACAATGCTTTGGCGATGTAAAAGCAGGTTTGTCATGTGTATTAGATCCGGAATTTCCGGATCGCCTAAGGTATTTGGCTCTGCCAACCAGACCTACGTCCTTCAGGTGTTCAAATCGTAGCGTCTCCGGGCCCTAACAGGCCGGTCCAACAAATACACAGCACGCCAGTAGGCCGTTTTCTTCTGTCTTTTTTTTCTTGTGTTTTCCTTCCTTGGCGAGCAGAGCCTAGACGACCACATAGGCCTCCCTATGTGGGTTCACAGAAGGAGGAGCCGTGTGGGCAAGGGCGCTCCCAATGCAGACCTAATGGTGAGCTTTCTGAGGTATTATAGCCTGCGGCTTGTAAGGCTTTCCAAATCTCGACTCGGATAGGCTCTGTTGTGGCGGCCCGTTTCCCCGAGAAGCAGTCGTCCCTAGTAGACTTTAATCAGCAACCCACGGCACATACTCCTAATATAATCATACCTAGGTACTCCGTACCCCAGGGTAATATACAGTAATGGTATATAGTGTAGTAGGGTGTAGGGAAAAGGGGGTTATATAGAATTTTTAGTAAAGGGCTTATAAAAGAGGTCTTCTTTTTAGTATTTTAATCTTTTTCTTAGAGGAATTAACTCTACTCTCTTTCTCTTATTCTTAAAAATTCTCTTTATTAAGTAATTTTTATTCTTTATTCCTTTTTTTAAAACTTTCTTTTCTTAAAACCTATCTATATATTAATCCTTTTATAAAAATTAAATAAAATATTCCTTTAAAGCTATTTATAAATTTTAATAACCTATTTTTATTAATAATTTTATTTAAATTTAAACTTTACTTAAAATAATTAAAGAAGTTAATAATAAAAGAAAAAAATATTAAAATAATAACTTATAAATATATAAAAATATATAAAATTAAATATTATAAAAACTATAATTAAAATAATACCTTAATTAATTAAATTATTTATTTAAAATTTTAATTACTTTTAAATTTATAAAGATTTTAACTATATAAATAAAAATACTATTTAATTAAAATATTAATTATATAATAAATAGGAAATAAAGTATTTATTTTTATTTAAGTTTTAATTAATATTAATAACTATAAAGTAACTATTAATAATAATAAAAAAGTAATCTTTTATTAATTATAATTATTTTATTATTTTAATAAAAAAACTTAATAATTTATTTTATAATTATAATATTAAATAAAATAAACTTATATTAAAATATTAATATAATATATATAATTAATAAAAATATTTAAATAATTAATTAAATTATTATATTTATAATTAAAAAAGTATAATAATATATATATAATATAATTAAAATATATCTATTAAATTTATTATATTTAATTAAAAAATTAAAATTATATTAATATAACTTTAAATTTATTTTAAATATTAATAAATAAAAACTTAATTAATAATAATTTTAATATTAATAAAATAAAAGTATTAACTTAATAATATAATAAACTTTAATTAAAAACTAATAAATATTTAAAATTTATATAAAAATATTTTAATAAAATTTAAAATTAATAATAAAAAAGTATATTATATAATTATAATAAACTTAATATATAAAATTAAAATAAATTAGTTAAATATATATATATATATTTATATAAATATTAATAATTTACTATATATTTATTAAAATATACTTTTATATAAAACTTTTATTTTTTAATTATTTATTCTTTTAATATATTAAGTTATAATATTCCTTTAAAAGAAATTTTATATATAATACTATTATATTAAAATATTTTAAATTAAAGTATTTAATTTTAATTATTTTAAATTCCTTTAATATAATATTTATTCTTTTATTAAAAGATATTAATTTTATTAAAGGTTTTTCTTTTATTTATACTTTAAAATAAATAAATTTTAATTATAAAAAATAAAAGAAGAATAAACTTAAAAATAAGTATTATATAAACTTAATTTTATTTATAGCTTTTAAATTAAAATTATAAATTTAATTAAACTTTATATACTTTAATAATAATTTAAAAACTACTTTTAAATTAATAATATATTTATATTTAATTTAAATATAAAATTATAAATATAACTTTTAATAATTTTTTAAAGTTTAATAAAATTAATATTATTTAATTTTTAAAACTTTAAAAATATTATCTATTAATATAAATATATTAATAAATAAAAGTTAATATTTTTAAATACTATTATAATAAACTTAATCTTTAAAAAGGTTAAAAATTATTATAAATATTAAAAATTAAAAAATTAAAAAATTAAACTTTTAATTATTATAAGTTTATAAACTAAACTTTTTAACTAATTTTATTAAGGTAATTAAGAATATTTTTAGGGTAAATTTAGGCTTTAATTAGAAAGTTTAAAAGTAAAAATTATTAATTATAATTAAACTTTAAAGAATAATATAAATAGAAAAGGCTTTATAGTTTAAATATTTTATAAAACCTTTCCTTAAAAATTAAAAATATTTAATTTCCTTTAGGATTTTTAAAATTTATAAAAATATTAAATAAAAAACTTTAAAAGTAGATTAATTAAAATCCTTAATTAAAAATTATTTATAAAAATAAAATTAATATTTAATTATTTAAAAGGCTTTAAATACTTAAAAATAAGGTATAATAATAATTAACTTATTTAAAAGTTTAATAAAATTATTATTTAATTTAAAATAAAAGAATTCTAATTAATTTAAAGAAAATTTATAATTTAAATAATTAAATTTTAACTTTAATTAAAAATAGTTTTAATAACTTATTTTATAAAATAAAAATAAAATATAAATATAAAATAAATAATATTATTAATTAATTATAAAAACTAAACTTAAATTATATTAAAATAATAAAAAAGTTAAATAAATAAAATTAAAGTCTATAATATATTAAACTTAAATAACTTTAAAAAGCTTAAAAATTAAAGCTTATAATTAAATTAAAAGTAATTAAAACTTATTAATTTAAGTACCCTTAGTTTAATTAAGATATTAAATAGGTATAAAAATAATAAAAAAATTAATAATAATACTTTTATATAAATTATTATTATTAAACTTTATAAAGATAGATTAATACTTTAATATTATACTTATAATAGGAAAGGTTATAATATATATAAGTATAATAAAATTAAAAACTAAAATAATATAAATTCTTTTATTACTTTAAATATAAAATTCTTTATAATTATTAAATATAAAAATAATTAAAAATAATTTTAAATATATATTAAATTTTAAAATAAATTTAAAAATATTATAATTAAAATAATATTAAAGTTATTTATTATATACTTAAAGTTTTAAAATTTCTATTATTAAAGGAAAAATAAATCTTTTATATATAATAAAATATTAAATAACTATTACTATTAAACTATATTTTTAAGAGGAACTTTTAATTAAAACTTTAAAGTAGCTTTATTAAAAATAATATTATTATATATTTAATTTTAGTTAAAGTAATATTTTTAAAAAAGGTTTAACTAAAAGAATTAATTATATATATATTTAATAATTTATACTTCTTTTAAACCTTAATATTATTAAGTAAAATATTATATAAAAATATAAATTAAAATAA